GCCAAGGCAACCGTGATTAGCAGGATGAGGGCCGCCGTGTCTGAGTATTGGATGTCCTCGCTCCTTAAGAAGCCGGACCAGGGGAAGGTGTTCGACGCAACTTCCCGCCATGCAGCGAGCAATCGCTTCATGCGTACGGGTGAGTTTATCCGCTTCGCTGATTGGCGCTTCATCCATCGGGCCCGCCTCGACGTGCTCCCCTTAAATGGGGCGCGTCGATGGGGGAACGATGATAGGCGTTGCCGGCGATGCGGATATGACGCCGAAACCCTTCCCCACGTACTCGGACACTGCGGCCCCCATTCTGCCGCCAGGCAGCGGAGGCACGACAACCTCGTCGAGAGGCTCGTACGGGCGATCCGGCTCCCGGGGGAAATAAAGGTGAACAGACGCGTTCAGGGCATCAACGACGCGTCCTCGGCGCAGCGACCCGATATCGTGGTAACGCACGAGCCGTCGAGGACCGTCGTCATCATCGATGTAGCCGTGCCCTTCGAGAACACCCTTGCGGGAGTAGAGGAGGCAAGGGTGCGCAAGATCGACAAGTATGTGTTGATAAGGGTCATGAACGTTGACACTTTCAGTGTCAACCTCCACGACCCTTATGAACAGATTCATATTACTGTTTTAACATCGTATGTTGATGTGCTTATAACCCATTCATCAGGTAATTCTTTACTCTTTTTAGCATATATATGTATTCCTATATACACATGTATGATTTCTGTTACATACACATCATTTGTATATTGTATCCCTCATATTCCTATTGCAAAATAAACGCATTAAAAAGGAACCCCAAAGGCCAAACGTCTTATTTGATTGCCTGCGTCCTATATTAATGGCCCCAGTATCCATCGTTCCTAAATAATTATAAGCACATAGTTCCAAATTTCACTCAAGTGCGTTAGATAGCAACACGCAGCAGTAGCATTAATTAATTGACCGAAATCTCCAATTACGTGCTAAAAGTTTCCACGTTTAAATAATAATCCACCTGTTACCTACGACAGCGCATCGGCAACTGATTCATTAGGTCTGCAACAGCTTAGCACTGACACCGACAGGTGGTAGTAACGTAGTATCCACAAAGTGCTGCCATCTATAATAGGTAAAATCGAGTCCCCACTTTCGATATATCGAAAGCATCGATCGTGATCTAAACATTGGTGCGAGCAACAGTTCGAATGTGCTAACGTGCCCTGTGTTCTGATGTTGTTTGCCTTTTTTTTAACGTGACCTTCATTATTACAGCCAGTTTTTGCTTTTCCTCCTTTGAGATATATGATTCTGTTTACAATGTTTTTGATTTGATACAGTGTACTCGCAATATTTCGTTTGCCACGACCTTCTTTCGTTTACCATGAAACTTCTACGTAAAGGAAAAATAAAAAGACCACAGTGCATTAGCTGCTATGAATGCTGCACTATGCTGCGCCCCTTTTCCAGAAGTGCATGGAGATCCCCCCCCGCGTCTAATAAAAAGGGCAGGGGGATTCGATGTAATTAATATATGTATATGCTGCCAGTCATAATTACTTATCTGACGCTGCCAAATCTACTTTCATTACAGACGATTAATCCCTATCAGATTATAGTATTAATAGTCTTATCGTATAGTGCCCCTGTCTTGCGGGCACGTGCAAAATTCAAGGATATCATTCCTTGTGCATTACCCCATTACTGTATATAATAGTTCCTTAAAAGAATGAAATAATTTCGTGCATACCAGCTTATCTCGCAACAAATGTTTAGTGTTTATGAATAATCATAAAGATAAGGAATAGTAATTCGTATATGCAAACGATTGAGTCGTAATTGGGGAGGATCGAATGGCACGCCTCTAGCATATAAAATTTGCGATGCCGCGTGAAAGCGCCTCTAACATCTGCACGCAGAATTAAATAGACATGTCGTCCGACGTATTCGCTGGATTAATGTTCTCTTGCAAAGATGTAAATAAATTGTTAGTTAGGTGACCAGTTCGTGCGATGAATCGTACGAGATCCGCAATATGTGTGTAACTACATGTCTGGCTGTTTATCCGAAGATCCAAAGGTGGGTGTACGCGGTTGTTCGCGAATTTATATCCGTGTGTCTGTGCAATGTCAAACGATTTCAGTGGAGCAGACAGAACATATTGTTAACGTTCACTTGTTTTTCACGCAATGTGCGCAGATTTTTCACCGAGCACGCACCGGTCGATCGAACACGATTCTCTTCGAACGGTTCCCATGCTTTTTCTTCGTAAAATGAATTGCGTTTCGATTTTTTTCATCGCCTGTCAGTTTGTACGCTCCTTTTGTGTACTTACGTCGATTTGGACTTTTAATTTCGAGTCTTTACGTCAGTGTGATTGTTTACTATTCGTTCGACGACACAGTACCGATACGATGGTGTCTTTAACGAAGAAAAGATAAAAGGTGGAAACGGGAGAGCAAGAAACGTAAAAAAACGTTCCGTTTTCGTGCGATGTAAAAATAACAAGAGTGATATTTAAGAATTCAGACTCGCGGTAATGCAGAGAACTGTGCAATGAGTGATAAGGACCATTGAATAGGAAATTTCCAGTAAAGTATTTTTCTTTGATTATCTGAACAGGAGACTATATTATATTTTGTAGCTTACTACAACTTGTTCCAGCATGTTCTTCATCATTGATCAAGATTCAAAGAATCATAACTGTTTTACAGATGAACATACCGCTATATGGGTTTCTTGGAGTTGCGGTGACTCTACTCGTGTATCTTATCGGATTTGGAATGATTGTGAAGCTATTTATTTGCCTGCTCGCTTTAATTTTAGGGTATAACTTAACTGAATTAAAGTGTTTCTTACGTTAAGAACGATTACATCTGTATATTTATTTTGTTACAGAACAGTCACGTGTATATATAGAATGTACGGTGCAAATCTCGATGATGTTATTAAATCGGAAAGGGAAGACTTGAATAAGAAGACTGAAAAGTTTCGCCAGGTAAACAATAGCATATAATATATTTATCTGTTTAATAATTTTCATTTAATTGAGTCTATTACCATTGCAGTATATTCTAGATGCATCCAAACAGAAGACAACCTTCACCTTAGATAAAAGAATCACTGGTAGTCGTATCATTGACGAGTCCCTGCAAGTACATAGTCAATTTAAGAATTTATCTACTTTTACGTAGTATTGTTGTTGACATAAATAGATGATATCATGACAAGCATAGTATGGGAAATGTAGAACACAGGTTATCAGATATCTACCTCAATTAAGGACGGAAACCCTAATTATGTCAATGACCATTGTACATACTCGCAATAAAAGTACCATAATAATTTGCAATTTTGCTTATACAGGAAATATTAGACTTTGTTATCAGAGATTATGTGGAACCATGGTACAGTGTCATCACAGATGATGAAGAATTTGTATATTCAGTTCGGGATACCGCTCAAAAAATAGCTATCAATATTGCAAATAGGTTTGTACTATAATAATGAAATTAGTAGAACACAATTGATTTGTCTCCTTAAGTAAGTTTTTTTGAAACAGAGTAAAAGGCGTAGATTGGATACCTTATTTAACTACACGTCTCGTCGATGATGCAGCTTCTCACGTGCGACTGTATCGGCAAGCGAGAGCCAGGATAAAACAGCTCCGTTCAAAAAAGTTGCAGAAAGGTAGCGCGAGCTCGAGTACTTCCAGCGGAACTCCTAAGAAAACGCCTACCCACAGACGTAACAAAAGCGAAACAGATGTGTCATGGTATTCTCAGTCAAAGTTTTACATTCCTAATTTGTCGTCGCTCACCGAGCCGATCGAAACGAATGAAGATAAGGACGAGGAGACATTAGAAAAGATATTTTTCGACTTGGAGGTGCAAATGGAAAACAATATGATCTGCAGAGATCTCGTGTGCACCAACACTACCCAGGAACTGGAATTTCTGGGAGAAATATCTGAGATCTTGTTATATCTGGTATTACCAAAGGGAGATTTCGATTGTCTGACTGTGAGATTTATATTAAGAGAATTGTTAGTGAACGTGATAATTAGACCATTGCTGGATTTATTCTCTGACCCTGATTATATTAATCAGGCGTGTATATGGCTGGTAAGTTGAAACACAACTAAAACAAGTTTGGCAGTGTATGGTGAGCTGTCACATGATTGAGCGGCACATGCACGTGCTGACCAAACCTAACCTGACTTTAAACCCGAAGCTCTATTAGCTCTATACAGTATGGTTGAGAGACATATTTATATAATTTTCTTTTCAGTGCGCTAAAGAAAGCGGTTTACCAAGTGACGTGTTTTTAACGGTAATCAGAGTCACCGATAGTTTAGACGAATTAGCGGCGACGAAGAACATAGTTTGTAAGGAAATAGCTCACCTACGTTCTAAAGACTCAGGTGGAGAGGATGATTTATCCGTGAAGCAGCAACTGAACAGTTTGCTGTACGTGAAGAAAATTTTGGAGACCAGAATTATTGGAATGCAAGAAGGGTTAGACTCAGAGACTGATTTAGGTGCTCAACCTGATTGGAATAGGTTACTGATACCAGGCCAAAAATTAGTAAATTTACCATTAGACGAATTACTGAAGAACAACATCGCGCTAAGTTACTTCATCGATTATATGACCTCCATAAACGCGGAATCTTACTTGTATTTCTATTTAAATATCTACGGATGGAGGGTGTCAGCTGAACAGCAGATATCCGACATAGAGTTACAGAAACTGCACATGTCCCAGGCAGCTCCTAGTATCATAGGCACTAGGCGTAAGAACATTGATCTGGATAACTTAAAAGAGGCAGCTACGAAGATTTATCAACAATACCTTAGCGAGAAAGCGTCACCAAAGTTGCAGTTAGATGACGCCCTAGTGAAGACTTTGTTGAACAGGATAAGAACTGAACCTGTGAAGGAAACATGGTTCGATGATCTTCGAACTTGCTGTTACGAGAAACTACGGAACGAAGATCGTTTCTTGCCAGGCTTCAAAAGGTCCATGTCGTACGTGAAACTCCTGGCTGAACTGGATCTATTAAAAGACCCCACATCTGAAGAGGACACGAAGTCCTTAGATAGTATTAGTATATCCAGCACAAACAACGAGTTGGAAACTTTGGACGAAATGTCTGAGATATATAAACCGGAAGAGATGAGAGGAACGGAACTGTCGGACAGTAAATTGAGATCAAATTCGTCGACCAGTTTAGCCAGCATCGTGGAGCCTAACGAGGGCAGAGTACCCGATGAGCCTGATGGTGAACTCAATGTCAGGGCTATAAAAAGTATGAGGAAAGCTGTCAGCATCGATGCAGATCAGATTAACGAGGGCAAGGACGTGTCGTTTTATTTGGAGTCGAATGCTGAACAGTTCGTCAAGTTGGACGAGAATACCTACGATCAGAATGCCATTAAAAAGTTACAGCAGGGTAGATTCGAGATTACTGCTAGAATTATAGAAACTGGAATAGTAAATGATCGCGGGAAGACCTATGGAATTTACGCGGTGGCTGTGACCAAGAGCTATGATTCAGGCTATCAAGAGAAGTGGCATATTTACAGGAGATACTCGGATTTCTATGATCTGCATCAGAAGATAAAAGAGAAGTATTACGATCTGGCGAAGATACCTTTCCCAGCGAAGAAAGCTTTTCATAACATGGAGAGAACCGTTCTGGAAAGGAGAATGTTAATGTTGAACGCTTGGATGCATCAGTTAACTAAACCAGCGGTAGTCGATGGTCACATGGGTCTACAAAATTTGTTGCTTAGTTTTTTGGAGCAGGGGGATTATGACAAAGGTGTCACCGGTGGACAGATTTCGAAGACGGTAATTGTAGACAAATTTTGAAGTGGTTCACTGTACGCTTTATTTAATACGAATACTTTTGTTTTTTCATCCGAATACAGATAGACACGCTAATGAATCCTTTGAAGACATCTATGAAAACTGTAACCCAAGCCGTGAAAACTATGCCTGATAACATGTTGAATACAGTGGACGGTGTGATGGATAACATAAGTAAATTTTTTGGCAATCCTAAGAAACCCAACGCCTTTTACGAGAACACCAAAGTTGGTGCTGGTCTAGATGTAGAGGTACGTATTTCTTCTCTTTATAAGTATCAAATTAAACTTCCCCCTCAAAAATTTCTCACTTCAGACTGACGATAATATTCCTCTGCGTATAATGCTGTTACTAATGGATGAAATATTCGACTTGAAAGTGCGAAACCAATGGTTGAGAAGAAGGATTATCACGTTATTGAGGCAAATTATTCGTACGATGTTTGGGGACATAGTTAATAGACGAATAGTGGAGTATGTGTCGTTGTTAACTAGTCCAGCCAGAGTGGCGGGTTATTTGAAATTGTTTAAGTAAGTAAAACTATGCTTTCGTTGAACATTAAGCAAATACGATGGTTCAACGATGTTTTATACCGTAGGAATAGCTTTTGGCCAAACGGTGTTAAAGCTGAGAAGAAACCACCACGGGATACAGAGATGAAGAACAGAACAAGAGTAGCCGCTAAAGTTGCCCTACTATCTTGCTTGTCCGACGAATTAAAACATATCATAGGTAGCGAAACGACCAGGAGAGGTCTCTTAAGAGTGTTCGAGTTGTTTCAACGACCTGTACTGAACAGAAGACTGTTGTACGTTCTCTTAGAAGGAATAATAGAAACTCTGTTTCCTCAGAACAATCTGGTAGAAATCTTCCGGAAACTTTATTCTGTTTCGCCGAGGGTGCAACACAGGAACCTGCAGAAATGTTAATGATATATGTCGTTCATAGTCTGAATCTGCAAATTTTGGCTACTCAAGCTCATCGAAAATCTCAATTTTTATTTCAGCCACATCGGAGATGTGGCGGAAGTTATTTATTGTTAGACGTTTTGTTCACTTTTCTACTTCACTCGCACATGTAATGTTACACTTTAAGTTCCTGAAGTAGGTTTAAATATCTTAAACCTTTCAAGACCACTTTTAAGCGCCTAAAAACTTAAGAATCGAAAGATGAACAGAAAGGATAGAATAATCTGTGATGAGTTGAGTGGCCATTTCATTTTGTACAAATTATAGCAATGTCGCATAGGATAATAACGATTGAATAATTCTTAAATACGAAACACGTATTGTATGCCCAAATACGGACGTAATGCAACCAGGAGTAATGTATAAATTATTTCTAATAACCAATCTCACTGCAATAATTGAAAAAAAGAGTCGTTTTTCTCAACTGGGAACAAAGTGAAAGTTATAACAAGGCTTTCAATTTATATAAGCGTATTCATTAAACTAAGCGCAGTAATCAAGTGGCCAAATAATAAACGATTATACGAGTGATTTGAATATACATGTATTATTAATCGAGTTCGAGTCGTAGGGGATGCGATTCTTATCGGTATTACGTAGAGAATAATGTACCGTTCTACAATCTTCTGCGCAGTTAGTCCGTAGGGACACGTATTTAAGAACATTATGCATTCCAATTTGCATTTTATGATGTACTTCACACTAATGTTATACACTTTTTACACGTACTGGAACAGTGATAGGCAACTGCACCGACGAGGGTGCGGTGCATGGATGTGGCGTGCACAGGTGGTAGTCATCTTTTCTATTTGAAATTTCTATATCTTTAGATTGAAAATTTCTATATTCCTAAATCCCCAAATTACTAAACTTGAAATTTTCACGATTCTTCAACATCTTGACGCTACTTCTACCGTGCACCCCGCGAGCTCGTTGCCGGGCATTTAACCTGCCCACCACTGTCTAGAAGACCAAGTTTGCGCGCCAATTTAAACTAGCGAATTGTCGCAACTGTTCTTATACTTAATTCACCTCCTGCCCTATTAAAAAAAGAAAGAAAAAAAATGGTTTTCAATTGTGTATCGTGCCATTCACGTAGCGAGAATTGTATGTATATTTATTTCGAGCCTTGAAATTTCTTCGACTAGCTTACCATTTGTAAAATTTAATTTAATTTCCCTGTCGATAATACTCGGCACGATAGTGTAAAAATTGTTGTAAATGTCGTACAATTGTATATATATATATACATATAAAGTTATTTCTATCGTGTTGAAGCGCCATATCTGTCACGTTTACTTATTATTAAAGAAACTGTTTATAAATCGTTGCTTTTCACTCTTCCCATCTCTATATACATTTTCCCATTCACCTTTAAGAATTTTTATAAATATTGTAACAAATTATTAACCAAAGTCAGAGGTTATACAAGCTGTATTTCTTTGAAAATTACTCTCACTACGTTCACGTCTCAAAACCTGTAACAAACAGAAAAGTTAATTACCTCCAATCGGTTAACAATGGTGGGGTACACAACGGTTTGAAAAGAATGAGCAAAAACAAAGAAAGTTTATTACCGAGCTTGCCAGAGGAGTATGGTGTTGGGGAGATTAGGGGGAGTAAGAACATTAGGCGGGAAGAAGGGGGGTCAAAGAATCGGGTACAAGAGCATCGCCTCATCGTTGTTCCGCGTCATACGGGAACATTTTGCGCGGACCAAAAGAACGAGAGGAGGTAGGGGGCTCTTTGAACGTCCGGAGGAAGGGGACTGGAACTGATCCTGATATTTCAAACACTTTTCAATCGAAATCACTTATCGAAATTACTCACAGTTTCTTTTGTATGCAATTTAGTAAACTGATGTCCAGTGTACAGGTTGTCCTTTTACATTGCAATTTGTATCCCTTAATTTTTGGAGGCGAGAATTATTCTCCTTTATAAGTGTACGCAGGAGACGACGATTGTACCCCTGTAAATAAATAATAGTTAAAATTTGCAAGATTTATGGTTTTCTATGGTGGGGTACAGTTTCTTGAATCTCTTAGGGGCAGTGACCTACTTTTAAGAATGCTAATTGATCTACTTTGTAGTGTATTATTTTACAGTGATTACAACTTAAAAGATTGAAGTCTCAAAATTAAATGTCAAAATTTAAAAAATCTGTCTCACTTATAAAATAGTACTTCAGTATTTAGTAAAGTCCACACTTTGCAAATCTCTGAACTACTGTGCCCTTCAAGACCTGAGCATTCGAATCTAGAAATGTACCCTATATCAATATCCCTCCCCGCATTAGTGTAATTCAATATATAATTTAAACGCAGCATCACACCCAGGCTGATTTCTAAAAGTTTATAAGGTTAACCCCTGACTCAAGTGTAACCAAACCTGCTCCCTCCCTTCGCTCCCAATTCAATTACCCCTTAATTATTTGAAAAGCATCCAGCGGGGCTCTATTAACGCCAACAGTGGCCCGGTTTCTTGGCCGGGAGATTTCCAGCTAGATCCTCTATTGTGGAAAAAAGAATCGGGCACCGGTGATGGCGTCGCGCTCGCATTTTCAGAAGGGGTTCTGTCGGCCGGCCGGCCCCCGGGCTTTCTGTGCAAGAAGAGGGGGATCGCCACGGGCTTACTACGCGCGGCCAACACAACTACCGAACGACGTACTAACGAAAGAAAATCGATATGCATGATTCACGCAGAAAAGAGAGCGAGAGAGACGTGTCACAAGGAACCAGCCATGGGGAGAGACGGAGAGAGAGGATCCAGGGGGTTTAGGTGTGGATAGACGTCGACAGAGAGCAGAGACGCGAAGGGGGAGCAACGAGAAGAGGGGAAGAGAGAACGGAGAGCCACTCTTCTCCCTTCGTTCTCCCTTTGGCTGGAACCAAGGGGACGGAGAGCTGTATGCGCGATGAGCGGGCACACACGTAATTCTATACAAGCGCACGAGGAGGGGTATTCTTACAATGCTACCCCCTCGGACACTCGATCAGTCGTGGACGAAGTTCCATGCCGTTGGAAACCTTCTGTGCTACTCGTTCTCTTCCCTCCATTCGTCATTCGTCTTTCACCTATGTCCGTTTCCGTTTCGCCTCGCAGTCTCTGCGCCTGACGGACCTGGAATTTCATGATCCAAGGTCAGTGACGGAGCCGTACAGGGAAGCTTTTTTGAATGGACACGTTTTACCCGCCGCGACGTCGGCGTCGACTCGACGCAGTTTCATCCTAGTGCGCGATCGCCGTTGATCCCGCGTACTCCTCCACTTCCGGGATCCAGCGACGAACCCTCGTGTGCGTGTTCTCGTGGTATTGGTGCTGGTGCCGGAATACGATTCTCAACAGCTTCAAGACTTTACCGGAAAGGACTTATTTCTTGCGTCGTTTCTCTTTGGTATAGTGTCATCCAGCATGGGTAAGCGTTCGAGCATGGTGATGGATCTGCAATAAGTTTAAAATCATACCTTGATTTGGATAATCCCTTGTGATAGGAATGGGTCCAGCCCATAGATTAGTGAAGTTATCAAAATAGTTATAACGTAGATATTTCGTATAATAGAGATTTAAGACGAGTAGAAATTACAGTAGTAGCAGAGGGTGGCTTGGGGATTTCGATGCGAGGCGTGCTATGCCGAGCGTCTCCACGCGCTTTAAATTAAACAGCTCCTCCTTTCAGCATCGTTTAGACAACCTGAAAATTTATATGCCACTACAATTTGCTCTCATCAAAACTAATTTCAATATATTTTATCCCTATAATCCATTTATGTAACATCTTAATTTAAAATAAAACTTACATAATTTTGATGAAACGTATACTTTACCTTCAAGGTAAATTTTCTCTTCAAAGATTCAGTTACATATAAGATTAAATATAGGTGCATGAGTTTAGTGGACTCATCTTGCATACAAATTTGATCTTAGCGCTTGATCTACGAGTGTTGCTACAAATCGGTGTTGTGTGAATAAAAAGAACACCAGAACGTCTGGTTAGCCCGATTTTTCTTGATTAATTCGCACCAACGACATCGGGCCGAGACGTAAGCGTAACGCAAGAGAATAAAACGAGAAAACGATGCCGGGTTGCGGTCAGCTGGGTCTGGTTCCGAAACAGGATACGCCTGGGACTTAAAATAAACAAACAGTAATGCCGTGAACCGATAGAAAAGCTAGAACACGATCTCCTAGTCTGCAAAGAATAGCGGAATCGATCACGAAGATCCTTGGAGTTGTTTTGCTTCAGTTGAAAACTTGGATCCAGATATGAAAGCTTTAGGGTAACTGAAAAATAGAATTGAATGTAAAATTTTTAATATACAGTATGTGAGAAAAATCTCATAAATTAAGGTTCTGGATTACCAAAGACTTTAACTGAAGTCTCAAACTTATTCTGTACAATATGAAACTTTGAGAATCTCTGGTCTAAGTGTAGAGAAATGGTAAACGTTAGGAAATGTCCAATCAGAACCACCTGTGCAGTCAAAGAATTAACTCCAACGCATCTGCTCGCGGTCTACTGGCCTATTTACAGCTGCATTTCACCCCTAGGGGCTGATTAATTTGAAATTACTCGAAAATCAGACGGGCACGCACCCTAACGTCAGCAGATAACGATCGCCTCGTGTCCTGGAAAAAGAAAGCTTTTAATTATCGTGGAACCACCTTAAACATCTGTTGCGCTACCCAACGTTAGTTAATGATTCAAGAATTTGTTTACATTATCAAATAAAGTGACAAATCTTATAAGTGTAACAAAAATTTGGGACAATATTTGAAATATTTAAAACTTAATTTCAATGAATATAGAATATTAGTCTGCTTTGTGAAATAATAGATGCAATACGTGAAATAAAAAATTTTTAATCTTGTTGAGCTCTAGAGTATCTTACCAATAATGACAGAAACAGTTTAGCATTTTGTAGAGTATCTTTGGAAAATGTAGAGATACGGCGACGAAGGAAATTCAGAGAAACGTCGTGTATTTCAATGGACTAAGGCGTATCAGTATCGTTTAAAGGGGCTGAAAACATGATATGCGGCCGGATTAGCTTACTTCGCCTCTAAAGAGACACGCAGACCACTGGTTTATCCTAGTTCTACGCGTCGCGAAGGTCGTCGCACTTCGAAGAGTGCTCACACTCTTGTTTCCCTGAAAAAATGTTGAAAAAGTGGATCGAGTTTCTACGATTTCGCACCGCGAAAAGTCTACTTAAGTTCCATGGACACGTTTCCTTTAATTGCGTGCGAATTCTACACCTTTTGTGCGACTTACTGAAAAGCCCTATCTTCTCTTCACCGTAACGGTTACATAATTTCTGGGATGGAGTCCTATAATTGTACACTGTCCCATATAATTAGCTTCTGCAAATTTGGAGATTTGAAAGTTTAGAATTTCAGCTCAGTCCATATTTTGGGAGAACCAAATCTTGCTCCTTTCTTATGTACACCAAAAGATTACAAGTTTTCAACTCCACACTCCTGATTTCTGAATATAAAAGTCTCTGTAAAAAATGAAAAGAAAAAAGAAACAATTACTCCAAATAAAAAGTGACTGTGTAATCTAACATATTTTGTGAGATGAACAAGAGAGGATATCCTCCAAATCCACAAAGGGAATTGAAAGAAAGTTCCATACAGGAATTTGAGAAAAGCGATGATTGGTGGCTTACTTTTGTTTATTGAGCTTAGAGAGTCAGCTGAGAAGCAAAGAACACCCCGTGACTCAGCTAGCACAACGAGGGTGGTCAGTACATGGTGTTCATCACGGTGAAAGTGACGAGGAGGGAGGGCTTCAATGGCAACGTCACTATTTCAAGACTAGTGACCAATACTTACGCTCCTGACGATATAGAACATTCTTACATGGTTTAATGCTTCATAAAAAGTTTGCTGAAGCTAAAAATATTAAATGTTATAACGCTACTACACAAATAGCTGTAATTTGTGCAACATTAAATTCTTCTCTTAGAAGAAAAATGTACATAATATCTTCAGTTGTTTATCAAGTTTTAAGAACCATCTAAGTGTCACTAATTCATCCAAAAAAAGACTCTTCCCTTCAGATAACTGGTCTTATCAAGAATGCTGATAAACTGTGAGATATCTTTGAAAGCCACTCGACACGCTTCGGTCAACACCTTTCACCAATTGCTTCATAAATTCCTACAATGATAAATCATGCAGATAACTTAAAAGAATAAAATATAAATAATGAATAGCATTAGCTAAATTATAAAGACCACAAACGATTAGATTGAAACAAGTTCTTCTTTACAGTCCATTAGCTCCTGCAGTAAGCAGACCCAGAACAGAGTTGTCTCTCATGAGGAGAAGAAGAGTCTTGCAGACAGGAAGAGGGATGAGCAGCTGAGCGCTAGAAACAGATGAAAAAGGAGAGAGAGAGAGACAAAGAAGAAACATAGGTGGTCGCAATTTGCACCTAGAGCACAGAGAGCACCGATATCTAGTATCCCATCGTATTATTATGCTCGAGGGCGTTCGTAAGGGGGAACGGAGGTCCAGGGATGGCTGCCGGACGGGGCGGGTAGGTGTAGGCTTACTTTGGACTCTGGTGTGGGATTACCGTACTTATATTCAAGTCTAATATTAAGTTACCATTTTGCTTTACGGCAAGTGAACAGGCTGCCTGCATATAGGAAGCCATCCGAGCGCTCCTGGGACAGTCTGGCTCGCCCGTCTGGGCCCACCTACGATACACAAAGCCTCTTGGCCACCATCCTTCTTAATTGTGTGTCCTCACTTCCAAATAAGTGCCGCTTTTCCTCTAACGTCGTTCGAAGAAGCTCTGATAAAGTACGTTTCCATCGGTGTTCACTTTCAGATATTGTGAAGTTTCTGACTTGTCGTATTTGGAAAATGTGTCATACTTCTTTTCCTATCTTGAGATAGCAGTATTGTGAATCTTCTAACTACCTATATCGTTTGGAGAATATGTTTCTTTTCCTGTATTTTCTAACGTGTTCCTTTTCCGACTAATATTGCTCGAAGAGTGACGTTTCTCAAAGTGCAGCAGAAACAGTGCAGTGTCTCGCAGTTTTCTTGTCCTAAGTTCGAAACGCCAGAGATGGAGAGAAACTGAGGACAATAAGAAGGCAGAGGTACTGACTTCTGTGCGTGCTGGGGTTTGTACTAGACTTCCTAGCACCATTTGAAATCAGTACTACTCTTCTTAGCAATCCGCAGTCCCTTGGGGAATCTGGAGAAGCTCGAGGAATGCATTGCACAACCAGAGTTCGGTATTAAAATGTTATCAGTCGCTTTATGTATCCTCTTTTTCTGTTCGATACAATGTTCAACCGCGACACGGTTCCTTATTTTCTACGTCGTTTATAAAGTCTCTCGGCTTTCTATAATTACAACATATCATTACGTACATGTATAGAAACGTAAACGGTTAGCTGAAGAATTATTACATACAGGTTAGTCCGTTCAGGCTCTCGATTCGCCTTCAACGTATACATTCTCGTTCGAAAGACTCTCGAGAGTGAACGGATCTACTAACTATTTAGCGAGGCAGTATGGAACTTCGTAATAAATAACATCTGACCTCTAGGGTCGTGATAATGGCGTACAGTAAAAGAATACTATGCGTCTATGTACAATATCCGATTCGCAAGGTTAGAAAAGCACGTTGCTCTTCGATTAATCTTGCTCTGCATCCTGAGCTCGTCCTTCGCTATCCACGAATGTGATCCTGCGCACTCAAGGACACTTAGGTACTCTGTCGTTGCGTGAACCGTCAATCTCCGAATTCGGATTGTCGAGTAAAATAGTTTGTCGTGAGTGACGACCACTTCTGATCGGCGAGTAATGGAATACGACACTGGAGTGAATATCCACCAAACGGAGACAACGGCGACAATTTAACGACGACACCCATGGAACTCGTGATAACTGTCCGGCAGTTAGGTGGAGTCTTTGCTTCGACTGGTTGCCTGCAGCCTCGTCCAGGTTTCGCCCAACGCCTTTGCGAAGTGATCATCCACTGTAAGTAGAATTTTAAAAATAGAAATTTGTCCCTTTATTCCATTGACAGTTTAGTTACTATTAAATTAATATCAGGAAGAGGAAGATATACTAAGGTACAAGTCTAAATTGCTAAATCTTCAAGTTCAAAAGTTCCAAATAATTCCAGAAATTCTATATCTCCAAATCTAAAAACCTCAATGTTTAAAGAGTTAAAAAATTCTGAAGACCCAAAGTTTAAAGATTAGAAAAAAATCTGCAAAATTCCATGGACCTAAATTTCCAAAGATCAAAGTTACAGGGACTAAATCTTTCACAATATCAAATGCCACACGTAAGCTTTTAATACATGTAATTAAAGTTACACATATGTATATCAAAACGAACAAGTATGCACTGTTCTTGTAATCCCTCTTCCGCTTTTAAAGAAGATTAGTTTCTCGCACTGTCGTACCGCTGAGACCTGCTTCCTTGTCAGTAGTCGTAGCATTGAAAACGGCCGCGTATTCTTCCAGACCCAATGATCTCTTAAAGTGTTCGTCTATTGCAGGATCACTAACGCCACCCACTGTTCTAATACCGGTTCTTTGGCCTCCTGCTGTTGCTGCGGACGGTGTCAGCGATGGAGTAGGCGTTACTGCCGTGTCTTCGATCGTTGTACCTGGTAAATAATTACTTCTGTTAGCACTTTGGCCTCAAACACAATTTGTATGAATTTACAACCAGATCACCTACGTTAAATTTGTAAAACACCCTACTTCATTATTATTCGTCATTGAAATAAATTTCTCTCAAACATTTCTACATCTTTCCCCAAAGTTTTTGCACCTCTGATTCTCCCCTACAGTTTGAAAAGTGTGACTCTGGGGTCCAGACATAATCTCCACGCGTTTAAACAATACTCTGATCGCCGTTAATTACGTTCAACGAGAGAGACGTGACAATTTTTCGTTCTAGCCGCAAGGAATCCTACGGAAAGGCCGCAGATTAACCGTATTCCTCTATTGAACACGATTGAAACGCACGCATCTGCGTCCCGTGCATCACGCCGCATTGTCATGGCGCGTAGTCACCCCAGTGTCAGACAATAGGCACCCTTGCAGCCCCCTGTGAGAGCCCAAGAACAACGCAACACGCTTTAACGAATTCGCGACGAGACCTGGTTGCAGCAGGCATGCTTGCGTGCTTGCTTACCAGGCTGCGGCGTGGTTGGCACGATCACGCTGGGCCTGCTGTGATGATGGTGATGATGAACCCTGGCTGCAGACATGTCGAGAGCCTCACTCTGAATTGGATCTCTCCTACGCTCTTTGCGCCACGCGCTGCTTGGTTTCCGGTGTAAATTCGTCGCTTTTGGTCGCTCCTCTGTGAAAACACAAAGTGCATGAGCTTTTTGTACATTTTATATAATTATATATGGTTTGTAGTAGATTTATGTGTACAATATGTATGTGGTTTGTTGAGGAATAAATTTTTAATATCAGTATAATTGAAAAAATCTCATTTGGAAAATTATGATGGACCAGCAATGTTCCTTTTTCACTATAGACCAAATGTACTGCATTAGAAAACAATACAGGTGTTATTGTGATATGCCAATGAATTTTTGTTGCATGCATCACAGTGAACAGCTGAGAAAAAGAAGAGAGTCCAGCTTTCTATTTTCACTTATGTGTACATAGTTTGTCATAATTGTTAAGATAACAGAATAAATATCCTATTGTTTACATCTGACTTTGCAAACGAGAGACAACAACATGAAAATGTTTTATAAAAGCAAACTAGTAGCAAATGTATCAGAGATGAAAAAACGTGAGAAAAAATGTTGCGCATCCCCGAGCTTGTCGCCCCCATTATTTATGAAATACCAGGGGTTACCTATTTTCATTCGCCACGATATCTGAAATCGGAAATCGATGCTGACAACCCTTCGAACAATCGAGAACGAGCATACGACTGAAGGAAGAGAAAGAACAGGGCAGTAAAGGAAAGAGTCCGGTTCCCAGGACGAGGCAGGAAGTGCCTAATAGCCGTGAGAGGATCGTCAGGAAGACGGTCAAACTGGTTTAAAGACGAAGGATGAGCCAAAGCAGGCAAAAGATGAATGGACCAAACGTGTGGATCGAAGGTGAGCCTGCGATCATTCCGTTCAATTAACTTTCTCGTATTTCTGACTTCTCCTACTTTTCAGAGGTTCGCTCTACAAGGACATTCTTTTCACTTATGAAATCCATCCTCTACCTCAAATTCTGCAAACACGATACGAACACTTGGCACATTGAGTAGAAAAATGGATAACAAGTCCCGAGGAGATCACTTCTTGACGTACCTCGTGGCTTCTCCACGTTGAGCCACGGTTGCCAAAGGCATCTCCTTTTCGACGAGACCTCCATTGTCTCCGACCTCCACTTATCGGCCACGAGCAGCCAGTTCTTCGACTCCATGGTCAACCTTACGACTTGCAGATTCCCTACGCGATCCTCGAGTTCGAACGCCGAAGAAATAGAAGAAGAACACTGGAACGATGATGCTATTTGGCACACGGATCGTCCAAGGACTCGACTCGAGTAAGGATCTTCCTCTCGCCGAAGAAAGTGGCTTCCATGATGTCCTGGCCTCGAGAACGTCTTAGGAAAGCGGTCGAGTGGTCAAGTGGTCGCAAATTTGAACCGACGATCGACGCACCGAATACTCCAGAAAACCAAGGTCAAGGGTCATAATCGTGGAAACATTGGCCAAGGTACGAAAATAAAGAAACGAAGACCGTGCTCTTTTGGAAGAGAGAAACGTCGCTGAAAAGACCCGTGGATTCGTGAATGCCCCTCTTACACGACTGTCTTAAGATTCATTCATTCATCCGCCTCGTCCCGTCGTCTGCCCCCTCCACCACACGATGGGGAAGCTTGCCTTTTACACATGCAGGAGCTGCACGCATGGGTGTAGCGATGGGTGTCTGTCTCGTTCGATTACAGCCAACTTTATGAACAAATCTCTACCTACGAATAAACGATTTTAGTGTTTGAACGATTACAAGAACAAATACAGAAATATAATTGATTGAGAAGTACTAGTTAAGTCTGAGAATACTTATAACTTGTAGGCCCATATCTAAGGTTATCAAAGAACAGTTCAAAAATCGAGTAGCAACTAAATTAAATATTCCACTTGAGGATCAGTTTAACAATATCCTTCCTCCAAGATAAGTTCCATGAATTCCTTACAAAGTCCACTTCAATAGATCAAGAAGTTTGATCTCGAAGAACTTAAAGCCATCACTAGATGGCTACACGAACGCACGTGTGTGTAGATGATTCTATAGGATGGAGATACATGCACCTATGGCCAACTAACTCGCCTCTTTCCTCTTCCTCTTTTCCCCCTTTTTTTCTTCCTCAGGTAGGCAGAATACGTCGGCCAAAGCTGATCGATACACGCTCACCTATGCACATGTGCATCGAGTGCACGTGCACACCATCCACGCCGTCACGTTTACGAAAAAAATCCAACCGATAAGAGATCCCACCGAGAACTCTCCAATTCCAATTTCCTTCCCAGCTTCGGAGAAACTTGAAGAATTTTGCTCACAGAAATGTTCAAAAAAAATTATTCCAACATTTTTTAAACATGTAAGGAAGTTTTAACAAAAGGACCAATATTTTTCGAGGTGCTTTTGAAGACTCTGTATACGTTTTTGGACGGAGAGAATAGAAATAAAAGAATGCAATAATTAAACTATGTGGAAGTGACCTTGAACAGTTCATTGATTTTCGTGAAGCTATAGCACGCCAACTCGCTGTCAGCGCCATAATTCCCAAGCAAGATCAAGGTGCCACGTTATCCTCGAGGAATCGTGAAGCATCGAGCAGGAATGCCGAGTATTTTAATAGCAAAGAGACCAGGTAATCGCACGCGGTTATCAGACGTTCGTTTAACAGCTAATCCCATCGCTCGTGGGCGTGAATTTGCACAACATGTGACGATTTATGTCGTTCTTTCTTCCTCATTCTTCGGTAATCCAAATGAACAGATTCTATTCAGAAAGAAACAATCGAGTTGAGCGCAATTCGCAGGCGGAGGAATGTGCTGAATTAGAGAAACCTGCGAATGAAATACCACTGAAAATTAATATCGCAGTTTAAATCAATCTTTTTCGTTTCAACATGGATATAAAGAAATACAGCGCAGTCCTGCTATATGGCATCATAGTACTGACATTCCAGTAGCATGACAGCACACAGAAAGATACAGAAATTTATCATTTAAAAATTTAGGAATTTAGAAATTTTCAAATATTTGACAGTGAATTAATAAGAAATAATGTCAATAGTGTCCAGGGTCATATAGCGAGACTGTACCGTATCTAAATTTAAAAGGAACAAAATACTGTTGTTACGATAAACCATGCCTAAAATAAATCCATCAACACTAGCAGTTAACCTCATCGATCCACCAAAATTAATTGGCAAGATTCCGATGAGGATTCCTAAAAATATCGGGGTACTGGACCAGTTCGCCTCGAATATGCTTATTAATAATTCGTAAATTTATGGTAAACATATTTTTGGCCCGAGAAAGTCACTGAACGCGCCATCGTCCGCCACCGAGTGCAACTACGCCTGGTATTCGGAACAGGTTCGGGAGCTCGGAATTCCATCACAACAAACCACACGAGAACCAGTCACACTCTCGCCACACAAGCGAACCACAGCTCGTTACGGTCTGCTGTTCGATCCGATAGGAGTCGATGATTTATGAAAATTATTTCCAAAGCGATTCGTAGACCTCGTACGATGACACGCTGTTATTTTGCTCTTGATTGCTTTCTAGAACCTTTTCTCCAAACGATATACAAAATGTGTTTCGACAAAAATGACATCCTTATTCGGGGCTCTGGTACTTTAATATCTTTATCTGAAATTCGATTACTTTAGTATTTGAATATTTATATTTGATATATTATACTTTGGGAGTTTTTCCTACTATATTTTATAGATTACCATTTCCATTTTCACAACGTTTCACTATCCCACATTTAATTATAGAGACATCTAATACTTAAATAATTGATAATGAAATAGTCGCAGCAGAATGTGTTCTCATATGTAGGTAACAGTGATGCCATTCTAAACCGACAGATAACTGAATCTTTAAAACGGAAAAGGGTCAGAGGAATTAAGAGCCTAAACAAACAAATTTATCTATAATCCATAAGTTTTATCGCGCATAAACAATTCGACTATAGATAAGGAATTTGTTTTATTTTGCAACAAAAGCTATAAAAAAAAATTGCAATCAGACCCGATTTTTCATCGAAAAGCATTACCGTTTAACATCAAAACTTTCCATTCTTAAGTTTCGAAAGCAGAACGAAAGCAAAGAGTAGTTGCACAGGGAGGTGTTCATCGAAGAAAGCGATATCAAACGACAATCACGTGCGTTTCGCTATGGCGAACAACACGCGTCAGAAGAAGCTTCAAGTGTCTCTTGCCAACGGCCGCGTTGGAGAACCGGCAAGGTATCTAAAATAAACACTGCACAATGTTATCTAATTCGACGCGAAATTGGCATTTCGTAGGAATGCGAGCTTGAACTGGGCCGAAATATCGCGGTCTCCTTGCGATCCTATAACCAGAATCCATCGTCGTTCAATTAACCATTGACAACGATTCATGGAAACGCTAGTTAACGCTTTAATGACCGTGCATTTCATCGCGCGGACTACATTGAAAAATTCCGTAGCTTATCGTTGAGAACAGCTGATGGATCAATGTTCTTCACCTATATACACAGTCCATTGAGTAGATCGTATCAAGTAGTTTCACTAATTCAGAGCTCAATTTTCCAATCTAACAGATAAATTTCCTCTGAAGAATTTCTACGTCTCTGCTCACCCTCTCCCACCTCCATCAAACTCTTCTCAGCATCAGATTATTCAAGGATCCCACACGAAAGTGAGGTCTAACGTAGAACTAAAAAACTATACCCAATTATATTTCTCAGACATTCAATGGCATGCTATACATATTACAAAAATGTTGGTACCAGTATACAATGGAATGCAAAAGATTCCTCCAACTAAACTGACCTTGCACCATCGTCGCCGCCCTGGAGAGGACGTCCAAGGCGCTTTCGACAGCGGACATCTCCCTCTTCCTAGGAACCTCCTCCGAACTGTCTGCCGATGTGTGTCCTCGAGTGCAAACGGCTTTACCCTTGATACCGATACGTGATTGACGAGTTCGTTAATAGAAGGACGGCCCGATGTAGGTGCTCGTCCACGAGCAACCGCTGGAAGCCCGGCACCGACGTAGGAATCCGCTAGGGACAGAAGTCGAAGTTAACTGTTTGGGGGCCTTCCTCGCGGCCGAAGCCAGCACAAATAAAGTAAAACGGGGATTAAAAAACGTGACATTGTCTGTGGAATGCGGACCCCTCACCAGAGGCCCGCCTCTCGCTTCTTTCCTCGCCTCATCCCACCCACCCCTTCGTTGCTTCGCGAGTCTCCACATACCCCGCCGTGCAGTCGATCCCACTCCACCCACCGTTAGCGCGCTGGACTAGCGATAGACTCGACACGCTACACGAATCGGATTTTGAACAGTTTCGAACGTTAGATGAGAACAGTCTTTAACACGAAATGGCTCTTTGTCGGATGTAAAGTGAGGACTTCAAAAGTAGGTCATTTCTGGAAGTCTTGCATTGCTTCTAATTCTGAAACGGTCCACTTCTTTCAAATTTCAAACTGATGACGAATTTGATGGATGTTGAGGATTTGCTGGATTTGTTGATAGGAAGCAGGTGATCATATCCTTATGGAAAGCTTATGGAGACTTCAGATGAATACTTCAGGGTTCTCGATATTGGGACATTGCTAAAATTATTTAACATAATTAGAAATTTAACCTAATCTAATACACAACTTTTATTGTACAAATCTACTTATTCTTACTTGAAATTAAGTTAGATTACATTTGGAGTTTGAACAAGGATAAGTACATATGAATCATTCCGACTCTACAAAGACAGAATTTGGAATGTGGGATACCTGCACATTCCTGCTATGAAACATGAATTCTACAACTTCTTGAGTCCATCACTAGCCACTGTTTCTCTTCTCACTCCCGTATCACGCCCCCTGCTCTCTTTCCAAACTTCCACGCAACCGGCGTCGTACGGCATCGCAATTTCATTCGAACGATATAAACAATGGCCTCTCGAAATTGACATTCTTTCCAGGAATTACCCTATCTCTCGATACTCTCGCATTCCTCTTTGCTCTTCGTAAAATGGAAAGTCCACAAACGCAACCCTTCCACGTTATTTGCTAATAAAATACAAACATTCGTTTAACAAAATTCAGAACGAATTTATCGAAACAAGATATAGCGAATGATCTCATGATCTGAATCCAATACCTTACTCCTCGATTAACTCTCGCAATTTACGCTTGTCCGATTCTCGATAAAATTTAATCACCACATTAATTATCGCGTTATTCTTTTTAGTTTGTTTGGAAAATATTACATGATACCTCCCGTAGTGTTTCGGCGTAAGTAGATTACCGGATTTCAGAGACCGCCAAAGTTTGATAACGATAAAAAATTATCGGTAAACGGAATTTGTTGAAAGCGATGAATCAACGAAACGTTGAACGCATTTGAGTATCGCGTAACAATGCATACAGCATGCAATGCACACACACGCATACAGCCATAACCAATACTATAAAAAATAATGTTTTCTCGTTATGGCGCGTAAAATAGATTTCGTACGAAGGAATTTTACGAAAGCAAATCGAGCCAGTGAATTTCGAATGAAATAAGAACATTTTTACCGACCAGGCGACGGAACAGAAGTATTTGTCGGAGTAACGTGTCCGTCAGTCACAAGAATCAATAGAGGAATGCGGCGTAGCGTGAAAAAAAAGCAGCGAGCCACGCATTCCTCGAGGTAAATCGAATGGTGGTTCTCTTGCAACGCGAATGTCTTTACTTACCGAACGTTACGCGATGACACCCGCGCGAAACTGCGATCAAACATTCGGCACGACGTACGATGGCATGTCGAATTAACACACGGCACGTATTTTCATTGAAAATGATGAAAATCTAATGGTATGCGGGCGGACACACGGAACACAGGCTGCTTGACATACGAGAGACAGCCTCGCTTCCCCACTACTTCAACATTACAATGGAATGTATGGTATTTGCCCGTTGCAGCGCGATCTACGGACAAAATTGCCAACTACAGCTGTGCTATACTTCATATAAATATGGTCTAAAGCAGAAATACCGAATGTATGAGCAGCATTGACTATTAAAATATAAACAATTTTTAAATAAAAATATGACACTTAGAATAAAAAGTGTCTCTTTCTTCTCCTACCTTTGTTTTTAAAATAGACAAGTGACTGGGTCACGGAAGTAGGACTGGGATTTTGGATATCTTAACTTTGAATCTTTAGAACTTTATATCTTTGAAACATTAACAGTGATTGGATAACAGTGGATTGAATTTTTGCGCGACTATTGGATTGCATGATTAATTGTGAGGAACAGCATGATTATGGATATTAACTTGTATGAATAGATTCTAGTACTATCGTATACTCTTCTGAACAGGACTTGAAAGGATAATACAGAAAATATTACCATAAACAATGCTTTAATAACATTTATTACTATATTCCTGCTCACGCTATCCAATCATTAAAAATGAGATCGAAAAGCATTACAAGGACATAAGCTTATGTCGAGAGTCAATCTTACAATAAAAAGAATATTAAAACAAATACAATAGATGCGGGCGAATGTAAAGATACATAAGTTGCTTGAATAGATCCACATATATCTGCCATTACATTCCTGTTTCACCGCATATAAAATTCAATTATACAAATTCTAGAATACAAATTGTATTATAGTATTACAGAATTACGCTTTATCGCGTAAGGATTACCTTAATCTATGTACATGTAACAACGCATCTTCGTCCAAGGTAAAATGTGTACACGTGTGATGAGTTTTCAAGGCATATCACTTTTTTGATCTTCTTCGTCGTCGCTTATGTTATCCAACGCATAGCAAAGCTAGAATTAAAAACAGAATAGAAACCAAAAGTTACAGGAATGTTTTAGTTAATACATACATCCTCTATATCGGATCTTTTCAATATCTGTTCCAATCCAGACAAATTTTCTAAGTAATTCGGCACATTGCACGCATCCAATACAAACGATAAACCACGGTTTTTATATTCCGTGATAACAGGCACAGAACACGCTGTGCAGGCAGTGAACCTATGCGTAATTGTCAACTGCATATCATAATTCCAGAGAGACCCGCGTATCGTATGCGGCACACATCCTAACAGTCCAACTAATTCAGTATCGTTTTGACTAATACTGTCCCTGTTATTACCCACTAATGCTCTAGCTTCGATGCTGTGAAGTGTGAAAACAGAATGTTAAATTAAATTTCATTAATTAATAGAAAGTCCCTATTCCGTAGTTACCCCTGAGGATGTTGTGTTATGGCTACCAGTAATTCAACAGCTAATCCTGCAGCCATTTGTGATAAACCTGGCCTACTAACGGTGCATTGTTGGTCCAATGTTCTATCAGTTTGTGACTGTAAAATGTAGAAAATAAACATAAAACTAATGGAAATTGCAACTTATGGACAGTTCATGGTGTACATACATTTCCTGGCTGTGTTACGTCGTTACAAAAGTAACAACCCAAATCTACACCACAAGGATTCTTTATATCCAAATCTGGAGAAAACGGAACTGAAAGATCGCGTGTACCGTGCCTCTGCACTGTATACGAGTCGAAGCCTAAAGCTGCGTTGATAGCGATTTTGTTCATCGCTGCGCATAGAACAGTGGGTAACCACCTGGCTTCACGGGAATCCAATAAAAGAAAAACTACGTCGTTCTTCTCGACAAGATCCTCTAATTGTTCCAGTGATTTTTTTGTAGACGCCATCATACTTTGACCAACAACGTGTCCAGGCATTGGGATGTGTAGGACCACGCCATTTGCGTTCTGTGTTTTTAATACAATTTAATACAGTGAAATATTATATGATATAAAAAACACGTTTAACTACCTACCATAGTTGGTCTGATACTAAGCAGTGCGTCTCTAGCTGCATGAGCCTTGTACTTATGTTTCACAGCATCTTCATGATTATATAAACTTTGTCTCACAGTGTTACTATGAGAAACATTGGAGCTATCAACAAAAGTTATGTTGTTCACTCCCCATCCAAGAAGTACTCTTGCTACAGCACAACCCAAAGTGCCAGCACCCAATAGAAGGCATCTAAGATTACTAACCTTTTCTAAATCTAAATCTGGGACCAGACGCCATTTCATTAATTTCAAGTTCAGGTTAATAGCTCTATCCAACAATCTAATAAACAGCACAAGTTCCAATGAAATGTTTTAAATGCAAATAGAAGTTGTATCTAACTAGGTTTTCAAATAATTACTTGGCTGGATCCATGTAATGTGATAAATCAATTATAGTAGGGCCCATTTTACCAGCTGCGTTTCTCTCCCAGCCAACCAAAGGACAATCAAATATAGTTTCTCTAAATGCTTTGGAATCATCATATTCCTTAGTTTTTAATTTGAAAACAATACTTTTGTGTGCTTTATTTCCTCGTACAGATATAATTTTAATAATTTTTGTGAAGCAATATGTAGGACAGTGCCAGAACAATAGACACAGCAAATTGCGTAATGGCCACCCAGGTTGAATACTTGTACAAGGATCATAAAATGCAAAGTAAACTTCGCTGTTATCCTAAAGAAATAAACTATGAATAGAAATTGAGATAAACAATGTTGGTATATGAAATATATTCAATACCTGCAATCCTTTTGAATCAGCTGCATTTGTCATAATAGTATTAACTCCTGTTGCTAAGTCAACAATACTCATGTCACCTTCCTTAGATATTAAGACAGAAAAATAATTTTTAGATCTGCTATCCAATTGAGAAAAGCCTTTACATAGATTATCAAAAGTATTCGGGAATTCTTCATCAACTAGTTTTGGATTCCCCTGATAATACATTTCAGGCAATTTTGAAGGAGTAGGATGCGCAACCCAATAATGAAATCTATACTTTTTTAAATCTGAATAAGCCACAATTAAAAATAGTGACAATTTCCATGGTTTCTGTAATACTGATCCATCTTGAATACTAATAATTAAATCCTTTCCAACAGTATCAATAAGTTTCTCAGGATCTATCTTTCGAAATGATTCAAAAGTATTGGTATTAATCATGTGCCCCGAACAAACTACAGATGAATTATGATTAAATGTTTCCGTATCTCTAAAAATGATAAACATGTAATTCTAATTGTATTTAACAAGTAACCAAATTGAACTTACTCATTGAATGATGTGCAATCCATTACTAATGGATTATTATTCTCTTCTTGTAGAGATTCGAGATTGTACATTCCCCATAAATTAATTACTGATTTTTCATCCAATTTGAATTTATCTATTTTCAGTTCTGCAAATTTAGCCCAAAAAGTACAATCTGTAGTAGACCTAAGAGGTGTGAATTTGACAAAGTTCGACATATTTCAGCCTCTGACAGATAAGAAATCTGAAAATGATTTAATGTTAATGTTATGCTCAATATGCTTCATTTGATAAGAATGACAAACTCACAAATGCCTGTATTGGAAACTCCAGTAACGTCCGTGGTCTGTTTATCTAAATATCCTATTGAGACCACTCTATAATCGCCGATAATTATTAAATTGACGACACGATGCGGACGGAATTCATAGAACTGAAAAAAATAATTTTTATTTATTGTGTACTTTGTGTGGCAGATGTACGAAATTTGTAGACATTATATACACGCATGCGCATGTTAATATAATAAAAATAAACGTTCAAAACAAATGAAAAAGCGGTATTTATAAACGTTCTTGACAATCCTCCATTTTTCATTTATTTGACCTAAAATTAATAATGACAATCATTTTATTGTAATATAGTAGTGTGGTAGTATTAGAAAGTAGTGGAATGATAGAAATACTTTAACATTAAAATAGTAGAATAGCAAAATAATAAAACAGTTGATTTTGTCAATTGATTCTAAAGTTATCACGTTACATGACCTTATAATTTGACAGTATTAAAAAGAAAGCTGTAAATTATTTTTTATCTCTTCTCATTAAAAAGTACATTCGTACGGTACTGGTGATGACGTCACAAAGACAGTATGGCCGGACAGCATCGGCTGTCTGCACTGTAACTTTGAAAGACGCTTTTCGGGGGTTCAAAGGGATATTTTAAAGAAATATGTCGGATTACTTAAGATCTGCTTTTGGATACTTGAATGGTGCTACAAATACAAACGAATACGTGGGACAAATATTGGAAATCAACAATGTAAAATTACGTGTGACTAGGCTACTTGCCGAGGGTGAGTCTGTCAACCCTTTCACTTGTTCACTGTATCATTTTATTCACGTAAAGTATTCGTCTTTTGCAGTGACTTCTCCTAATTTCTACGTGAACAAATTCGTTTTTCATTTTAACGCCCCATGGTGATGCAAAATAATCGCATTGATTGTGCGAACACCGTCAATTCCTCAATCTTTTGACATGTGTCAAATAAGTTTTGACATTCAGATGTATATACATCACATGTTTAAATTACGCTTTATAATATATTAAAAATAGCTAAATATTTACTTGCTTGCATTGATTTAAAAGTTTTCGTGTTTGATTAAAAAAAAATTTAATATATTTTTTTTATAAAAATGCACTGTAATTCATGCATATTTTAAGAAAAAACAAAAGTTAAACATAGTAAACAATTAGGTTCAGACTTTTGTATGATAAAATACTATGGATTCATTCAGAAATATCAATATCTATCTTTGTTATGAAATTTAAAAACAAAATATTCTCACAAAAATAAAGTTTTTAATACAAACATCTTAATATCTCAACACTTAGTCATATTTCTGTGTACCATTTGCAAAACATAATGATTGTTTATACATGTGTCATTCTCCTTTTCATTCTTGTAAAATTTTTTATTATTGTTGTCATATGAATATGTTCTGTCAACAGGTGGTTGGGCTTTAGTATTTGCTGTAGAAGATGTTAACACAGGAAAAGAATATGCTCTTAAGGTAAACACACAATATTTACATTATTATAATATACTTGAAAACATGTTATAACATATACATCTGTATTTTTAGAGACTCTTTGCAGTTGACGATGAGGCTAATAAAAATATTGTGCAAGAAATAGAAACTTTAAAGAGGCTATCGGGTCATCCAAATGTAATTCAATACCTATATGCTCAGCGCTTAGAATGTGAGGATCGTAAAGGATACGAATATCTATTAGTGACAGAATTATGTCCTGGTGGTACCGTAGCAGATATACTTAGAAGTTTAACAACAAATTCCCTATCACTTGCCCAAATTTGTAAAGTAGCCTATCAAGCAACCAGAGCTGTGCATCACATGCACAGTCAACAACCTGAACCATTCGTACATAGGGATATAAAGTTAGAAAATTTCTTAATTGGAAGTGATGGTTTAGTCAAACTCTGCGATTTCGGTAGTACTTCAACCCAACAAATTTTACCGAATCCGTCATGGAACGCTCAGAAGCGGGCCACGTTAGAGGATCAAATGGCAAAGTATACAACCCCTATGTACCGCGCGCCTGAAATGATGGATACATGGAACAATGAGCCTATTGGCCCACCAGTCGATTGTTGGGCACTTGGTTGTATACTGTATTCCTTGATAACGTTAAGGCATCCGTTTCCTGAAGGTATGCATTGAATTTAAATAACAACATCAGTTTTGTCACTGTTACTGTGTTTACAGGTAATAAACTTGCAATCGTTAACGGCAAATATTCACCGCTCCCTGCTAATCCTCGTCTAGCCTGTCTCCATGACATAGTAAAAGGTTGTTTAGAAGTATCTCCGGTACGCAGACTCACGACATCGATGATACTGGAACGTCTCGCAGCAATAGCAGAATCAAATAATTTTGATCCCAGAGAACCCCCGAAGATAGAAGTTCCAGTCAAAACACCACCTCCTCCTAGACCTGCACCACCACCGAGTACACCTGCTCCACCACCAAGGCCAACTCCTCCGGTAAATGTACCACCTCCGAGACCCGTACCGGTTCAAACGGCCGTCGCGAAGGTCCCGGTTGCTCAATCGACAGGCCTATTTAGTTCGTTAAAAGGCGGTGCTGGTAGTATTCTACGTAACTTAAAAGATACCTCGAGCAAAGTGATGCACTCCGTGCAACAAAGCATGGCTAGAACTGAATTAGATGCAAGTTACTTAACGTCACGTATATTAATAATGCCGTATCCAGCGGATGGAATAGAATCTGCCTATCGAGCCAATCATGTGGAGGACGTCAGAGCTTTTCTTCAAGCTCGACATCCACCTCCGGCTCGTATTCAATTATACAATTTATCCCGTGCACGACCGAACGTGACTAGGCTTCCTGGTAGACATATCGATTGCTCGTTTGCCTATGCTACGTCGGAATCTAATGCTCCACTGTTGTCTGCGTTGTACCAAATTTGCCAGGACATTTATCGATACTTGAACGCAGACTTTAATCACGTTGTAGTGTTATATTGTACCGTGAGTATACCTTGTATATTTATTATGCAAGTATAAACCAAGAACTATAGCTGTAACGATGGTTTCAGGATGGATATCGAGCGAGCGCCACTATCGCTTGTACTGTACTCATTTATGCTAAAGCATTAACGACCCCTGAAGAAACGATAGCACTGTTCACAACTAGGCGCTGTCAGCCACCTCAATTGCAACCATCGGAATTACGCAGTATTCATTACATGAGCTTATTAAGTAGTGGTATACAACCTCATACGAAGCCGTTGGCTCTTCGCTCGTTACTTATACAACCGGTGCCGTTGTTTACCAGAGCAAAAGATGGCTGCCGACCCTACGTAGATGTCTATAGTAATGGTGCATTAGTTTTCTCCACCAAGCGGCCAGAGTATGAGGACATGCGACTGTTTGGCATGATGGAAGGGAAAGCTTCCTTGGCGTTAGGAAACATAACAGTTCGTGGAGATGTTACTATAGTAATATTCCATGCTCGTCAGCAACTTGGCCGTATAATTGGAATTAAAATTGCGTGTGTTCACTTTCACACCGGTTACATACCTTTGACTGAAAATACTTTAACGTTTAAGAAGAAAGATTTGGACGACGCGCCTGAAATCGGAGGAAAATTCCGTGTTGTTTTGAATATAATGGTAGCTGAAGAAAATTCGAAGCTAGCTAGGGTACCAGCACCTTGGGAGGCAGACGCGGCTGGCAACTTGATCCCAGATCCATTATTTGGATCCACTTTAGAAATGGAAGAAACATTAGAGAACTTTAGAACTGCTCAACCAGAAGAGGTAAAAACTTGGAATAAAAAAAGGATTACTTGGTAGCTAATATACGCAGTTTTCTAATATTTTAATTTTGTGTTAGATTCAGAAAGAAGTATCAGCTACACCAGCGGTTGAAGTACCAAGTAACGTCAACGTGCAAGAGGAAGTTAAACCGGAAGAAACTGTAGAAGAAAAGACTAAAGAAGAAAGTATCCCGCAAGAAGCCGATCTACTAAACCTAGGAATGCCAGATACCAGTACCTTAAATTCTCCACAGCCTCCAGTAAACCCTGGATTAGACATTTTTTCTAGCTCTAGTCAAAACGAAAATGATCTCTTAGCAGGTTTTGGTGTTTTTACTCAGCAAGAAGCAAAAAGCACCGCACCCAATATTAGTGATCCCGTCCAAAATGATTTACTTTTTGGACACGATCAGCCTACGAAAAACGATAATACTAACAATAACTTAAGTATGAACAATTTATTTTTTGATCAGAGTCAATCCAACAGCAAACAGCAAGTCAACGATTTGTTGTTCGATCCTTTGGGTGGAAACTCTGCGAATAATCTGTTAGGGGGTATGCCAAGTTCTAAATCGAGTACCGTGAAACCTTCGAACACCGAGGAGAGCTTTCCACGGAACTCCAGTGTTCCAAACTTTGCTGCACAGAACAAGGATCCATTCGCTAATCTTGCCAGTTCTCTGGGGACTGGTTTAACGTCCAGTTGGAATGGAACACCAAGGAATTCGAATACTCCACAATCAGCTAGTCCTGCGCCAGCTAGTACACCGATTCATTCCAATCCTAATGCGCACAGGTCAAATGCAACTACTGAGAATAATATGGCGGATAGTGGTGCTTCTAGCAATAAATCAACTAAATCCAGCGGTGATGCCTTTGAAGATTTACTTGGTAGTCAGGGATACAACTTCTTCAGTTCGAGAAAAGCAGAAAAGGACAGTCCAAAGACAATAAATCAAATGAGGAAAGTTGAGGCTGCTAAGACGATGGATCCAGATCGGTTAAAGATAGCCGAATGGACAGAAGGCAAGAAGGGCAATTTACGTGCTCTTCTTTGTTCGATGCATACTGTTCTGTGGCCAGAGGCTGACAGGTGGCAACGTGTCGAAATGCACCAATTAGTCACAGCGGCAGATGTTAAGAAAGCTTACAGGAAAGCTTGTTTGGCTGTGCATCCGGATAAGGTATTCCATCAAATTACTGTTGTAAACAATTAACATCAGTCTGAATTATCGACTAACTATATTCCTGTTTTTATTGTTATAGCAAGCAGGGACGGCCAACGAAAATATAGCAAAATTGATTTTTATGGAACTGAACAATGCCTGGAGCACATTCGAGAATGATGCGTCACAACAAAACTTATTTAGTTAATTCCAATTACTGTTACTTGTTGCAAAAAATGAAATTTATGTCCATGATTAAGGTAGTTCCTAGCGGAAAGAGACCCGAGAATATTATTTTAATGTAAGATAACTCCGTGTTACATTCCAGCTATGTTATTTTAGCTGTAGCGACAAAAATTTACCGGATTCGATAGCGAAAATGAAATGTTTGAAGTTGCATTTGAATGGCTACCTGTGTATATGCATCTTTATCGTATAAAGCCTTGTAAGATCACTTACTGTATTAAGCGTATTGTGGTATAACGTATATATGTATATAAGGCAAATGTAAATTAAGGAAGGTTCCAAATATATAAAGATATTTTCCGGCCAAGTATTTTGTTTAACACCCTCTATCTGTTAGTTCTTTAAAGTCAAGATTTTAGAATTTATAAGTTTGGGAACATTTTAAAGACTTTAGGATTTTTAAATAAATTGAACAATGAAAAATTTGTGTAGTATTCTTCCTTAGAGGTTTAAGCAAGTACGATTTTGCTTAGTAGTTAATTAGCTCTGTATATAGCAAGGTCGTTTCTTGGCAAAAAAGAAATGGATATGAAAAAGGAGCATTATAAGGATGCGTTTATATTCGAAACTCAATGCCTCATGGTTCTACAAACACACATATGTAAAAAACACGTATATATATAGCACGTATCTGCGCAAGTAGTGTGTAACGTAGGGGTGAAACTTAAAGGGAGGGGCTTCACGAAAATGGCTGTTATGCATGGGGTAGGACGTCTAGAAAAGAGCAAGTGACGGTTCATCCCTGTCTTCCTCATTGACCGATTGACATTATTTTACGACGATTTGTACGGTTATCTAATCGATAACTATTATGTGGCGGTTAAGAAGTAATCTTCGTGCTCTGCTTCATCCACCACCGGACCTACGGGATATAATTCCTTTCGGTAAAAGGTAAACTGTTCTCGATACTTGATACTTTAATGCCCTATAAACGAATAAATCGGATTAAATTAGATCAGCTTAATTTTATGTTTCAACTCATTGCTTACGGGCATCATATTATTTTACGCTAAAGTAAACCATTGAGAATGATAAATGTGACAGTATCGTGAAAAATAGATAATATAAAATAAAAAATTGATTTTGTCGAACGCGCGATTATTTTATACCTAAAAATTTAACTATGATACTATTTGTACAAAGCTACTAATAATTTAAAATATTTATGTTTGCAATTGTCAACAGTGTGAGGCTATGACTATAATACATACAATTATATATATACTACAAATCACTTAATTACAAACTACAAATCACATAAATTTTTATTTTAACAATTCTAGATTAGTACTTTATATGGATGATGTGAGTCAAACCAGTTAAATAAGCATACCGGAGAAACAGAGAAAACGCGAAGATGATTGGCAGCCCTTGGAAATTTACATTTCTTTTCTTACTGGCAATTTTATTTTGCTCGATAGCTTCCTCTTACACGGACTCTGCTAGATCCGTGAGGGCTGTCAAAGGAAGATCGCGAACATATTCTGCGTGGAGATTGGTGCTATGTTTGTCACAATCCCAAGGTTCGCTTAAGAGAGACGTACAGAAAGCATGGGAAAAAGCAAGGCTGGAATCATCTCACGCAGATATGAGTGTATTCTATGTGGAGGCACCGCCAAAAAAAGATTTACTCCCTAATCCTTTATCATTACTGAACAAATTCTGTAACGAAATTGAAGGTGGGAAAACAGTGTTGAACCTTGTCATTGGAGGAGGATCAGCAGCCAGGTTTCTTGTTACGGCTGCGGCTTCTTTGAATATTCCAACTTTATGGCTGCCATTTACGCATGAAGATTTCCTTAGACAGGTTTGTGAAAAACTATGCTTTATTCTTTGTTAATAATCATGGTTAATCAAAAATTGTGTTTTACAGGGAGATCTTGGACAGTATGAAAGTCGTATAGGCTCCAGTACCAAAGAAGTGGGAGCAGCTGCTGCTGCTTTGATGCACAGAGCAAACTGGCATGCGTTCACTCTTCTTATAGATACCACTTTGCTTCCATTGACTCATCTTTTACACGCGAATCAAACGACTTTAACGCCTAGAACGATCATACATCTTCCAACGAACGATAAAACTTTGAGAATGAGGCTGAGACGAGTTGCTGAAGAAGGTGGCAGTGGAGGAGTTATAGTAATGGGTTGTGATTTGAACAACGCAAGAAAAATAATTGCTGTTGCTGGAAAATATGAAATGCTCGCAGGAAGATTTTTGTGGCTCTGGTTAGATCTGAAGGCAGAGTTAAGACCTAATGAACCAAATATAATCAGTTCTCATATCATACACGGCTCAAGAGCATCGATTGCAACGAATGAAAATCCTGCTCCGATAGAGGGTATAAGTCGAGCCGCAAATCTCGTACCTGAGAGCCAGTTATCATTGAACGCTTTGCCAAGCTTAGCCAATGATATACATCGATTACAAGATTACAGATGGCAGAACGAAAAATCCGTGGGTAAACAAGAAGACAAAGGCTTTAATTTCGACGACGACGAAGAGATTAGAATAACAAGTAAAGAGTTGAACTCAAAAGATTTTATGCCAGTGGGTATGCTGGCGTTAAGGCCATCTGGCATTAAATTAATGGGCAGTGATACCATACTATCCAGAGTAATACGGGAAACTTCTCAAGCGTTAGATGAAACGTTTCTGGAAGTTGAACCGAAACTAAATTACATGGGAGAGTCTCATTTGGACGATAATTTTGTACCAGAATGTCTCCCAAAACGAAACTTCAAATTCTTAAACAGCGAAATAAGAAATAATGTTTCAAAGATTCTAACACAGAAACTGAGAAAGGCTGTAAGTCAGGTCTCTAAAGACAAGGCTAAATTTCATTTATTGAATCTGCAGGCTATTCGGTTTCCTGGTAACAAGACTCAATTAAGGTTTATTAACAATAAAGTATATATGAAAGTATGTCATCTACCAGTGAAATAAAATTTTTAATGGAATTTTTCCCTGATAGGTGGACCAAAGTGGGAACAGTTAAAGGTGGGAAGGAGGTTCACTTAGATACAATAATCTGGCCAGGTGGTGGAATCGTGCCAGCATATCTGGAACAAGGTGGCGAGAAGATTGGCATGCCCATGTACCGCATCGTCACAGCGCTGGCCTCACCGTTCACCATGGTGACGAACCTGCAGGAGGGTCTCTGCCTAAGAGGACTGTTCTGTCGTCAAGAGAATATCCTGATGTGTTGTTACGGTCTAAGCATGGACTTACTGTCCTTGGTGTCCCGTGAACTGGGATTCCGTTATGACCTGTACTTGGTGAAAGATGGTCTGTTCGGTAAGAGAAACGGTAGTAGCGGTACGTGGAATGGAATAATGGGAGAACTGGTATCTAGCCGAGCCCAATTGGCTTTCGCGCCCTTGAGTGTCTCTGCTCGCAGAGCGGAAGTGGTCGACTTCACCACACCTTACTTCTTCAGTGGAGTGAGCTTCCTCACGGCACCAAAGCCAAATTACGAAATACCACTGTTCGCATTCCTGTTTCCATTCAGTACAGAGCTATGGATCGCCGTGTTTACGTCGCTGAACTTCACTGCCATAGCAGTGGCTCTATACGAATGGTTAAGCCCTTTTGGTTTGAACCCTTGGGGTAGACAACGAAACAGGAACTTCTCGTTAGCCTCTGCTTTATGGGTGATGTGGGGCCTCCTGTGTGGCCACCTTGTTGCCTTCAAAGCACCGAAATCTTGGCCTAACAAGTTTCTCATCAACATTTGGGGAGGTTTCTCTGTTATTTTTGTGGCTTCCTACACGGCCAACATAGCTGCCCTGATCGCGGGTCTTTTCTTTCATTCCGCAGGGAGCAATTACGACAAAAGCGTAAGTATGTGTTAATAAGCTATAAGCCATACTAGCAAGGAGAAAGATATCTGGCAGATTATTCTCATCATTCCTAGATACTTACCTGTAGCGGTGGTGTTACAGTTACTGTTACAGAAAGTCGGTGCACCAAGGGCATCAGCGGCCGAGTACTATGTGCAAAAAGCGAATCCCGATTTATGGCCTCACATGGCTCGGTATTCATTGTCGAACGTCGCCGAGGGCGTAGAAAGATTAAGGAATGGCAGTTTAGATATACTGATAGCAGACACCCCTATTTTGGATTATTATCGAGCGACAGACGACGGATGTCGTTTGCAAAAGATCGGGGACACCATAAACGAGGACACGTATGCCGTTGCTCTTGCTAAAGGGCATCCTTTGAAAGAAAGTATATCAAAAGTAATAGCCAATTACACGAGTACAGGGCTACTTGACATTTTGCAAGAGAAATGGTAAAGTATTCAAAAAGCAGAGCAGTGAAAAGATTTTTAATGCGTTGACACTATGATAAGTAGATGATATTTTTTAGGTACGGTGGTTTACCCTGTATTGGAGGGAGAAAAGGTATGGACGCAGGTCTCATGCACGAGCAAAGAGGTCAACCTAGACCTTTAGGCGTGGCATCCGTAGCTGGTGTATTTTGTCTACTAGGAATGGGTGTCGTGCTTAGTACTATTATATTAGCCGGGGAGCACTTGTTTTACAAATACACGTTACCCAGGTTGAGACACAGACCGGAAGATTCTATATGGCGCAGCCGTAACGTAATGTTTTTCTCGCAGAAACTGTACAGGTTCATTAATTGCGTGGAGCTGGTGTCGCCGCACCATGCAGCCAGAGAACTGGTTCATACAGTACGACAGGGACAAATTACCTCCTTGTTTCAAAAAAGCGTTAAACGAGTAAGTAGCCTTCGTTTCTGTTAGTTCGTTTGTTCATCGCATATCTACAAGGTGACCATGTTCCAGAAGGAACACGAACAGCGTCGCAGACGTAAAAGCAAAGCGCAGTTCTTCGAGATGATTCAGGAGATACGAAGGTAAGCATCAAAGCTGAGAGATTCGTCATAAAATTCAAACACGATTCTACTTTACTACTTTTAAAATTTCTACAGAGCAACCAACAAGTTAACCGTTCTAATTCCATAGAGTTCAGCAAGAGGAGAAGATAGAAACAGTTCCTGAGGAAGAGGAGAAGGTGTCGACGATCAAGAAAGAAGAGAAAGCCATCAAAGAAAGAGAAAGGAGCTGGAGCAAGAGTCCTCTGATGCTTCGAAGTCCCAAGAGATCAGAAAAAAGCAGAAGCTCCACCAATTTGTCGAGTTCCAGGCTGGGCTTGTCTCCGATCAGTCTGGACACTCCGATGAAACCCAGAGAGTTCACTTTAAGCAGCACTAATCTTAGAGCGAGAAGTCCACTGGAGACGGTGGGTCGACGATTGAGCCACGGCGACGGTGGATTTAGATATACTGATAGCAGACACCCCTATTTTGGATTATTATCGAGCGACAGACGACGGATGTCGTTTGCAAAAGATCGGGGACACCATAAACGAGGACACGTATGCCGTTGCTCTTGCTAAAGGGCATCCTTTGAAAGAAAGTATATCAAAAGTAATAGCCAATTACACGAGTACAGGGCTACTTGACATTTTGCAAGAGAAATGGTAAAGTATTCAAAAAGCAGAGCAGTGAAAAGATTTTTAATGCGTTGACACTATGATAAGTAGATGATATTTTTTAGGTACGGTGGTTTACCCTGTATTGGAGGGAGAAAAGGTATGGACGCAGGTCTCATGCACGAGCAAAGAGGTCAACCTAGACCTTTAGGCGTGGCATCCGTAGCTGGTGTATTTTGTCTACTAGGAATGGGTGTCGTGCTTAGTACTATTATATTAGCCGGGGAGCACTTGTTTTACAAATACACGTTACCCAGGTTGAGACACAGACCGGAAGATTCTATATGGCGCAGCCGTAACGTAATGTTTTTCTCGCAGAAACTGTACAGGTTCATTAATTGCGTGGAGCTGGTGTCGCCGCACCATGCAGCCAGAGAACTGGTTCATACAGTACGACAGGGACAAATTACCTCCTTGTTTCAAAAAAGCGTTAAACGAGTAAGTAGCCTTCGTTTCTGTTAGTTCGTTTGTTCATCGCATATCTACAAGGTGACCATGTTCCAGAAGGAACACGAACAGCGTCGCAGACGTAAAAGCAAAGCGCAGTTCTTCGAGATGATTCAGGAGATACGAAGGTAAGCATCAAAGCTGAGAGATTCGTCATAAAATTCAAACACGATTCTACTTTACTACTTTTAAAATTTCTACAGAGCAACCAACAAGTTAACCGTTCTAATTCCATAGAGTTCAGCAAGAGGAGAAGATAGAAACAGTTCCTGAGGAAGAGGAGAAGGTGTCGACGATCAAGAAAGAAGAGAAAGCCATCAAAGAAAGAGAAAGGAGCTGGAGCAAGAGTCCTCTGATGCTTCGAAGTCCCAAGAGATCAGAAAAAAGCAGAAGCTCCACCAATTTGTCGAGTTCCAGGCTGGGCTTGTCTCCGATCAGTCTGGACACTCCGATGAAACCCAGAGAGTTCACTTTAAGCAGCACTAATCTTAGAGCGAGAAGTCCACTGGAGACGGTGGGTCGACGATTGAGCCACGGCGACGGTGGATCACCGCCCCCTCGTCTGGGTTCGCACTTCGGCGGCAGTGCAACACTGCGACCTTTTGCCCCAACGAAGAGCGACCCGACCGGAAGTGCCACGTCAACTATGAAGGGTGAGTCGAGCGGAGGTGGTGCACCCACACCAAGGTACGCTCGTAGTCCTGCAAAACGTGGCCAGTCGTTCCCGGTATTCGCCACGCTGAGGCCACCTCATTCCTCCGGTTACCAAATGTCCAAGAGTCCTCTCCTCTCTCCGAACAACGAGTTGACCTCGACAATAGGAAGAAAGTTGTCCCGCGAATGGGGCTCCGGCACCATAGACTTAGCCAGATCCACGGAGACCGTCGGCAGAGGCTCTACTTATACGCTAGGTCAAGAAATGACATTGTCCCTGGAGCGTCCCTCGCACGAGAAGACCCAAGACGACGTGTTGCCCATAAAGAAACCCATACGACGCGTCAGGAGTCACGAGACCCGGGACACCAGTAAGCTGATGGCCGATCTACCGTCGCCAAGGTTGACCGCGCAGCCGGTGGTAGGAGGCCGGTCGGTAAGCGAACGAACGAAAAAGCAATTAGAGTCAGAGTTGAAAGCTATTTTAAGTGCCAGAGCTCATCATCGTGACCTCCATCCTCCTTGATAGACGTATACGCCGATTTAGAAGAGTTCTTGAAAGCAGCAAGCTTTGAGGATCGTTGCCTCTGAGGGGCTTTGATTGATTTAAGCAATATCAGATTTATAGGTCAATTTGTAGAGGAATCCGACAGACTATAACAAAAACAAAAAAAAAATGGTTTTAAGAAACACAGACACAGTGCCCCGGGGGCGTGGGGGGAGGGGGGGAGTAATAAATAAATTAATGTGAGAGTGAGAGAGAGAGGGAGAGAGAGAGAGAAAGAGCGTGAGCGAAAGAGAGAGCGAAAGAGAGAAATTCTAACGGAGAGAAGCGAAATCTCTTTGTCTGTTCATGTTGTTATGTACATTGATAATATGATAGAGTACGTTGATTGAAAAAAGTGCTATAAACTTTAGTAGAGAAAATGTCTTAAATACGTAGTACTTAAACGAATACTAAAATATTTTCTTGTTGGCATTTTAACTCTACATTAACCGTCAGTCTGGGTGGGTCTCTCCTCGCCGTAACGATACGATAGACACCCGTGTACACACTGCCGTATTTCTCGACTTCCCTTTCATTTGCCGTAGACGAGACCATAGTTGCTTCACAAAGAAACAGTTGGTCCTCTAGTTATTGACGTTATGAGTTGATCCAAACATCGGAAATGAGAAGAACGAAAGAATGGATATGCGAAAGTTGAGAAATTCTGGTGCATGGAATTTCGCTGAATCGGATATCCGAATACTGCCGTATACTTTGATAATCCTTGTGATCGCGAATGGAGAGACTCGCTCGAAGAACTCTCGGCGTAGAATGACCACTTACTGCGAAACACGTAATCTTACGATTATCTCATACCCGCTAAAAAGAGAGAGAGAGATTACTATAGGCGGAAGAAATTACGATCGAACGAATCATTTTTTTGTACAGCAAATATGTAAATCGATCATTGCTCATAGTAATTATTAACGATTCCAAACCGTGATAGCAAATCGTCATTCCGTAACAAATGTCCTGTAACTTTCTGTCTCGAAATGGCAGGCGAAATTTGTTCAGGAATTGCACGCATCGCGAGACATCGTCGGAATTGAATACACCGTCGTCGATCAATGTTCCTTTTCTTTTCTCGTTCGTCACCTCGATTAAGATGAAAACGAAATCACCACTTGTTTGACGCTACTATTCGACCTAGACTGTTAGAATGAATGTGTGGGACTAAATTAAAACTAATTCATGAGCGAGGCCTTAGGAGTAGTTGATCCGCCCAATTCTTTACTTGGATATAGCGTTATTGTATTAACGAGCAATTCGCTATATTACAATTATAATTATACGTATAGAAATAGAGAATTTAGTTTCATAGTTTCTCGTTAGGCACTGTATTTTAACTCATGAAATTCTTGGAAGTCTTAAGACATAAAGACTTTCCCGAATAGTACCTTCGATCCTTGAACAAATGGATTTGAGGCTACGCTTAAAACTTCATGATCCAATCGGTTGTTCGCTGAGGTACATTACATACATTTGTAAGTATTTTCATTTTAATGCATGATAATACATGACTACTACCGATGAAAGTGTCCTGGATAATTGCATCGTTAATTTCATCGTTTATAAATCACTGACACCTACATTTATACTTATCATTTTTGACATCAACTTATACACGATGATAAAAATGTTTGTTCACAAACAACAAAGATGATTTCGATACTTTCCTTTGAAGCGAGAAGCGTGACTGGCTTGCTTAGTTGAAGTATTACTGGATAACAAATATATATTGCAATTGATTCAGGAGATAATCAAAATACAAATATATAGGGGGCCAGTTTAGAGTCACCCGAGCCTAATTAAATCAAAGATAGACGTATTAAATTAATTATAGTTGTAATATTCTTTGATAAGCGGGTTCTGCCAGTAATTTGGTTCAGTAGTGATCTCGTGTTCTTTTCCTGATTCGTTTCCGACTGTATAAACAAAACCTATCTTCTGAAAGTCCTTGTACGTATGTGTCTTCTACTCTAGATACCTGAAAAGGCATTATTGCACTGAATTAAAGGTCGAGCCCCCTACTTCATTGTGCGCCAACAAGAACCTGTATAATTGGAACATTGCATGGAAAGATCAGAGGAGATATCTGCACTCCATTATTTTATTTATGTTGATAAATTGGACAAAAAATTACTGCACATAATTGTTTTGTTAACCAATGATAGTTACAACAGTACATACGCACAAATCGGCCTATCTAATATAAGAAAAAACAGTACTCTATTCTTTATTCTTGACTTCCAACTATTTTTAGCACTCTCCTCTTTCCATCCAATAAACCAATATCACGAAGTGTTCTCAGTTTCAATTTTAAAAAGAAGCAAACACTATTCGAAGTATATTGATATATGTTCAGAATTCATAAAATTCATGGAATAGAAATCAAGAGATTACAGTGGATAGAGATTAGAAGCTGCCGTTGCTGCTTAACAAGTCTAATGTAAACTTTTGCACTTTAGTTTTTAGAAGTAACTCTAAAAATTAGTACTTAAAATATCATTAGCATCGTATTAGCCTTAATATATTAATTCCATGTCTAATGGCAATAAGATTATTCTACACTATGAAACACTGCCATAATTTCAAGTATTGTTACATTGATTTTAAAATCCTGCCAAATGATATCATCATCATATTAAATCTCATGATGTATATTACAAAGGTGTAATCTTCCAATTTTCAAAATTTATCAGCAGAAACTGCATATAAAATGTAAAATTTCTTGTTATTTAGGTTTACAACATAATTTTAATCCATGACTCTATCATGAGAACATTTCTAAGATAATGGACATGAATATGGAATATTAATCAATAAGAAACTATAATAATCAATACTTACTTTACAAACAAGCAAGTAAATCGAGCAAAGTGGAAGGAACTTATTCATTGAATTCTATGCATAAACATGATCGGTTCACAGAGCAAAGTTCCTAATATCTGTGAAATTTATTTTTTCAATGACCATTATTATGGAACGTCTTGCATTGTGGAAATCAAACAGTAAATTCTTCAGCTGCATAGAATGCAATGCCAAATATGTTCTATGTTACGGGTCTCTTTCAATTTACTGTTACAATTAGGAATTAAGAATATTTCATATTGTATTTATTAGTTCTCGCTGATTCGTGTGAATTTAATTTAATTAGTTACATAGCATTATAACTTTTAATTCAGTAAATTATAGAATTGAGAACTAAAGTTGCAAAATTCGTGTTCGGTCGCTTTCGATGCTTCTGCAACTGAACACGATATATACAACTTTAATGAAATAAATAACTGTTGTAGATCCTACGGTAGAAAAATATGTATAAATATAATTATCACAAAATTCTGTTATTGCGGTGACTTGTTGGCGTACGGTATTAGGTTAGGTTCCTCGTAACCTACCTCGTCTCTCTTGTTACGCCTACTATTATTATACTGTTATTGTTGAAAACTCCATATTAACAAGAAATAAATATATTGTCTCAAAATAAACATTGCTTTTCATTTCCCTTTATAAAATGCTTTAAAGCCTTGCATAAATTGTTTATGTTTTGTATACAACACTTATACCTAATCTTCATTATCGCACAGTATATGCAGGGGCGAAGAAACGGAACCCGGCTCCAAATTTCAAAAGATCTCATGGTCTATAAAACTATCATAAATTTTGCTTAGCTTTCTACATTGTATTATACGTGTATGCTTACTTACAAAGTTTAAGTACAATTTGAGTACCGTAAATATTTACGTCGCCCGTAAGTATGCATACATTTCGTCATCATATACTGATCAGATAAGTCACAGGATTAAAATAACATAAATAATACTATATAACACGATAAATGTAACATTAGTTAACACCCCGTTTCAAGGCATTCACATCATATATTATTATTAATACATCAACAAACATGATACATGGATATTTTATATTCCTCGTCGAGAATGCTGTATCATCCTTTCTTGCATATTCGAATTGCTTTAATAGGTTTTTTTGAGTGAATGACGAACAAGCTTCATTCAAGGCACGCGCGTGGCAACCTGTGCAGTTAACAGAATGCAACGCGCGTTTTTCACGGGAAGATGCGATTTTTAAGAAATCATCGGAACCAACGGTTCAAAAGTGCACGAGCGTTCTCAAAGCTAGAGAAGGAATGCTACGTGGATAGCTTACGTGCTTCGTCAACCAGGCACAAGCGAAAGAATTGCAAGTCATTCACGTCATTTACGATCACGAGTGCTGTTTCACCGTCTTGTGGACTTTCGCTTGTGTTTGTTTCGCGCGCGATTCGTGATAATCGAACAAATTTTTCTCACCAATCATTTCGGCACAGCTTCAGTCACAATTATATACTGACATGTAAATGTATACACATTGGATCTGCATTAATTATCGTTCGTTTCTGTACGCGTTCTTCTGTTCCCGACGTATTGCTCACAATTATCTTTCGTTTTTTAGCTGGTCGATACACAAATACACGACTGGCGAATATCGAACATGGGCGGAATACACGTTCTTCGTTCACTAGCAGATCTAGAATAGTACTGATGAACACATTGGCAATTTCTACAAATGTGTCCGTCTAGAGCTACGCATAATAACGCATCCAGAACAATCTATACGGTTTGCGGTGACAAAATAATCATCAAATGTTTCTTTCAAATGAATACAAAACTGTCAATGTTTAAGAGCTCGTGAAAGCACGTGCGTATGTTAATTGTACATTTGACGTGGCCCAGCATTTTGTAACATCGCATTTATCGAGGGACAGGGTCGGATCTAACTTGTCCAATCCCTGCGTCATCGTGCAACATCAATGAATTAATCGTCAATTATCTGTATGAATTATGATTGTGCAGTTGCACCTTTTCTCCCCCTCTTAATTTCGTTTATGTTCAGAAAATTATCGAATAACGAATTCTCTTCGTAATTTGCTTTTCTTTCTGTGTATATCAACGGACTTTCAATCACATAGGTAGGTGTGTATTACATCAATATTTACTATTTGTTTCTATTAGATATGAATCATAAACATTTATTAATTTTATATGATGTTTATGTATTATCAATATGTTTAAATGTTTATGTATCCTTAAATGATTATAATAATAAAAAGAATGTGTTAGCAATTTAACTATTTTTCAGTTTACTTTAATGGATGAAGAAGATTGTTGTATAAAAAAAGAAGCTGAAGGTAGCTTCAAGTTTGAAAGTCTTGGATCTAATATTTCGTTCATGACAGACGACAAGGGTCTAGAATTTACAGAAAAACATGGGGACTTGGGTGACATGACATTTCGTATGGCTAATTACATTAAAGATGTTATGAAAATGATGTTTATAATGCGCAGCCATCATATGCTGACAGATGTTATACTTGAAGTAGGGACAGAATTATTCTATGCGCACAAAGTTATTTTAGCTGCTGCTAGTCCATATTTTAAGGTAATTTATATATAAAAGAAGCTTATATACTGATGCAGGAAAAAACATTAAAAACTATAAAACGTTATAGGCAATGTTCACAGGAGGTTTGAAAGAGTCTGAAATGACTAGAGTAAAGCTTCAAGGTGTCTCTCCAACAAGCATGGCACGACTACTGTACTTTATGTATACAGGTCAAATAAGAGTCACAGAGCTTACGGTGTGTTCACTTTTATCAGCAGCCACCATGTTTCAGGTATGCAAAAATAAAACCATTGTCATTATAAGTGCATGTTTTAACATTTTAAATTTATTTTCATTACAATGTAGGTTAGTAATGTCATAGATGCGTGTTGCGTTTTCTTGGAAAGACAGTTAGATCCCACGAATGCTATTGGGATTGCAAATTTTGCTGAACAACATGGTTGTCACAGTTTGTATCAAAAAGCGAATCAGTTTATTGTTCAACATTTTAGTCAAATATGTCAAGAAGAAGAATTTCTACAATTATCGGCGATACAGTTGATAACACTAGTGAGAAAAGATGAGCTGAATGTTCAGGAAGAGAGAGAAGTGTACAATGCCGTGTTGAAATGGGTAAAGTACAACGAAGAAGCGAGAGGACCTAAAATGGAACATATATTACATGCTGTAAGATGTCAGTATCTCACTCCAAACTTTCTGCGAGAACAAATGAAGAACTGTGATGTTCTAAAGAAAGTACCGGCCTGTCGAGAATATCTTGCACAAATCTTTAAGGACTTGACTCTTCATAAAAAACCAATTGTTAAAGAAAGAACGCCCAATACCAGAAGAGTAATATATATCGCGGGCGGTTTCTTAAAACATTCTTTAGATGTTTTGGAAGGATACAACGTGGATGAGAAAACTTGGACACAGCACGCAAAACTGATCGTTCCTAGGTCAGGTTTGGGTGGAGCGTTCTTAAAGGGTATGTTTTACGCTGTCGGTGGAAGAAATAATTCACCAGAAAAAACGTAAGCATATCTGAAATTAAAACGGTAAAATACTAAACGCAAAATTAAAGATTTTCTGCGAATTTCATCAGATACGACAGCGATTGGGTCGACAGATACAATCCGGTACTAGATCAGTGGCGAACTTGTAGTCCAATGTCTATGCCACGACATCGTGTAGGAGTGGCTGTAATGGACGGTTTATTATATGCTGTTGGTGGTAGCGCAGGTGCAGAATATCATAATAGCGTTGAATGTTATGATCCAGAACATGATACATGGACCAATGTAAAATCGATGCATATAAAGAGATTAGGAGTTGGAGTGGCGGTAGTTAATAGGTAAAGATGAACATTATGTACGAGTAGACATTTCAGCGTTAAACCATATCATTTATAAAAATTGTAATCAACAGATTACTGTATGCTATTGGTGGATTCGATGGAATAGACCGACTGAATTCTGTGGAATGTTATCATCCTGAAAATGATGAATGGACAATGGTTTCGCCTATGAAATGCAGTCGTTCAGGAGCTGGGGTCGCTAACCTTGGACAGTATATATACGTTGTAGGAGGATACGATGGAACTAGACAATTAAATTCTGTTGAAAGATATGACACGGAAAAAGATACTTGGGAATACGTTAGTAGCGTGACCATTGCTCGTAGCGCACTTAGCGTTACAGTGCTAGATGGTAAATTATATGCAATGGGTAAGAATCATTAAACATAATACGGATCTAATTTGAAGTGTATAATCATAAATTAATTCAATGTTAATACTTTTAGGAGGCTATGATGGTGAACACTTTTTAAATATCGTAGAAATTTATGATCCTGCAAAAGATACGTGGGAGCAGGGAGTACCTATGACTTCGGGTAGATCGGGCCATGCAAGTGCAGTATCTTACCATCAGTGTCCTATACATTGTGATCATCTAGAACACAATATATCACTAGAGAAACCACCCTCGTGATACGTGCGATCACCGAATATTGGTTTAGCTATTGATATAAGATAGCTCGACTACAAACTTTAGCCTAGGAAAATTACTACGAGAAGAAGAAATAAATATCAAAATAATGGAATCAATCGTTGAAGCAGTAAACGAATTTTCGATTATTGCAGACTGACATAATTTTTCACTTCGTGGAACGAGTCTAATTTTTGAGGTTGTAAGCGCGTTTCTACTGAATTTCGATATTCTAGTGATTAACCATTTTATAAGTTCACTCGTGAAAGGACCAGTGATTTACTTCCATTAATAATAATGTGTTTTTAAAATTATAAAGACTTAAAATAATTTTGTAAATATATATATACATATATATATTATTTTTAAAGGATTTTTATAAAATTTTCTTATTTCAGTCACTGTATATCTGTAATATATTATGAAAACAAAGTATCAAATATATATATGTATAAATACATGTAAAGTAATTATTGGTAACTAATTTATATATTTTTGGTTTTATTACTTCCTATTTCCTTCTGTATTGTGAATCAAATCTTAACTGTAAATGTTCAAAGATATTTAATTGTAAAATACAATTAGTTGGAAGACTTAATTGTAATTAGATGTACAAAATTATATGTACATGTTCATTTTTGGTTTCTTTATATGTATAGACACAATGTATTAATTAATATTAAATTAAAATATAAAATAATTTTTACATATATATTAAACATAACATGAAGACATTCTTTCTTGTCATGGTCAAAATTGTTCTTCCTGATTACTCAATACCTTCAAAAGGTACATTAAATACGCCAGTGTTAAAACAGGTTCTGTTGTCAAGATGGGACATCGATATTTTCGAAAGTAATAAAATATACATGTTTTTACGATAAAATTTTTTCCATATTATATGGAATAAGAATATTTTCTTTACAAACGTTGTTGAAAATTTTTCTATTATTTTTTTCAAATGGCGTGCGTGAATATTTGAAATATTTACAAATTATCTTAAGGTGGTTCGCTTATAACAGTAAGGTTATAAATACAATGCTCGTTTGAAACGAATTAGTTGAATGACAAATAACAAGATAGAAAATGATAATATTAATCTCTTCTACGATATTTTCCGCCGTTTTTAAATCTACGGAAATTCGGTGGACGATGTGAAACTTAAGAAAAGTACAACAATGAAATTTGTGTACAAATTGTTTTTCTTGTGCCTTATCTTTGTTGCTTTAATAATATTACTTAATTTGACCAACTTCTCGAACAAGATATATAATGCCCAAGCCAAAGAAACTGCTGCTTTTTCAAGCTCCATTAAAAAATTCATACCAAGCCCAATAGTGGAAGAGGTAACAATATGTGTCGTAGTATGTGGAGACAGATTAGACGAGTCACTGACTATGCTCAAGTCTGCTTTAGTTTTCACAAGAAGACCCCTACAATTCATTATTCTGGCAGAGACAGATTTAATTTCTGCATTCAATGAAAAGCTGATGGAATGGAAGCTTATGTCGAATAAAACATTTGACTTTGTAGTTAAACCTATAACATTCCCCGAAGGAAGTGATGCAGCTATGTGGAAGAAACTTTTTAAACCATGTGCAGCACAAAGATTATTTCTACCTGTAAGTATATTTAAGATCCTAGTTGATAAAAGATAATTATTTACTTTATATATTACAGACAGTTTTAAATGAGACGGATGCTGTTCTTTATATGGACACTGATACCCTGTTCTTAGCTCCTCCAGAGACAATTTGGGATGAATTTAAGAAAATGAATTCCAGTCAATTAGCAGCATTAAGTCCTGAGCACGAAGATCCTAATACAGCATGGTATAATAGATTTGCAAAGCACCCATACTATGGAAAGTTAGGTGTGAATTCAGGTGTTATGTTAATGAATTTAACAAGGATGAGAGAATTTAGGTGGATAGAATACGTGATACCTATACACAAGGAATACAAACTGAAGATAACATGGGGAGATCAAGACATAATAAATATTATATTTCATTACCATCCTGAGAAGCTTTATGTATACTCTTGCAGGTACAATTACAGGCCTGATCACTGTATGTATATGCCTGTTTGTACAAAAGCAGAGAAACAAGGTGCTTTGGTTTTACATGGTTCCAGAGGCACGTTTCATTCTCAGAAACAGCCACCTTTCAGAGCAATTTACAAAGCTATGCAAGAATATCAATTAGATACAGATCCCTACGATTATCTGTTGGTGCCAATGAGAAACTATTTAGCTTTGGAACACGAATCTAATTGTGGAAAAGTATGGAAAGTATTTATTATTCAACCTGAATTATATTTGGGCAGCAATAATATTTAAACGTTTTTTTAAAACTCATAGAATACAACTACCCAAACATAGTACTTCCTTTAATCTTTCATCAACAAATTTCAAATCTTTATAAAATATTTATAAAACATTTAGCATATCGAATTTTTATATAATATTTATAAAATATTTAGCATATCAAATCTTTATAAAACATTTAACGTATTATATAGCATAAGTAGTTCTATTCCTCAACATAAAACTTATACATAGACTGATCGTATTCCATAGTGCATTTTCATTTTGTTTGTTAACAAGTGCACTATGATTGTTACTGTTTTATATAATGTATTACATTAAAGGACAAAAAAACACGTTGCTACATTCTTAGCTAAGATCTTTTGGACAATATTCAACTAACAAATTTTTGAAAACCCTTTTCACTTGATTCTAGAATCTCTTTACAAATTTTATACAATCGTGACTGCACCGATATTGCAGCACAAATACATTTTATATACATATATGATAATTTTATTATTTGATACATTGTTTGTGATACTTTTCTTATATACGAATAAAAAAAAACGTTTAAACTCAACGTCTGTTTTTATTCCATACGTCCATAGCCATACTAACAAGTTGCAATAACGCGTCACAGTGGTTTAACTCTCCATGAAAGAAGAGGGGATTTTACATTTGAAGAGGGAATAAGGGAGCTGTATACCGATATGGAGACACGCTTCTACTGGTTCTCCATCGGGTTGCATGCACATGCTCGTGAAATTTCGCTTTGAACAACATTTACCGCGTTGATTTTGCTTTGAACGAATAAACAGGTGGTTTTAGAATCGTCAAGCTTCGGCCGAACAATCGTTTAACCTACTTCCACCGAGCGAGAACAGGGAGAGCCTATCTTCGTTGCACGCAACACCTCGATCCGTATGCATCCACGAAAGTGAGAGAGAAGGTGGGATCAACGATCTATACGATGAAGCATGATCGCATGGCCAATGAGTTAACGCTACGATAACAATAAATGTGATAAGAAGAAATTGTCGGCTACTGACATATCATTGCAAATGGTGCACGCCAGATATGAGGGAGCCTCATAACATTTTCCTGTGTGTTACATTACGTTAATTTAATTTCCTCTTAGTGCTTGGACAAGAACATTTTCTACTTCGTACAGAAAAAGGTAAGAGATCTTGCGGTTCCTTTCATTTCAAGCGTGACGTCAACGTATATTTGTTTAATTAAGAGTGAGGCGATCGCAGTTTTGCATACAATAACAATAATAAAGATGCCTGAGGATTTTCAGAATTATGGTCGACTAATCAGGCAAAGTAGTCGCGAATTAAAGTTAATGCTGTGAAAACTATAACGTGAAGCCAATGATCTGTTAAATCCTTCCAGCGGTTCTCTTATCAAGCTGTACCCTTCTTATTTTGCTTCAAGATTTAATTAATCATAGGTATTTGGAATGACTCATCTGTAAATTAGGAAATTATTAGTCACCGTAGGTTGTTTAAATTTCTCGAAACATATTTGCTGTTATCATTCGCGATTTTTGTTCATGCGACATTCAATATGCCACTTAAATATTTTTCATTTGTACCTTTATCTATCCTCTCTATCACGTTGATATAATGCAGTACGACGCGTGACAAATGTCACACGTGGCCATATAGCGAATAGCGATATAATGCATGATTTCACAACGCGTATATTATTGTGATATTCCATGAAGCCATAAAAATTACTATATAACGAATTAAATAAAATTTTTATTAAGTTTCACAGAGATATGCCGCTGTTTAAAACGCGTGCTGCTCCACGATCACCGACGTTCGATAAGGAGATGTCAAACGGTGGATCGCATTACAGCAACAATTATCATCAGCAAAACGGGCAGAAGAATGATGACGAGGACTCAGACAGCACTGGAACCTGTAGTCAGAAGAACAGTAGTTCTCAAATGCAAGAGCAAAAACGGTCGTCCAAAGTCTCCAGAACACGTCTGGTGTTTCATTGTCAATTGGCGCATGGAAGTCCTACAGGACTGATATCCGGTTTCAGCAACGTACGAGAACTGTATCAGAAAATAGCGGAATGTTATGACCTATCGATGGAAGAAGTGAGTCGTTTAATTCGTTCGTTATCGTAGATTAATTTAATACCTCACGGGGAACTGGTTTTACTTGAACGATAAACGTCGAGTTTTCCTGCAGGAATGTCTGCTTAGAATATTGTGCTTAACAAAATATCTTATCAAAATCCGTGAGATAACCTGAACGGATTTTCTCGTGCCTAATGCATTAAATAATATTTTATATTAATTAATTAATTGTATTCGTTACAAGCATGTTTACGAATAGAATACACCTGGATAGTTCAGTATTTTAGCTTGAATAGGGAGAGATCCGGATACAGGAAACATCGGTTACGGACGGTGATCTCTCGTCGACTTGCCGGATACGTCCTTTCTGCCTAGAGCTTTGCGTTTAATAACAGATACGCAAATGCCATCACTAATACCATTACTGTTTTACAGTACTATAGTAGGTCATTTCAATCATAGAACTGTACCGCCTCTTGTAACACCGCCTAAAAGTCACAGTGAAAGTTGACACGCTATTAATGCATATCTTTCTGCTTCTTAAAACTTTTACTACACTGATTTTTATCATGAGTGAAACCTGATTCTCTTTTCTAATCGTTCGTTTCAATTTCCTCTTTTTTTTAGCTTTGGTGTTAAGATGGAAGATAGCAGAAAGGGGCAAATAAATAGTATGATAGAAAAAAATAGGAATTTAGGGGCACCAAGAATTAACCATCCATTGTTTTTTAGAACACTTAGTCACCGCTAGATGGTGGTTATCCTGAATTCCATGACTGTGATTAGATCTGTAATACTTTGGTTCCTTGATGGTCAGATTCACCAGTAGATGGTCCTTCCTTAATTTGAAGTTTACACATGAAAATAATTCAACTTGTTATTCCATAATCTCTACATATGCAATGTTCATTGTTTCAGATACTGTTTTGTACACTGAATACTCACAAGCTAGACATGAGCGAGTTACTGGGCAGTCAAATAGGAGTTGGTGACTTTATATTTGCCCATAAAAAAGGTATACTAATATCTTCATCTGCAACCGGTAAACTTGTACTTATTATCAATGATGCATCAGGAAGGCCCAAGGAGATTGAGCTGGTGAAGACGGACGATTCTCTTGGATTAACCATTACGGACAACGGTGCAGGGTATTCCTTCATAAAACGCATCAGGGAAGGCTCCGTAATCGACAGGATAAAGGTGATAGAAGTAGGAGACCATTTAGAGAAAATCGATTCGGCGAGCCTGGTCGGTAAACGCCACTTTGAGGTGGCGAAGATGCTCAAAGAGATTCCAAAAGGTAGTACATTCACTCTGAGGTTGGTTGAACCCCTGAAAAATGGCTTTGCGAGCATTGGTCCACGGGGGGATCTGAAAAAAGGAAAGAAATCAGGTTACGGTTCTGGAAAAGAGACGCTTAGGTTTAAAGCGGATGGAAGTGCGCAAATTATAGAACAGGTACTCAGTGATTAGAGAAACTGATAAATGTTACTGATTAGTACCTTCATTTCTTCTTTTATTTTTTATGAACAGATAGATGACGCTGCAACGATAGGCATTGAAAAGATCAACGTGATTTTGGAAAGCTTCATGGGTATCTATGACACAGAATTAGGTATACAGAATCATTTAGTAATAGTATGATGAACTAGATGTTTTTTAGTTTAATATTTATGGAGACTTGTTTAATAAAATGGATTGAACTGTATGTTTTAATAGCCACACAGATCTGGGAGCTTGCAGAAGGCAAGGGCAACAGTATGGATTTTGCTGAGGCTATTGATAATTCTGATTTGGAAGAATTTGGATTCACAGATGACTTTGTCATTGAACTATGGGGTGCTGTTACTGATGCTAGGGCTGGAAGACATCGATGATACAAAAATATAAATTGATAGTATTAGAGTAAAGTTCATAAATATGAGCTTAAAACTGAGTCAGTTTAACTGGAGCAATTACAATGTAAATTATTTGTATTGTTAGCTTTTGAACTTTGTACAATTTATATCATAAATTTATAAATAAATGTTGAAAGTATTTATGTAATTATTTACGTGCATGAAATTCGTGGAATCTAAATGCATATCAGAACTAATAAGTTGTTATTGTTTGCCAAGTACTTTATCAGATAAGAATATTATGTCACTATCACTATCATTATTGGTTGCGTTTAAAAAAACCGCGTGATGAAATTCATACTTGTTTTCAAGTGGCTGATATGTGAGTATAATTATTTTAGTTAATGCCACTCCTTGAATATGTAAATTTAAGTATTGCCAATTAAATCATCGTGAGTTAACGAATCGCTGATAAAGTTGAAACAAGAACTTGTGACTTGTTCAGTTAATATTAACATATGTATGGATATATATAGATGACTGAAGTGTGCTGTAAAATTTAACCTGTACAATCAGACGACGTATGTAAATAGTTATTCTTGTTTTTTAAGGAAAGAATCATGGTTTTCGCCATAAATAGGGCCGGTTGTTTGCTTCTCCGTGTAAGCACGGGTTCAAGAAGTAATTACAAAAATTTAAAACTTTCAAGGGTATGTAATATCAACATTAATGAAAAATTCCGAATAACCTCTGTTGTTTTGAATACCTGTTGTGTACTATTTTTAAATTATATTATTAAATAAAATAAAATGGAATTTTCCTTTTCTAGATATGCTCAGTTAATTTTTCTATCAAAACTGATATCCCAGAAGTACCGGAGGAACCAAAACTAATTCCACCAGTGGGCGAAGGAAAAGTGTTTAAAAGTGTGGATGAAGTAATATCAGATATGCCAGATGGTGCCAAACTCTTGGTTGGTGGATTTGGACTTTGTGGCATTCCTGAAAACTTAATTGCTGCTACATTGAAAAGAGGCGTGAAAGATTTAACTGTTGTTTCAAATAATGCAGGAGTCGAAGATTTTGGATTAGGTATACTTTTAAAGCAGCAAAGGATCAAGAGAATGATTGCATCCTATGTTGGTGAAAATCCTGAATTTGAGAAACTATATCTCAGTGGTAAACTAGAAGTTGAATTAACACCACAGGTGATTATAATTTATGATAGAAATTTCTAATCTAATATCACAAAGTTATAAGGATATTATAATTGCATTTAAAATGTACAGGGAACATTAGCAGAACGTATTCGTGCAGGTGGGGCTGGTATACCAGCTTTTTATACCCCAACTGCATATGGAACCATAATTCAAGAGGGTAATGTAGTCATCAAATATGGTGAAGATGGAAATGCAGAAATATCTGGTAAACCAAGAACTGTAGCACAGTTTGATGGAAGAAACTTTGTAATGGAAACTGCGATCACAGGGGATTTTGCTCTGATAAAAGCTTGGAAAGCAGATAAAGCTGGGAATTTAATCTTTAGGAAATCGGCTAGAAATTTCAATCCAGTCATGTGCAAAGCAGCAAAAATAGCTATTGCAGAGGTAGAAGAAATTGTAGAAGTGGGTGAAATAGATCCTGACCATGTTCATTTGCCTGGTATTTTTGTGGATAGAATTGTGAAAGGACCAGCTTATGAGAAACGAGTAGAGGTTTGTATAATTTTGAAAGTTATAAAAAATTAGTTAAAGTAAAAGATCATTTACACGAGTGATTATATATATTAGAAACGATATACCAAACAAAACATGAAGCCCAAGAAGGTAACACCAGCAAGTAAAGCGAGGGACAGGATCATCAGACGTGCCGCGCTTGAATTTAAGAACGGAATGTATGGTGAGATAACTAAAAGGCAACCAATATACTTGATGAAAACATGAAAAGTCTAATGAACTTATTTTTTACAGCCAATCTTGGAATTGGCATTCCGATGCTCGCCTGTAATTATATTCCTAAAAATGTGAAGGTGACTTTGCAATCAGAAAATGGTATACTAGGTCTGGGTCCTTTCCCAGATGACGATAACGTTGATCCAGACCTGATCAATGCTGGAAAAGAGACAGTCACAGTCGCACCAGGTGCTTCCTTCTTTAGTAGCGACGATAGTTTCGCCATGATCCGAGGGTACATATTGAAACTACACAATTGCCTGGTAGATTACTTATACAATTACTACTAATTCTCATTCTTTTAGAGGACACATTGATTTAACCATGCTCGGAGCTATGGAAGTATCAGAGACCGGAGATCTGGCCAATTGGATGATTCCAGGAACAATGGTGAAGGGAATGGGCGGAGCTATGGATTTAGTTTCTGCAGCAAGTACAAAAGTAGTGGTCACCATGGAACATAAAGCTAGAAACGGAAGCCCTAAGATTGTGAAGAATTGCACGTTACCCGTAACAGGTATTTTTTACCTTATACCAAAACATTCTTTAAAAGAAATATATTTTATTCGCGTTTTGGTATTTCGTTTCAGGTCAACAATGCGTAGACTTAATAATTACGGATATGGCCGTGTTTGAAGTGATCAAAGGAGAAGGACTGAGATTAACTGAAATTGCGCCTAATGTCGACATAAGCGAAATTGTTAGCTCTACTGGCTGCGAATTTTCAGTAGCCGATGACCTTAAAGAAATGGCTCAAGTAGAAAAAGACGATTGCCAATAAGGAGATTCTTAATTACAAATATTCTCAATTATGGATAACATCCACGAACAATTTAATAAGCTTGCTTCGTTAATAAGTTTACAACACGCAGCAAGAGGGAATTTATACATACTTAATTATTCATGAATACGTATCTTTAAGGGCTGTATAGTTTACTGTAAATCAATTTCCTGCAAGCGGTAGCTAGGTTTTAATATAATTTTGTAATATACACAAATAAAATATAGTTTATTTCGAAGAGAATAATTTCCACAGCTGTTCATTCTCTAAATTTAGCTTTCACTCTTGCTGGAAGTGGTAATAGATACAGAACACTGTTCAATATGCTTAAACCAACAGCGAACGCCAACGAAATTAACAAATTTAAGTCAACATTCAACACTTCCGAAATATTTTCACCTTCTCGTGTGAAGCGTTCTATTAAGTAAGATCTTCCGTCCGGATACCTGCACAGCTCAGGTACACCAGGACAGGCGAAGCTCTCGTTATAATGCAAATTCAAGAATGTAGGCACATCTATGGCCAATTGATTTAGAGCTAACGAAGCGTATCTTGTTGGTAATGCGGTGGAAGCTGCGGCAAGCCAATAAGGTAAACCTTTCAGGCTCCTGATAGCTCCAGACGCGATTACCAGAGATACTAATGTCATGTACAGCACTGTTATTGCACCTGTTATGGGTCTACCAACTACCATCAGCACAGCCACGGTTACTTGCTCGGCTGCGACGTAACTGGCCCATAGAACACCGCACGCATATGCCCACGAAGACAAATCTAGTTCCAAAATTGGTGTTAGAATTCCAATGGTTATCATGGTCGAGATGAAACTCAACGGTAAACTCAGTAACGCGTACGCGGTTAGGAACATCGCACCACCGTACAGACCTTCCCTTTTCTCTTGATAATATCTCGCACGGTAACCTGGAACTGGATTAACTAACGTTACTTTTTACTGGTATCGCTAATGGATTAAGCGAAAGAGGTGATAACTCACACAGGAGAGCCGTCGACGCTATACCAGCAACATAAAACAAGGTCAACACGTTGAACATCAGGCCTCCAGTTTGTAAAAATATTCTAGACTGTACCGGGGTCGAATGCGAATATAAAATGCTCATTAGGGCTACAGAGAATGGTAACAGTAATAGCCGAGAGGTGAAATGTCCCAAACCAGACTTGTTGAAGCCAAAAGTTGCTGCCATACTACGCCTAAAACGCACACACGATCATTGAAAGAATATGCCTACATAAATACAGTTCAGATACGTACAAATAAAGAGCAAGAAGGGTGGAAAAGCATCCCGGTTTAATTCCACGACCTAAACCTTTGTGCATGATGCCAAGAGGCATGTCCTTGATATTCGGTGGTACTTGTGGAGCCTCCTTCATATACACAGCTCCCTCAGCCTTAAACTTTTCAACTAATACGGATATTTGTTGATTGGACTCCAAAAAACGATCCCTGGAGCGACGATCGACAGTCGATAGACACACTAAAGCGATGATTTTAAGTTACGTCCGAGATACTCGTTTTCCATAAAAAATACTTACAATAATACATCAAAGGGTTTTCAAGTTCTGGGCAGGGAAAGCCGATGTAGGTAAAGTAATCCAACATACTCCTGGTCGGTCCAGAGTAGACCACTGCGCCCAAACACAGAAGGGTCACTCGACTCACAAACGGTAAAACATCAGATCTCGGAGTTTCCATCGTCAAAACAACGATGGACCCCCTTCTGGTTGCATAGGACCAAAGCATGGAAACGATTAAGTATGTGTTCAGGGGATCAGTGTCCCACGTAGGCTCATCTAGGAGCAGTAGAGTGGGATCTTTGGCAAGTTGTACGCCCAGCATCAACCTCCTGTATTCTGGTTTGGTCAAATCGTTCACTGGTCTGTTCGCGACCTGAGACAACGCCAAATCAGCCAGCGTTTGACGTACTCTAGCTTCCCTGTTGCTCAGATTGGCTAGCCATGTAGCATAGGTCAGGGTCTGACGAACAGTTAGACTGGGCAACAAGTGGCATCTATGGGCAACATATCCACCATGACGCCTGAACAATTCTGGAGTCAGTAAATTGTTGTTGAGAGTCACCCTGCCTCTAGTCTCTCCCTCCGCTCGTCCAGCTAAAAAAAACAATAACCGTTAGACTCGTATCATTAATGATACACATATTTGAAACACTGTCTCACCAATGACATCGAGCAATGCCCTCTTGCCAGATCCTTTTGATCCCAGAATGGCCAGTACTTCTCCACCGTGTACTCGAGCAGACACGTCTCTCAACACCGCAGTGGGCTCTGATTTGTTCAAGCAGCTTCCCTCGATCACCACAGCGGTAGAGTGGAACACGTTCGAGATGTCTAAGGTGCAGTCCGACGGAATCATCTTGGATCTTTCTAAGTCACATTCCTCGATAACGGATCTAGATTTGCCGTCTCTCAGTCACAATCTTGATAGAACAAAGAGTCGGTGAACCGATGGAGCTGGTACATAGGTTGTCGAAAAACGTTTGAACAGGACGATCGGCAAACAAGCAGCGTGGCCGTAGAAGCGAACATCGCATGTAAAACGCAGCTATTGGTAGCGATACCTGGTTGGGAGTTGGCTTCACGAGGTGAATGTCTTCTCTGAAAGGAAACTGGTGGGAGGTCGAAGGTAGCATCGGTAGTAACAAGGCTGTACCTGCTCAGTCAAGCTCCCTGGAACAAACAAATTATTATTAATTCACATACTCTACAATAGTGATGAATACATTAACTATTTTTCAAAGATAACAGTACATGTACATATAAGAAAAACTTAGGTGTCTAGGGAACCTTGCAGAGCGTATAAAAGAGGGACTTAGAGTAATCTTTAAGTGAAGTGTTGGAAATTGTAAGGAGAGGTCAAGAAAATCCTAAACAAAGCCTAAGAAGAACTTACAATAATCCTCAGCAAAATTTACAGAAATTTAAAGAATATAAAAGAGGCCCTAGCAGGTGCTATGAGACTTAGGTAAAATTGTAAGAAGAGCGGAGAGTAATATTAAGCTGAGTCCAAAAAGAGTTGCAGTCATGTAACAGAATGAAAGTTTCATTACGTTTGAATCGAGAAGACCGGGGTACCACCCGTAAGAGGCTACGTCAGTACGAACTTGAAAGACCAACAGGGAAGGAAGGAGAGCCGAGAAGGGGTCCGCAGGAGAGACTCGGAAGGCACGTCTGTCAGAAGGCAGCGTTTAGAAAAGGTACACTTGGCGTTGGACATACCGATGCCATTGCAGTATCGCGATCGCGGATCGAGTGATGCGTTCACAGAACGCATCCTACAATTTCTGAGGTGACAAAGCCAGTGTTCAGGATAACAGTGTCTGGGTATCACGGAGGAAACTGGAAAGAAGAGTCGCCGGAATGGAGGAGCACCATTACCTTGACTCGACGAGGCTCGTTTGAAAGCTCATCCTGAATACCGGCGGTGAGTCACTGTCGCTAAGATTCTTCAGCAATGTATCACGTTTTACTCGCGAGCTCTCCCGTGACAAGCGTGATTCCTGACTGGGTTCTCCCGCGTGCTTTGTACACTCGGATGCAACGTAGGCATACTTTAGGCAAAGGAGATCTCTTATTACTTTGTAAAATCTAGGGACTGCCTAGGGAAGATTTAAGGAGGGCCTAGAAACAGTTGTCACTATCTGAAGTTTTAAATTTGAAAATGACTGAAGCACAAAAACTAATTGGTAGGGTTCAGTTCTTCTATCGCCATTTTTTTAGAGAAAACTCATAAGTTAAATTATCTAGGTTTCTCTAAAAAACCTAGGTTTCTCTGGTGGGCTTTACCTTTAACCAAAAGTATCCTACATTGCATCTCAGTTTACATACAAGTAAAAAGTACGTATATTTAAACAAGATATACAATTCGCTACGTAGCCAAAAATGCTGACCAATTTCGCTCTGTTTCTCTGTATACACGCTGACGAACTTATGATTCATGAAAGTTGCAACATTGTGTTTATGACTAGAAGCCATTTGTAACGCGAGTTTATTGAAGCAGCAGCCAATTAGCGGTACAGAGAAACAGCTAAAGGGAGAGTTATTCGGCATTCTAAGAATCGGGAACCCGAATTGTTGCGCTATGTTCTCGTTCACGAGAAACAGAAAGAAAAATACGACGGAACGGTTAACACACCGCGTGCGCACCGCTTTAATTCCGCGCCGCCAGTCATGCTTCAACGACTGGCAAACCTGATTTTGCATAATGAGAAAGGTTTACCTGTTACACGGTGAAAGCAACAGGTGATTAGAAACGTTCCGGTATTTTGTTTTGAGTATGGGATACAGTTTATCACTTGATCAATTCCTTGGGCGGGCAGGGAATTCTTTTTCTTTTAAAAAGCATGTCTGACTGCATCGTTGGGTACGAGTTAACAGAACGCGGAGAGCAATGAAACGCGCGTGCTTAATATTCCGTGGCGTTACTTTCTTCGGATGCTTTTAATTTCATGATACTTTCACCGACTCGATAATGGAATCATAATCATTTGAATATTAAGCCATGCAAATTTTATAGCCTAATCATTAGCTTTAGGACTCATTAGGACTCATAATTTCTCGTACCCACATATAACCGGCTAAAAATAGTGATTCCGTGGCTCTGAGTAACTGACAAACACGCTGATGGAAACTTGAAATGAGTCCGTTTCTTAGTGAAACAATTTTTTTGACTTGTTTCGCAATCTGAAAAATATGGAGGATCGGTAACGTGTCTTGAAAATGTGTATATGGATAAATTAAAGATAATTTGACGGTGTCATCGCGTTGAAAACAGCTACACAGTTTACCGGGTGGAGGATACGTTGGGAGACTTCAATGAGCGCATAAGACACCTTTCCACGTGCCATGGACGCTGCTCCGAGTAATTTGCAATGTTAATTGACTTCTCCTCACCATGGGTACTTCAATGGAATAATGAAAAGGGCAGCACTGACCTCGTACTTCCCCATGACACCTTCTTTAAATTATGATACAAAGATAAATAAAATGATAAAACAAATATTTTTAGTTACTACAATATTGTAGTATTAAAATATTTACCATAAGAAGAAGAAATAAATGAAAATCAACGAACTTTCAGAAAAATTAGATTACACTTCTGATGAACGTGCCACTTAGTTAAATAATTTGGGTAACTTTCCACAATTTCTGCATAAGAATTGCGAACACACGTGGTATCCAGGCCACGTAGTGCTTTATTAAGATACACTGTCACGTGAGTACGATTGAGAGGCACGCGTAGAAATTGGTGCGTGGGACAGTCTCACAGCCACCGGAAGTAATTTCGAAATCGCAGCATCGCTTCCTTCAAACGATCAGGCTCCATTCTTCCCTGAAAGTTAAAAAATACTTGGTATACAAAATGTAAAAACCACCTTTAAAAGCTTTCACTAATTACATAAAATACTAGAAACAAATTCAGTAACTGATTTATACAAAGTATCTATTTGTGTTAAGAATATTAACGAGTGAAAGTGTCAATGTAAAAAAACAGAATCCAAATGTTTGTAACTTGTACATTGGCCGTGGTGTTCCCATAGGACGCTGATACACGTAATAACTCGCGTAACCGCAATCATCGACCGCAAATGTTTCTCCAATTTACGTAACTCCGCGTAAAACTTTTTTTACCTGATAACTATCTCAGATTCGAGTTAACTGTTCATTTGCATATCCCGTTTCTGCAACAGTTGTATCGGCTGGCTGCGAATTCGCGTTACGCACCAGCTTGTCATTATACGCTATATTTTTATTTCTCGATCCCTCTCCAGATCTTAATGCCTGAGAAACTTGAGCGCCTCCGTAAAAGTCCTCGTTGTTTTCTGAAAAACGTGTCTAGCGTTCAGTGAACCGTGCCCCGAACCCGTGCAAGTTGATATTTAATTAATATGTCTCGTTCCAAGGCGTGCCGGTTCGGTGATTTTCGTCGTGGACGAATAAGGCTCGTCGATATGCAAATTCGCAGTTCAATGAAGTTTAGACCCTATTGGAAAGTGATAGTTCTGGGTCGGTCAATGCTTTCCCTGTTGTTTTCTGTGCCCCTGATAAGCTGGCATTCTTGGGGTTAAGTGGTTGCATATCAGTTGGGTTCGATGATATAAATAGTACGATATCTATTTGCATCGTCACGCGTTCTATCTGCAGTTTCATTTCAGTTGATAATGAAAGCCGCAACCCGCAGACGTTCATGCGGGTACAATGTATCGAATAGCTCTCGAATAAGAATTCTGAATACTATTTGGAGCAGCATTAGCATTACAGACGTACAACCTTTGTTCAACAATCCTTTAATGTGGCACCTACAATAAAATGAAAGAATGTAGTTAAATTTTTAGTTAATTAAACAAGTGTAAGAGAAATTACTTCATAAAAATAGCAGTACCTTGTTATACAGAAGTAGTTAACAAAGTAGCTAGATCACAATTAAGAGCTACAGTGTAACAAATAATACAGAATCTTGACTAGCTCTGAAGTGACGACCAACATATACCGTTACTTCGTGACGAGTAAAAATATCAGCTGATGGTGAAGGAGCAGTGAACGGTTCCAGGAAAACGGACAATCCATTACCGAATAATCAACGGCGACAATTCAACGAGAACTAGCCTTGTTGGAAAACAAAATCCTCAGAGAGAGTCTCCGACAGTCACGAACAATTTTTTTATCAAACAGTCAGTGAGTCAACATCTAACGGGAAAGCAGTTGTGACACCATGAAAAAAATCCTCATGGTATTTCACGTAGATTTGCATAGTTGTCAGTTTCCTTCATATTTCCTTGTTATCTAAACTTCCAGAGTTTCGCTGCAAAATACATTAAAAATTGTTATAAATAATTCTGTAACAGGATTCACCTCACGTCCTTGAGATATAATTGTAAATGAAATTCAGTAACAGTCAAAGGGTTGATCGAGCGAAACAAATCGCAATAATTCCTCCAAGCAAATTGCAGTCTCGCAAGCGTCACGTATGCAATTCCAAGTTCATCGCGAGTATCACCGTTAAACGGCGTGTCTCAACCTCGTATCCGTGTACAACGAGCATAATAATGTGCATACAGGCTGTGTATATTTACTGGCACAACCATCCGCGAGAACTTATGAAACCAACTTTCGTCCTCTCTTCTTTATTTAACAATGTTTCGAGGTCGCGAGCGTACAGCATTCTGGAAGGAATATTACAATATTAGTTAAAAGATATTTGAATTTCGATCGTAGAAAACGTACAATGAGATTAATGGAATTCCTTTCATCTATTTTGGAACGGTATTCCAGTTACACGTTTTCCTTTCACAACACTCCACCACCATAATCCAAGGCCCAACAATTTCGAGCCAGCGGCGAGTAATTTCAAAGGCGCGCCGATTATTCGCACGGTGCGTACTCATGGTGTTGGAATGCTATGGTGATTTCAGCGATGCGTATTCGAATACCATTTGCTATTGTAAACGTGGAATCGCTCGTTTTATTCTTACCGAGATATATTAGGATGTTTTTTCCTGAACTAATGAATATCAACTTTCCACATCGTACGCATTTGATGAAATAATATACGAACTTCGTTCGCCTGCTATACCTTTCTCTTTATCAATGAGGCATTCAAGTCCAAGTAGTGGTTCGGCGCAGTTGCAAATGTGGCATAATAGACTTTAGATATATTCATTTATGAAACGGTAATTCGCGGAACGTTCAATTCAGTCTCGCATGAACTGTTCAGATACCGCAAAGCATGGGTTCGGAAGCGTGGGAGCTGGAACGAAGATATTCGGTTCCGGGAGCCTTGGACACCAGAGGACTAGAACCACCTGCCAGCGAGGACTTGCATGCCTGGTCCATCTACAGGTGCTTCTTTTTCTCGAGCTTCGAGACCTGCAAAAAAAACTTGCTCAACTTCCTATTCTTCCAGGCAAAATCTAAACTCCGATTTCACGGATTCCGCTCTGGGATCCGCAGAGAAGTCTCCGCTTCCCTACGGGAACTTTCAGCTTCGCGATTCGACGGTGCAGAGCATTCTCAGGCATCCCAGATACGGGCCAAAGAGTCCTCTGGCTAGCAACTCGTATACCTATCTGAAATTTGGCTTGCCGCGAGTTCTGCCTCCCAGTTCAAGGAATCGCGATGGCTCCAGCGGTTACGACTCCAGCGAGGAAGGCCGTCGAGTGTCCCATGCTGGCACCTCTGCCCACGGGACGACCTCGGCGATGCGCTCCGCGAGAAGCGATCCCGATTTCAGACACGTTCACGCGGTGCCAAGAGAACACGCGCATTCGCAGCTAACGGTTTCCAGAGAGAATCCGCGGCTGAGGAGCGCGAGCGAGGCGAATCTTCTTCAAGGAGGAGCAAAGAATAATCGGAGGCACAGCATAGCGCCAATAGATCCTGGCTACGGGGTCCATGAACCTAGAGGTATCTTCTGCACCTGTAAGAAAAGGTGCTTTTCTGGAGAAACGAACTCGAGACTTAGAATAAACATAGAGAAATGCTAGATTCTTTAACTTCGTTTTAAATCGAACACCTTTTTCAGGCCACGGTATCCTGGGTCCAGAGAGTTACACGTTGCCCATCAGACCAGTGCCGTGTCTTCAGCACCCTCATCTTCAACTGCGAGGCGTCGAAGCCGCAGGGTCAGATGGACTACCTTTGCTTCGTGGAATCACTCTGGAGGCTGGAGCCACCGAGGTCCTGGCTATCATGGCGACCACGGAGAAGGAGGGTAAGCTGATCGTGGAAACCATTGCTGGCAGGAAACGCATCAAGCGGGGCGACATCCTGCTGAATGGAAGATCAGTGTCCTCACGATCCTTGAGGTACCATTTTCTGATCTTTTTCTGAAGCATCCGTCCACCTTTTCTTGCATCGTTTTCTTTTACAGGTCTCGAGTAGCTTATTTATCTACGGAGTGCAGCCTGAGCCCGGGTTTAACTGCTCAACAGACTCTCAGTTTCTATATGTTGCTCAGAGGTGGTCCGAACACTTCCAAGCTTGAGGCTGAAGCAATTCTGCAGGAACTTGGCCTGGAAGCCACTAAACACTGTCTGGTGAATTCTCTGACCACTTCTGAGGCAAGAAGACTGGCTTTAGCGTGTCGATTGTTGCAAGACTCTCACATTCTGGCGTTGGACAGACCTACGCATGGGTTGGACATTTTTGATGCCTTTTTCCTAGTGGATTATTTAAGGCAGTGGGCCAATAGGGGCCAAAGATTAGTTGTGCTGACGCTGCATCCACCTACGTATGAAATATTGACCATGGTGTCGAGGGTTGCACTGACTTCCGGTGGCAGGATCATGTACTCCGGTCCTAGGAGGGATATGTTGCCATATTTTGCGCTCGCCGAATTCCCCTGCCCTCCTTTCAAGAATCCTTCTGATTATTATCGTACGTATCATAAGTGAAACAGAAGTAATAACAGAGATACTCAAAATATCTTTTGACAAATGTCCATTCTTTCAGTTGACTTGGTAACCCTGGATGACCTATCTGCAGAGGCAATGCTTGAATCATCACAAAGGATAGATCATCTGGCTGAATTAGCAAGGACAAGACTGCCGCCGTTATGTGATCCTGGACCACCTGGTGCACTGCCACCCTCCATTTCCAGTCCTAATATATTTACTCAGATCTATGCGTTACTCTTAAGAACGCTGATCTACAGTCAGCCATGGACGCTAACTAGACTTCTCCGCAGAATAGTCATCTCTGCATCGCTTAGTATTTTACTTGGTGCAATATTTTGGGACGTTGCTGGGGACTCGAATTTACATTTAAGAGATAGAGTAGGTTTCCATTACGCTAGCTTAGGTATCTTCTTCTGGCCACTAACCTTAATAGCGATCTGCGAGGTAGCTGATTGCAGACCAAACGTTGAAAGAGATATCAAAGATGGCCTCTATGGAAGATTTATATACATTTTAATGGAAGTAAGTTTCTCTTGAAAAATTAATGTGTTAAAATCCATACTTACCATTCTTACTTTCAGCTAATTTGTGGAATATTATCCTGGTGCATAGTTTATTTAATATACTTGGCACCAGGCTATGCAATGTCAGGACTGCATTTGGTACCGGATGAGAATCTAACATCCCTCTGGAACTATCTTGGCATCGGATTACTGTATTTAATTCTGCAACACCTGATCTGTACTCTGTTTGCTCATACTTGCAAGTGGACATATTTGGCTTCTCTGTTTGCTGGAATTGTGATTGGTGAGATGACTTTAGCCGGAGGAGTGACTTTGCACTTAGAAAACTTGCCAGGCTGGTATCAGAAGATTAGTCCGATGCAATGGTCCTTGTCTCTGCTATTGCCTGCGCTACATCAGTCAGATGCAATGAACAAATTAACTAATTGCAAGCCAAAACAAATTCAGAGGCAAGATATTATTGTTCAAGCAGCTTGTGAACCACCGGATGGTGCTTTGGCATTATATGAAATTACTCTAGACAGACTCAATGTGCGAGGAGAACTTTGGCTAGGAATAGGAATAGCCATTGTCAGTGTATTAATTATACTGGTATTCCTATGCATTAGGTACACCACTCCTAAAAGACTTAGAAGTGCACCCAATAAGCCATAATGTGCAATAATTTTTCAATGATTAAAGGAGTATGCTCCTGAATTAGTATAAAAATGTTAATCTGCTCAAGATTGACAGAATATATCTGTTCTTCATTATTGTAAACGAGTAACAAAGTATTCCTTTAACGTTACAATTTTGTAAGTACAAGTATAGATATTAATAAGAAATGTACTTCATCGCTTTGTTATAAAGTATGTTACTTTTGTACTACATCATGTTCATTGATTTTGATTCTTGTCTATATTATTTGTGACTTTTTAAAGCGAGAAGCTTCAGAAACTTGCAAAATAGACTTGTAAAATGAAGTTCCAAAATTCAATGAACAATGAACTAGTGGTCCTCTTGAACGCTTCAAAATAACTTGTATCTGTAATGCTATAATCAAACTGAAAGAAAAATGTTTTTGTCAAATAGGAACAAATTTACTTTCCAACTTTATCCCTTATTTTCAAGCTATTTAATCATTTCCAAATCCCCAAACATTTATACATAATAAATATAGAAGCTTCATTTTTAAATCTTTTTTCAAATTTCATACCGACATTAAAAATCAGCGTCAACTCAATCGGTAACGAATGATAACTTGATCAACAGCTCCACCTACGATTGTAAACTTGTCGATAAAGAAGTATGTCCTCGACTTTGATCCTTAGTTGATAAGAACAACTTTATCATTGAGTTTGTAAAATTTGTAAAAATTATAATCGCTATTATTACTCTTTCGCTCCAAGTATTCACTACTACAACAGAAAGTGAATAATTTACCGAATCTTAGAAAATCAATGGTGTACGTTTCAGAAGTAATTTTCGTCCGTCTAAAAGCAGCTTCACAATTTAGTATTAATAATGGAAACACTTCGATGTACTATTATAGTCAATAGTGAAATGAATATTTTAGCTGCAATTGCCAATGAAAATAGACCGTCTACGTTCGCTAATTAAAAGGAACCGACTAACTTTAGCCAATAACTGTTGTATTTTTTGATCTATAAGAATCTGTCTCAAACACGGTAAATCGATGATTTCTCATTCACCTTGAAGAACTATCGCAATAATTTATTTTTCTTTTATTATATCTGGACAAAGATATATCAAGAGCGATATGAAATGCAGGCATTCAACTTTTACAATCGGTTCTGGAGATCGTAAACCTCGAACAGACAGCAATCGTTTATCTTCAAAAGCCAGATACGCGTTACGTTGCAATTTTTACCTCGTTACGAGCATCATGCTTGAGCATTTTTTTCGATAATGGAAATGTACTATCTTTTAAAGACCGTGTTCAAAACATTTCATTTTAATCCTTTGAGCTTCATTAAAGAATTAAAGATTTCTTTTTCCCTTTCATCCAAGTTTTCGAACTTATCACGCTGGTTCGGCTCGTTCGTTCACCGAATTAGTATAAATTGGCGACGAGCAGCCGTCGTAAATGCCGACTTCCGTCGATGAAAGTAATTAACTGGTCGTGTAGGTTGCACGACGGGGCGCACAGAATTCGTGGAAAAAGCGCAGACTTGCAAGCTATCCGTTCGTCAGACCAGAACGAGCGGAATCACGTTCTTGTGGCTGGGTGCGAACGTTAAACTTCTCTGACCGGCGTCCTTACACCTCTCTAAAATCAATGAACTACTGTCTTGTATTCCGTGCGCGTGCATTAAAGGTCGGTTCATTGAGAAGCATGCGAGGTCTTCATTGAAAGAGAAAGAGAATCATGCGACGTCGTGTCAGTTTCTACCCAATTTCATTGCGGTATTTTACCTGAAAATGTTTAACCGGTCAGAAGCACATACATTTTACATAACAAGCTTACTTGTATAATTAATTTTCATTTAAATTAACATTACACGACTACCTTTTTCTGTAAAAAATACCAGCAAATTCGGCACAATTCTTAGCAAGGTCTTGGTAATGTATACGACAGGAAGAATAAAAAACAACATGGGATAACGAGCTCGTAGGTCCGCGTGGGCGCGAACGTATAAAGCTCTTTCGCTTTCTCCCTCCTGATCCCGTTCGCCTCTTCATTGATTATTTTACTTCGCCACCGCTTTTCTACCTATACCGCCATGTGCTAGCAGTCTATATTAGTACGTAACTTATACGTGTTGTATACAAGCGTCCACATGCAAGCATATTTCCGGATCCTTGCTGGAAAAGTGTCCTCTAACGAGAAACATTAATTGCACCGTTTATCGCGACCGTGGTGCACTCTCTTCAACGACCAATTTCATTCCAATGGACACTGGAAAAGATTAAAATCGGAAAGAATGTTGCAACTTTTCTTTTTATACATTTTCCAGGAAATTAGGTGGTTACTCACCGTAATGTTTAACCTTGAAAATTATGTTTCATAGCTGTAATCAGGTGTGTCTGATATACTTAGCTTTGTCGAGAGCTTGGCGACCTAGAAGATAACAGAAAAATTCATTCATTGTTGATGAGTCATTCAATATTTAGTAAGGTCTGGACTTTCCGAATTTCAGGACTTTGATATTTTTGAATTTTAGAACTTTGGAACTTTAGATAAAACACGCGATATCACGTGATGGGATCGTGATACTGAACTGCGGTGAAGATCAAAGATTCTGCGAGAGTTTATTGAGGGAATCGAGAATGGGAGAACACGATCTTGCAGCTCAATTAAAGAAAATTCGTGATAATATTAAAAAATTAGTATAACTTTATAATTATACTTATGATTAACATTTTATTCCTGGATTTCACAAAAAGCCGGATCACCTTAATAAATGTTTGCACATGTAGAACCGGAAATGGAAAGGAATTCAAAGTACGCAATAAATTGTTAAAAAAATAAGTTCCTTTTTTTAAATGTTGCTTATAAATAATTAACGCAATACCAAACAATAAAAATTAAAAAATTATATTTTAAAATGTATAAACATTTAATAACTATCATTCGCAATATTAAATAGTGTTATGCATAAAACGGTAAAAAGCGCGCGAAACAATGTTGCGAATGAGGTAATTAGCGCCATCTCCTATTGTTTACACTTGTCAATAGGTAAGTAGGTTCGCTATGGTTAAAAATGCCTAAGTTCAAGAAATATTTACGCACAAATCAGAATACATAAACAAATATAATAAGCAATAAATATAACAGGTATGATCTACTACTAATACTTCGTTGATCCATAATCGAAAGTATAATAGATACTATTGAAGCACATACTTACCATCCTTTGTTAGTCAAGTATCATCTATTCGATACCAAAGAGGTAAGAAAGGGACAGGCTGAAATCCTGTAGGCAGTTTTATAATCGAGGCTAGTGAATGTGCCAAGACTTTAGATCTAAGGCTTAGATCTTACGTGACTAAAGGAATGTGGGCGCACCAGTTTCGAGAGTCATTCAAAGAAGCGTCCGCCCATATTCATATTTCCACAATGAACGAAAGCGCGGGAAGAAATAAACAATTCTAACCTATATACAATACGCATGGATGACTTTGACAGTGACAGGCGATCGCATCATCGTACAATCCTTTGACATCATCGTAAAACGATGCAGTTTGACCGCTTATGTTGAAGGTATACGCTCAAAGAATCTTTAGACACAATCTGAAACGCATATTTTATGTTCGTATATTTCTTTCTCCGTTATTTATCGACCACGACAGGATACGATTATTCACGGTGCGACACGCCGACGAATATTAGCAGACGTAGGAGGTTGATTTCTTGGTTAAAACAGAGGCCCCTGGTTTAATTTACGCGACTGTCGGCGGTGGATTTGTATATTTTGAAAAATCCTCGCAAAGGAAACGCTCGAACGCTATTTTCGTTTGCTAGGAGGCGGGCTAGCTTCCTCCTCAAGGATTCGAGGTATCATCTTCATTCTAGTTCTCGAACGTTCACAGAATCTCTATTTATATGTAACCAAATTTACAGGTACCATTCGATTTAATAATTGGCAATCCTGTCCATACATAGGAGAAAAGATTGTGAACTAATGAGAGGTGGTCCCACCACCTTTTAACTTTTTATTGATAAAATTACAATTACAAATTTGAGAAGCTGAAGATTTGGAGATTTATAAATCATTTGATTCCTTCAATCGGATACAAGTGGTGGGGTGGTTCCCCTACACTCATGCTTATCTAAAGGAAGCCTACGTTGCAGCCGAGTGTACCTGTCCTCAAGTGACGTACAAAGGGATCTTTTATAATGTTCGAGCGGCCACGGCAAAGAAAGCTGCCGGATGCAGGAGAGGCGAGGGACGTCATTATCTTATCTCGAACCATTTCCTGTCAACCTGGGGCCGCTTTTCGTGGTAATCACACGCACACGCCCACGCGCGTGTGCACGTACACGCAAGGCTCACGCACACGTAGCGAAGTGCGTGCACTAATGCCCGGCCAAGTGCTAGGGAGTATTGCTTCCGGTGCGTACACCCGTTTGTCTCAGTATTAGCGTACGTGCGTGCGTGCGCGCGTGTGTCCGCACGTTCGACGTTACATCTGGCAAAGCACTGTGAACCCGATAATCGGTTTCCTCCTCCGGTAGCCTGCAGAAACCAGACGCAAATAAACGGCGCACAGCACGAGCCACGCTGTTTTCGATTCGTAGAAACTGTACCGGCTCTGTGTCCGTCTTGCGGATGTTTCTTTTTAGCTTGTATCGTTAGCCGATCAATTTAAGAAATCGCACATCTTTCTCCTATGCATGAAGCATAGCATCTTTGCCAGGATTAGCGTCATGTTGTCTTTCTTTATAATACAGCTCTTACTGTTTACACGTACGTGTGATAAGTAAGAACTGTATTTTGCAAAATGTAACCTTTTAAATAACGAGTTTACAATTGTACAGTTTCCTGTTTAAGATAGCATGTAAAATAATGTACGTGCCAGAGGAACGAACGTACATTGAATTGCAACGATTTTCATATCGATCGGATGCGACCTCGTGAGAAAAAACTGCCTAGCCTCTGAGGCATACTATAGAATTGTGATTGAGTAACGCGCGCCTGTGTGACTTCCGACTGCATCACGAAATACGTAATGGCAGTTCCATTAAGTATGCACACCTGTTAAGGTCATCAACAGGTATCACTTACGTCATCTTAACGTACACATTACCGGTGTGACTGCCATAGTGATACCGCGATACAACTTTCTTTGGTTACACACACGCTTCCTCATTAACGTGCGATTAGTAATCGTTTTAATGGAACATAGTTAACGATGCGCGGAGAATGAACAGACTTGCATTCTTATTGGTCAACGATGGCTGGTTTTGTAAGTTCAGTTTTACATTTTCATTTTAGGATTACAATGCATAGATTTTGCGCTAGATATAGAATGCAACCCACACTTTACAAATATGGATTAGTTACTAGGATAGTTTGCTCGGGTTTTAATGTCGAACATCATGGATAAAAACGATATTTTTATTTTCAGAAAGGTCGCTATCTATATGGATATATCAGTAATTATTCATTGATGCAGAGATTTCCGAAGTGTGGATCTTAAATGTTGCTACTCTTTGAAAGCAGCTTCTAAGCCCTACATTAGTATCTTATGTGAGTACGTTAGATCCTAATCAAACATTATTATCCATCGAATCAACCTTCCATTAATCACGATCTTGCTATCAATGATTCACGTCCAGAGCGTGTATCCAAAATGTTAGTGAGGGTATCGATGTTGAACAGAGGAAGCAACGTAAATTCTCACGTAAATCTGTTCGTGACCATTGATCGAATCGAGCGTAGTATCAAGGACGGTATAGTACGCTCACCTTATCATACTCCCACGCAATCGAATCGAAATTCGTCTCAGCGCACGAATGTCCGTGACTCGTCGAAGGCCACCGACACCGACCAGCCCTTTTTGCCTTCACCTCTCGACTATCTATCTTTCTCTACCTACGTTCTTTCTCTTAGCAATGTTCTAGGGGTCGCGATAAAGTGGCCCTGCGCCGTCCGCGTGATCGAACGTGAAAATCTTCAACGACAGCTACCCAAATGAATGGAATGCCAGCCCACGCTTGAGAGCCGCCTGATAGGCTGCTCGATTCGAGGTGAGGCTTCACCTACAGTACTACAAACTTCAGGAACGTATATATAGTTTGAAAGGCATTGTAGTAAAAACTGTGTACTAATTTTTGTCTTTCAGATTTAAATGCTATGCCTAGCAATTCAGGATATGTATTAAACTTAAGTCATCGACAAAAGAATTTTTTTTCAATGATTTTTAAGGAGGAAGATAAATGTTGATTCATTTATTGTTTTTGTATAATAAATTATTACTATTATTCATCAAGTAGGTATATTTGGATTCATTGTAGACTGTTTTCAGATAAGGAGTGACATTGGAGAGGTCTCTGATAACTAATTTCACATGTTGGAAAAATAAATGTGTAAGTTTAAAACTGTTGTACTTTTTAATTGGATTAGCGATTATAATTGTTCCTAGTTCATTTGATTTTTCGAAACTAAGTATCAGTTTAGTTACGCAAATCATTGTTATTCAATTCGTTTCCAAACATTTCATTCATCCTTTCCATTCTAATTCATGATTCGGTCGATCTCACGAATGGTATGCCTATGTTTGTAGAACTATAGTCTTACATAGACTAACCCAATTAATTTCCTTATCTAAATTAATTATCTTTAGGTACATCTGTAACGATACAACAAGGTTGATCACAGACTAATATTGGCTGATGGATCGCATCAAGAATGAATAATTCACAGACATCCGTGGGGCGCCATCAATCGTAATGCCGAGCCTGGAAGCAGCACGTGGACGCGAGTGTGCGTGCACGTCGATACGAAGTAGACTTCGGTAGACGGTGCGGTCTTTCTCGTGTGGATCGTAATAATATGCGCCCACGCACGCGTGAGAGAGTGAGCGTGTAGTATACTGGTTCCCCTCACGTTTCCTACCCTCCATTTTACCAACAGTTCGGTCAGTACCGACCCCCGACCCATCTACCCACGCCTTGTTAATGAAAACATCTTTTGTCAATGAACTGACGTCAGTCCGCTATCTGATTGGTCGAGCACCGGGTACCACGTGATCGTGGACCAATCCTTGCCTGGATAGATCTCCCGTACGCTTGAAGATCCGAGCGCCATTTGCCCATTCTGGACGGAAGAACGATCGAGGTAAGGTGTGGCCTGCAGCAGGCTGGCTAGAAGGCCACGGAAGAGAGAGACGGTGACAGAGTAGAAGGAGCAAGAAAAGAAAGGGAAAGGAAGACGGAAGGTAAGACAGAAGAGGCTGCCGCGCGGAGGGAGAGAAGGGAAAAAAGAACAGGAAGTCGGTACGGCAACCGAGGGAAGACGCGTCGAGCAATGTTGGAGGGATTCGTGAGGTGAGGGCGACGGTCTCGAGTCGCGCAGCGCCGAGATACGCGACCGATCTCCCAAACTGACTCGTTCGAATCGAGCGTTGTGCGCGCAGCATCCCCTTTCTGGATAGTGACGCGAGAAGAATCGAAGCCGACTCGATTCACTGATCGAATGTCGAGTGCGCGGTAACACGGCGAGGGATACCCGCGTCTCTGTCCGTCACGAGGATAATGCCACCACTCACGTCAGTTCGCGCGAAACACGTTGATCGTGGTTCCAGGTAAATCTACGGTGGATCATGCATTTCTCGAACGAGCAACAACATTCCGTGGACGTGGCGTTAATTGGGCTTGCCGTCTTTATTTACAAAAGGATCGATAATCGGGACGAGTTCGCGGCGAAGGAGGAGGAGGAGTAAAAACGGCATTGAAGTGCCGCAGGAGGTGATGGCAACACGTGAGAATAACGCTCGGGAACGACAACGTGCGTTTAGATGCCTCTGAAGAATACGTACTACTATACCACTCTAAGTGCCATTTCATCGTATTCGATTAATATTAATAATAGATGTATATATGAATTATTACTTGCACTTAAATGCACGCACACTTGTCTCTCGTTGATCGTAAACAACATGTAACCAGTTCTGTTCTTGTGAACTACGATGCGACACAAATGTCACGCGTGCACTTCGACTATCATTGATAACACGTTACTTGGAAGTGCCATACGGAGAAAGAGATTCTTTCGACGCTGCAAAAACTCAGGTTTCTGCTTCTCTGAACACGGTGGAGTCTATGGAGATTAATACATTGATGAATAGAAACAAGCGTGTTTAAAGTCATAAGCCAAAGAAGCGTTGGATTTAAGTAAAACGTACAACATGCCAGGAGGAAATGTTATGGAAGAGGAGTTCGTGGACCCTGAGTGGCTTTTCAGAGAACTTAGATCGCAGGATGGTCCAAGCAAGCTTTTAATCTTAGACTGTAGAGCGCATTCTGATTTCTCTGAAGCTCATATAAGAGGTTCAGTTCCTTTAGCCATACCTAGTATCATGCTGAGAAGATTGGCAGCAGGTAAAGTTGATCTGTTGTCGACAATAAGGTGCTTAGATCTAAGAAACCGAGTCGAAGTGTTTTTGTGTGGTGATGAGAACAGCAGAGGGACATTTGTATTGATCGGTGACTCTACGGACCCTGCAGGACATCAGGGTGAAACAATTCAAGTTTTAAGTCGGAGACTTAGGAGTTGCGGTGGATGTGTAGCTATTTTAATGAGTAAGTGTAAACTGTGCATGATATTTATGTATGCTTTAAATGTATATGTTATAAATAATGTTAAATCATCAAAAATGTGTCAACAATGTGTGATTTAAATATATTTTGAGTTTGTATCAAACTTTAACTTGGATACAAATTATAAATGTTGTTTACCATAATTAAATCATCCAAAACAGTGTACGGAATTTCAATTACTGTACTGTTTGTAGTATAGACCTGAAGACTAGAGTACATATCAGTCAGTACACCAAGAGTGAATGAAATATTGATTTACACAGAGAAATATAGTACATCTTACTAATTATTTTCCTTTTATGCTGTATGTCATTATAAATTTATTTTTTTTTTACAGATGGCTTTGAAGCATTCAGAAATAGATATCCTGAATGGTGCGAAGGTAGTCAAACTACAGGAGAAGGTCCTCCTGGTCAGGATTCTAATGAAGGGGAATTGATGGGTCTCAGATCTCTTCGGATATCTACTCCACCGACAAGGTCATACTCTGACTCTGATAGTGATAGTACTTGTGATTCCGTTGGTTAGTATATTTATATATAGTTGAAGTTCTTTTTAATAAAATATGTGGAAAGAAAACAAACTACTACAATTTCTTTTACAGGACCTGAAGAAGATAAAGACTTTCCAGTCGAAATCTTACCCCATTTGTATCTTGGAAACGCGGCCAATAGTGGAGATAGAGAAGCTCTAGCGCGTCACAGGATACAGTACATTCTCAACGTAACTCCAGATTTGCCAAATGTATTTGAAAGCGCGGGTTCCATAAAATACATGCAAATACCTATAAGCGATCATTGGAGCCAGAACTTAGCTAGTTTCTTTCCACAAGCAATTCAGTTCATTGGTAAGCATAAATATCTGTTATCAGTGATTTGAAATTTGTGAAGAGAATTAAATATGACTTTTTCTTTACTTTAGAGGAAGCTCGGAGCTCAGATAAAGGAGTGCTGGTTCACTGTTTAGCTGGAGTATCTCGGTCTGTTACGATTACTGTAGCTTACCTTATGCACAAGTGTAGTCTCAGTTTGAACGACGCTTTTAATCTAGTACGTAGTCGAAAATCGAACGTTGCTCCAAATTTCCATTTTATGGAACAATTACATAGTTTTGAAAAGGAATTGAGGGATCGAGGTGATAGGAATAGAGGGAACGATCAGAGATGTATAGGAGCTTGTCGACCTGGAGGACCTTGTAATTGTCCAGCGCCCAGTTTCCTTAGTCCTATCGATCTAGGACTTAGTCCAGATTCGGGAATAGAATTTGACAGGTGGGCGTCGAGTACGCCGGCTGAATGAGACGGGCAAGGAGGGACCCAATATAAATTTTAGGTCCCTCCTAGTGCGCTGCATGCCATTGTAGAAAATGAAAAGCCATAATTGAAGGGTGCAGGAAACGAAGTTTACATTCTGCTAGGAAAATATCCTAGGACAATTGAAACGCAGTGTAAAAGTAGATAATTAGGTATGTTTGTTGAGTACTAACTCCTGAAGAGAACTAACTCGTCAAGTTGTTAAATGGCTGAGCCTTTCTAGTATTTTTCTATGTACATTGTTTCTCTAGGCTTTGCAAGCCACAATTCTATTGCCGCATAAAAGGAAGTTAAACGACTACTAAATAAATGAGGATTTGTTTTTCCAAAACATAAAAGATATTTTATTTGATAAAATATATTCTTACCGTGTTTCTGGAATTTTTCGTATATAGTCAAATTATTATACTACGTAAGTCACTTTACAAATTTAGAAAAAATAAGTAGGACTATCAAGGGTTCTATAACATTTTTCTAAGTTATTACGATAGCGTTAAATATTGAAAGTATTTTATAATTAAAATCTGTACTTTCTTACAATGTATCGCGATTGTCATTGTATATTGGTATTATCAGATATCAATTTCAAACTTCTTTTATCTGAATCGTAGTAGTGTCTGAAATACGTTGAATTTATTCAGCACTATGTTATCCTCGAACATTTCTAGGATACAATTTTATACGTACACTATATCCTGAAAGACAAAATCTATATTTTTAATACTTATTCCCTGAACCCTTCAATTAACGAGGCTGTGTTTGTTTTATCGCAGACGATGCTTATTCGAAGCGATACGTTCTCCGATGAAAATAAGTCGTCAACACCAGGCAATCACGAGTAGTTGAAGTAACGGATAACTGCTTAAAAACACACTAAGTTTAAGTTCAGAGGTACAAAATTGAGAAATCTTTCTCGTACTCAGCAGTATAGATTATGATAAAGTATACACGAGGTAATTCGAAACTCGAGCGTCGTAATTTTTGACATAGTTTTTCAATACACAAAAGTGACTTATATTGAGAAGGGTATTCTTGATGCATTCTGACTTTTAAGATGCAATGTTGTGTGCACATTCTCTCGAAATAATCTCGGTTAAATAAATGAAGGAGTACATCTTTATGGATCAGTGCATTTCTATAGGGCATTCCGAATCTCTTCTACTTCCAAAACGATAAAACAGTCAGGATTGTCGTAGAAAAAAAATTTAAAAATCTGAAGATTCATTCAGTCTCATGCAACTTAGGTTCCCATTAATTAAAGGGAAGTGTAGGGATCTGTGAAGGTAAAAGGTTGTGCATTGAGCTCTTCTTAAATTCTTACAAGGTTCTTCTGCACAAAATACAATCAATGAGAGATCACTGTTTCAAGAGTAGAAAGAGGAACCTTCTGTCACTTACATTTGCTCTTACGAGTCCTGGGAGAACTCGGGAAGGGGAGAAAGAACTTAATCTAGAACCTATTACCGTCACGTGTAAAGAATATCTTCCTGTACCTAAGGGAAGTCTAAGTTCTTGAAATAAATTTTGTTCAACGACGATCTTGATTCTATGTGCGTTAATACAAGAGTAAGAATTAAATAATAACTATATATGATGTATGACAATTTGAATGCTAAATTTTGAATTGTATGATCAGCACTGTTTCTATTGTCTTGCAGATCTCAGATATATATTTAAAATTATTTTTGTAAAAATGAAAAATGAAATCGCGTATTCACATTCCCATAAGCCACAATGACCTGATACTGTAACTATCTTTCGTGTACTATATGTATTGTTCATCGAGCATAATTGAAGTTAATATGAGTGTACACAGTGAATGTTATTTTTCATGTAATTAACTAAAAAAAAGTTGTGGTAATCGACTCTTGACTGTTGCAAGAGTAAATTGATATACAACTAAGGAAATATATATTTGACGTTAATGTAATAACAATATTCTACTATTACACTGTTGTCTGTTGTATGTTTATCGAGCATGATGCTCGAAAGATTTAATCAAATATTATGTATATTACATAAATTATTATTTTATATTCATCGTTGTACATATATTTTAATTAATTTTCATTTGGAAATACAACTTGTCTTACCTGAATCGTGCTAAACAACTCATCTTTATGAGAAAAAGAAAAAGAAAAAAGTGTATGTTTCACGAAGTTTTAATATCGGTTTCCTTTTTGTACAAATGAAGATTATCTTTTTGTTATGGCAAAATGTACTTTTATTAGTAATAGATAACTATAATGTTTTAAATATCAAATTGCAAAAAATATAAGAAGCCTATTTAACGCAATTTCGGCAAGTATACTTGTTAATTACAACATTAATCATTAGTCTTGAGTTCATCATTTCATTGTTTTCTTTTTAATTTTCTATATCTTGCAACGTTTAAATAATCAAGCTGATAATCTGTTTTGAACAGTTCGCCAGTTTGTTCGGTGTACTTGTCGAGATTTTTGTTTCTGACATAGTTTTAAGTATATTTAATGCAGCTTCAGATTGTCGAACTGCTTTAATTAAATCATCACGGTCCTGTTGATTTGTTGCCGTGCATAAAAGTGTTCCTAGCGCTACAAGAGTTCTGAACACCGCTTCGGATTCATTCAAAAGAGGTAAAACAGAGAATATTACGTTTAAGCATTGTGTTTTACCAACAGTATCGCCATATTTGTTCAAAGCCACGGTTAAGTTTAATATGTAAGTTGAAATTGCAACCTGAAAATACACATCGAATCAGTTTTAGCGATTAATCGCAATATTCGAGATCAATTTAATTTTATTTTACTATTCGTACCTGATTGTTTTTACTTCCAAGAGATTCTAAGCCCAATATTGATTTTAATATCTCATCTTTGTAATTAATGCATAACTTTTCACCTGTTTCGTGAGCGAACATATTTGCCAATAAACGAAACGCGAGCATTTGATTAGAAGGAAGTGCATCGCGTCTGATATGATTTTTCACGATTTGCAACAATTCATCTGTACAGAGAACGTCGTTAATTTCTTTACACAATACTATGAGTCTTGTTATATCGAGGACAGGAAACAATACGTCGTCTGACCAGTTTAAAAGGGTCATTAAAGTATTCAAAGCATCGGTTCTCAGTTCGGGTGACTGATTTCCTGCTAATTTCACTAAACATTCCAACTGCTCGTTCGTTACTTTGAGAGCATCAATTTGTTTAGAATTTAATTCTCGTAGTTTTTCTGCAAGAAAATAAAAATGTTTCTCATATTTACATTAATGACAAATATAAACACGGTACATAATTTAAATACCCAAAATAGCAGGAAGATTAGCTTGTTCTGATCTCAAGTATTTAATGTGAGGGATATAAGAAGGAGTTAAAGATGTGTCAGAAGAGTTGAGCGTCGTTGATTTTGTACATTCCTGAGGAACTGTATCTGTTGTTGCTTGAGGAATATATCTACTACCTCCTGTGAAAGGATCAGCATATTGAGCATCAGCTTTTACAACTGGTGCAGGTTGGGAATTTTTTATTATAAAATTTGCAACCTGTAAATGGAAATAAATTACTATATAAATTGTCTGTTATTAAGGAAAAGATAATAGATATCTCAAACTTTATACCTGATCTAAAAATAACTGACTAAGACCATTGTCGTGAAGGAATTTCTGAGCAACATGCCATGGATCTTGATCATTGTTATATGGTAGTTTTAAGGGGGGAATGCCATCTTGTATATCGACCGAAAATACATAATCATACTCCTTTCCATTATATAGCTGCTTTCCAGATGTAGCTGCACTGCCACCACTAGCCCCCATAACATCTCCAATCTTTATCCACCTCTGTTCATTTTGTGACCAACTGTATGCTCTTATCGCATCGCCGTCGTTAATAATTTTAGTTTGTCCATCTCTCTGACCAGGTTGTAGCAATGCTTTTGCATCTGGTAAACTGTTAGTGTAAAAATTAACATACCAGTTTATTATTTATAATCTGATTTTGTTCTCAGATTCTTAACTTACTCCTTAACTTTGATCCCACCTAACTCTTGTTGAGCATTAAGCTTAACATTAGCTACTTCCTGCTCAAATTTTTCTAGTATCTCTGGATCTGCATAATGTTCTGGATTGCAACTAAATATCCTGACAATACCATCAGAACTTCCAGTAACTACATCACCATCAGGAAGTAAAGCAATACACCATACAGATTGAGTTGGCAGAGTAATAGTTTGACTTAGTTCACTGTTATTCCATATCCTAAGTGTTCGATCTTCACCAGCAGTAAATATACTTGTTCCATTTTCAAAGGCTACAATACTGTAAATATAGTTCTCGTGTCCACAGTATGTTCCTAAACAAGTTCCAAGTGATACATTCCAATGACGTACAGTGGCATCATTGGCACAGGTTAAAAATTCATTGTTATTTATTGTAGAAATATCACGAACACAATCAGTATGGCCAGTTAATTTATGTTGTATGGACCCATCACTTGTCCATATTATAACTAACTTATCTGCTGATCCAGTCACATAAAACCCACTTGATAAATCTGCTACACACCATACAGCAGCAGTATGACCTAACAGATCTAGTAATGGTTTGCTTAAATCATTGAGGTTCCAGACTTTGGCGCTCATATCCCAGGAGCTTGAAAGGAATGTCCCTTCCTTTTTACCTGCTCTCAATTTACATACTGTATCTTGATGATTCTTTATGATGTTTATAGGTTCTGTTTGATCTGGTAAATAAATACGTATGGTTTTATCATGGCTGCCAGTTATAATAAAACCTGTAGGATTATGTTCCGATGGGTCTATAACGCATACGGAAGTAACAAAATTAGTGTGTCCTTTCAGTGTAGTAGTATGTTCATAATCTTTCCCATTCCTGTAAAATATTTGGTTAACATTTATTCAGTAAAATATATTAGAAAAGGAAACAAATATTTTATTTCATTTAAACAAAATATAGGCTCTAGTTTGTACAACAGTAATTAAAGGTTAAATACCCTGACGGTTTCCATACACGGGCTGTTTCGTCCCAAGAAGTTGACACGATAGTTCCGTCAGTAAACGCAGCCACAGCTCTTACGTCCGATGCATGTCCAAAAAGAGATGTTCTTAGTTTATAACACGGTTTAGCCATAGTATTCTGATAATCGTGCGAAGCACGCAACAAGGACATAACTTATGCAAATTCTATGTCGTATGAAAATCTCTCCAACCAAAACGTGTAACTACGAATAAATGCTTTTATATTTGACATTTAAAATGCATTCGAGCATGCGTGACACTTATCACTGTATTCGTACAGCATTACATGCATTTTCGTAGTTAAAACACATTACATACGTAAACAAAATTTTCGCTAATTTCTTGCTAACGTCATTAGCGAATGTCTGGTACACATGTTTCAAATTGCTGTCCACAATTTCGCAAAAAAGTTGGTAACGCGTATATGAAAGAGCTCTGTTTTCTAAATGCGACTACACTTTTAAATATCTAATTATTTTTGCACATTCGTGATTAAAATTTAGACATATCACTGATTAAAATTCGATTTTCCACTTTCAGCTTTCCGTAATATTGTTATTATTTGTTCCATAGGAAATCGTATTCAACTAGCGCACCACAGCTAACTTCAATACTCTCTCTCCACCATTTAATTCTATCCCTACCATTATATACTTTCTTCTCTGTTAATTATATATATAGTGAATAAAATATACAAATATTAATTATGTTGTTGATTGTTTTTTTTTTTCCAAATTTGTGGCATAGATTTCTGAAATCTGAGTACACTTTATCTCGAGACTCTATCTCAGATTTTCATTGCTCGTTTTCACATATAGCAAATTTGTCATATTGGCACTACTGTTTTAAGAAAAAACGTTCGCTAATTTAAAAATTATTAATATTAATTATATGATAGAATATTTAAGCGGTTTTAATAATTTAGTTACATAAAAGACCAAGGTAAGCTTTACAACTACAATGTTTAAACGTAATTCAACTATGATGTTGTTACGATTGTACATAACAACTAAGGTTATGTGTCCACTTATTTATGTATAGATTATGAAGCATGTGAAAACCATCAATTCGTTGTGAAGACTTGAATTATTGTACTTTGGATAAGAACATAAATATACTCCAATAATATTTATAGAACAATATAATGAAAAGTAACAATGACGTCTGATAAAGATGCACAAAAGAAAAAAGAAAAATTGTATGGTAGGTATACATTATATAAATGAAGGCTATAGCTAACATAGTTTAGTAAGAAAATTTGAAATAAAATATTTTTCTTTTAATAATATTATTAGTTATCTACAAACTTGTTTCTTAGGGGCATTATTCTTGAGTGGATTAGCAGGAATTTCTGCTATGATTGGATTTGGCAGTGCCCTAGCATCAACTAGAAAACAAGATACAAAAAGTTTTGAAGCTGGATTAGTAGGACAGAAAGGTCTGTATGAATCTGGAGCTGCATTAGCAACCAGGGCCCTTTTTATAGGCTCTCTATGGGCAATTGGAGGTTGTGGAGTTCTTTTCTATGGTATTTGGAAGCTGTCAGGAGCTAAGACTGCTGAAGAGTTTCGATTAAAGGCTGGAAGCATTTTGCCAAGAATACCAAAGAATGATCCACCCCAGAGTAGGACTGAATTTGAAAACCTTACTGACTTTCTTAGATATGTTTCAGAAGACTGGGGTAAAGAAAAGTAATATTTCCTAAATCATTTGAAGTTTAACAGCAATGAATAGTTTTTTTGAGTGGTCAGAACAGTCAGAGATAAATTTTAAAGATTACAGTCATCTGTAAGAAACTGTAATTATAGAGGTTTATGCTCTTTTCAGGCGTTCAAACAAAGTAGAAAAATAACTATTGCATTATAATTAGTATAATGCTTTTTGTATATTTTACTTCGTGTTTTTATATGTACATGTAGTTATTACTGAATAAAATAAAGATTTTAATTTGTAAATATTGTATATTACAATAAATGTCACATTTTAATTTTATCTGGTATGAATATTTTAAAAATTGAAAATTATATCTTGTTTCCCTCTTTGAAAATAATTAAATTCCTCAGAAATTGGGGAAAGCATTTATACTCAAAGGAGAACATAGGAATTTGTGTGGGTAATGTATGGAAATTAAAACAAGTTTTGTTTTTATACCTCCCGTTATAAATTATTATTATTAATATACAATGCTCATGTATAATAAAGAAAAAAGCACAGATAATAACGTAAGAAATTATAGTAACAAATTATATTGCTAGTTTTTGTTGTACGCTTGTTTTATTCCTATTATACACACACAAAACATACCGCCCTCTTTTTCCGGTTTTCTTTTTTGTGTTGTTATTTTATTTGTCCACGCTTATGTACGCTGACTGATCACACACACTGTCACCAAAAAATCGAACCATTAATCTTAATTTATCTTAACATTGTTTTTCTTTCATTGGGTTGTACTTATCTCTAATTACAGAAGATAAATGTATGCTATATAGAATTCATTATTAAATGGCCAGATATAATAGTAGGCAGAATTTTTTTATATATATATATTTCGCATCCTTTTTTTTATTTGGAGTTTTCCGATAGTCATCGAATATTTTGACATACTGCAAACATTACTTCTTGTGTAACTTAAAAATTAAGAATTCCTATTCGAAAATTCATGTTCCACTTAATTAAACAACGTGTTAATTCCTAACTCATTTTATTCGGCTGTCTCCTAAAAAACTATTTGTCGTTTCTCTTTTAAAAAAATTTATCTTATTTGAAATTGTTACACAATTATCATCACAGTGACAATTTAGCAAGTATAACATTTTCAATGACACAGTGAAGGTAGTACTTAATAGCTATATCTGTATCAATAAGAACTCAATATTTTTTAGTCTGTCTTCTTCTATGAAAACAGACTTTGTTTTATCTTTATCGGAGAAACGCATGCAGCTTAGGATCAAACGGTGGTCACACTATAATTAATCCAATTGCACCTCTATCAATTAACAGAGCAGCACTCAACTGACTAATAATTACTTATTAAATAGCATCAAAAAGAGCAGCGATCAGTTACTTATGTAGGAAAATCCTCTCTTTCTCTCTTAAAAAAAAAGGAACAAGTATTTGCAATAATTGCTTTAATTTAATGGCACTATGTTAAATAACTATAAATTTCAAACCCATGGCTAAACGCAATACTGGAAGCGTCAATATTATTAACAGTGAATATAATTTTTACAGTAGAAGTGACACGTGTTATGTCACAATACTCAACGGTCATATAATAAATTTCATAAATATATAATTGTAACTGAGAATGCATCACACATCAATGTTATATTTACGGTATTTATTATACTATTTTATATCTATAAATGCTAACTGTGTATTAGGTGTATTATTGATATATAATGCCAACACTAAAGGCAAGAAAATAAAAACAAAAGGAATTCACTATATTTTGTTTGTTGTTGACAGATTATCAAGTAACACGTTTAATGGAATTAAAATAAAAAGAAATGCATTTCAGCTTATTGCAAATACCTTTTACATACTAATTTACGTATTTGTTCCTATACGACTCACGTTACATTATATATTTTTGTATCTTACTTGCTTTTACAATAAGAATTACTGATGCATTCATAGAAAGGATTTCCTATCAACTCATAAACTTTCATTTTAATCTAAAGACTTTTTCTCTTACAGATAACTTAGGTACATAAATATTTCATACGAACAATTCAATTCTTATCCACCAAATGAAATGCGCATTTTGAATAATTAGTATCATTACCGTAGTTATTATTTAATTAAATAAATAGGCAATTGAACTATTTAAATTAATTATATCGAGCATAGTAGTACTTTGGTGATATTTATTAATAAATCAACTGTTGTGCCTTTCATTGGACTAATTTTTTCTTTTATTTCAATATTATCAATGAATTTCAGTTGAACAAAAAAGAGCTCATGCGCAGCCTGCGATAGTCACTACTGTTTTGTACAAATTCGCTACCTATTGAAGAGCTGTATAATAATTAAAACTATCTGGTAATCATTTCTAAATTAAACAGTCAATGGGACAATTTGTTAATGATACTGTTAATATATGTATTAGCTGTACTCATGCTTCTATTGGTAATAATATTTGTGCGAATTAGAAACAAATTGATAATTTATAAAAACAAAAGAAGAAAACAAATACAGAACTGTATCCAATCAAAAGTCTTATACAATCTTAAAAAAAAAAAACGTAGTTAAACAATTTCGCGTATGAAACTGCGCGTCGATCAGCGGCATGAACAATTGTTTTAAATATTGATACCATTTAATACACTCCCATTTCCCTTAACAGATGCTTTTATCCTGACCATGCGACTAGAATCGGTCAGTTTATGTTTCAGAGAACAAGCATCCCTACAAAGATGTCTATTTAATTATATAAAATTACAAAAAAGGGACCATTATTGTTTAAACTTTTTTTTTTCTTCTCTGAAGCTATTCGTTTTATCCTCAGTAAGAAGTTGTCTCTTTAAAAATGATCTTTTTTTATAATTACAGCTTTCTAAAATTTGTTTAACATCATAGCTTCATCTGTACATACTTATATATTCATTGGAAACATTTAAAAAATTAATTGAGGTTGCATTATTTTATGAATTTCAGTAATTTAAGTAAATAAATATAAATAACATAATTTGTACAAAAGAAACTTGTTTGGAAAGAAATTATGTTATACAAAATATTACAAATTTTAAAAAAATAAACGTCTCTGCAAGGTTGGCTGCACCCTGGTAACAAATACGAGTAAGGAGCCCATTTCGTTATTCTTAGCAGCATAAAATAGTCGTAATAGAAAATAGTAAATATAATTTCTCCGTTTCTCTTTTTTATTAACGATCGTGAACGCTCGAATGGAACAATCCAAAATATTACGATTTCACTCTCTGATTGTTATCTATTATTTTACTATTTTCTACGAAGAATATTTTTAGCTCGTTTCGGAGGTACACTTAATGAAATTTCACATTCGAGTTTTCCATTTTTCTGTCTCTTTCAAAGGCAAATATTTTATCCTTATTGTGGCAGAACGAGATTTGGGAATAATCTTTTTTGCGCGTTTGTTTTATCAGCGCGGTATTATGCGCTTGTTACCACACGTCAAGAAAATGACTGAATTTAAAACAAACTGTAGAATGTCTAATAGATAATGTTTTAACAAATTTATAGATTCCCTATGTATAACAGTAAATATATTAAACATGTTTTTTGTGATTCAGTAAATATATATCCTGTTTTTTATGAAAGTATTTAACGCACATATTTTTTGATACTAAATAATTTTATATGAAATTAGACGCTAATACAGCCTTCAAACATTATCTCCATCCTCGTTCTACCTAAGCTTCTATAACATATTAACTTCACACAGAAGTATTAAAAAAAAGATATAAAGAAATTTCTTCAGAAGTTGTTCTTAGGAACAAAATATTTCTTAAGAAGTACCTCTAAGAAGCTCTTTATTCATTGATAAAGTATTTAACATCAAACATGTTAAATACTTTATCACAAAATTTATTACTAAATTTAGTGTGCAACATTTTAATATTATAAAATTCAGTGTGCTATATGTTTGAATAACGCAGTGTCACTTTCACCCTACCACAAGTTACATGACTTTGAGTTAACAAAGACTTCTAAAAAAAAAACTATTTCCAAAGGGTATTTTTTGAAAGCCATTTTCAAAAGTATGTTTTCCAAAAACACACTCTGAGAGCACTTTGAAGAATTACTTTTGGAAAGCATCTTCAGAAAAAGTTTCAAAAAATTTGGTGTGCTTTAGTTAGCCTTGAGCTTATCATACTCTGTTCCATTAACATAACTCTTTTTCTCCACTTTGGTACCATGCCTTCTATTTAGATAAGAGTTTTGGAAAAATTTAGCGAAGAGGATAAAATAGCTGAAGTATATAAGCAGGCCAAGCATCAGATTGATACGTGAAATGTGACAATCGTACTTGCCATTTTGCAATATCTGGAAAGCTCTAATATTTATAATGCAACCTAATACCATTTGCATGAGTTGAAGCGTAGTAATCAACATGGCAATATTCTTTGGTGGTCTGTAGCGCATCGCTTTAAGAGCATAGTACGAGTACATTATAGAGTGAACAAAGTAGTTCATTACAACGTACCACCTGGCAGTTGACGCGTATTCTGTATACGAGAACCATGCATACAGAAGAACTGTTATATGATGGTACCAATGTAAAAATATCAAGCGTTGTTTTCGTAGCACAATAAAGATTGTATCACCAAGTTCTGGAAGCTTCGACAGGACGAACATCCACGTCCAAAATCCGGACACGCAGTCAGCTTTGATGTAGCTACAAGAGAATGATATTGTTAGCACGAATGTTTTGCACTGATTTGTAAAGTAGAAACAAAAAGATAGAATTACCTGGGCACACAAATACTATATTGGAATCCATAATTTCTTAGCACATAGATTAACTCTGGTGCTGTTCTAGTGAATCCAATAATGGAGAACATAGCAAGCATCGTATTCCATATAGTAAGTAAACCTCTTAGCTCAAATTTTGGTCTGTTTGACATGTAATGTTGTCCACCAAAAATCAAAATCATGTAAATGCCGCAATAATAGAAACCATTCGTCCAATTCTTTCTCATCCATAATTGAGTCTCTGCAGGACTGAAAGTCTCTTCAAAATTGAAGACGTATGAATAATTTGGTAAAGTGACCTCCATGTAATCCACTTTATTCATCTTGGACTATTTTGTTCCTGTGTCCAAGTAACAGTTGAAAGCACCACTTCTTCACCAGTCTTTTATTTACTGAAAACAGAAAAGATAGCATTATTAAAAAATGTTCACGAATAAGTGATTTGGGATTGTAATTCATTCTCTGTCATAAAATGGAATTTCATGATATCCTTGAATTTTGAAAAATATTATGAAATCGCCATGCTAACAATCATTGAATACTTCGCATTTCGTTTGCACAATTCTTTTGTGCATCATCCGCAAATACCGTTGCGTAAGAATATATTGTTATTTTATTGTTGGTTTCATTTAACCAAATCAAAGAGATGTTACATAAGTTATGTAGGTTGATATAAAATATGAAAATAATTTTGTTACATCATGACCCCCAGATTTCTTTAGATTCTTGTTAGGATTTCTTTTATATTCCTCAAAGTTTTTATAATAGATTCCTAGTATGCTGGAATTCTTTCAAGATTCCTTCCTAACACCTGCTCATAATTATCATGGACAGAACATATTAATCCAGCGCATATGTTGCGCTCGAATGTGTCACTGACTATAAACAAAATAAACCACGTGTACGTTAAGCAATATCCGATTTTGTGACATACTTTCTCTCGTTCCAAGAATGATTATTGTTAATTGCGCAAAATTCAATTGCAGCATTTTGTTTTTCGGTAACGCATAATTATAGTTTCGTATCAGTAATTATTAACTGAATGTAAATTGACTTTTTACTGAGCCATCTAACAAGTCATTGAATGCATTCAATGCAAACCAAATCAAATACGACATAAAGTAATAATCGACTAATCATACATTAATTTGAATATAATTGTAGTGTTTTTTGGCGTACCCCGTAGTTACAGTTACGTTCGTAGTTACAGTTACGTTCAGATAAAACGAAAGTCACGATTCATAATTACTTTTAATTATTTTACTACGTGTTTCATGTCATTCACTCTCCTACACTGATGACCGACTTTTCCTAATCACTCTCTACCTCCTTTCTCTTTTTCACTCAGCTTATCCTCGTCAAATATTCAAGCATTTATTCGTTTTCGTCAAACGCATCGCGTTTATTTTCGTCTTCGGCAAAAAAGAATCTAAACGTCCGGTCGATCGGACGTTCTAATACGAAAAATAAAAATGCAATATAACGTGATCGTACGCAAAGGTCACGTAAGAAGAAAGGTCACGTCCATGCAATTACATCGTGATGTTGGCGCGAACCTTGTCTGAAATGCGGAAATAAATGCGAATTATTAGTACGTCATCAGAGAGATTGAAGGATTCAGAGAGATTGATAAACAAAAATTTGTTTACGTACGATGCAAAACCAGTTTCCTCGTAAAAAACAATTTATCATCGCACGATTGGTCGATATGTCGTCGGCAGATCATTACACGATCGGATGATGACTGTACTTTTTATCGGGCGTTGTTAATGAAGTATTAATCATTCATTGACAAACTAATTTGTCTCATAATTACTGTCACTTCATTATGTGCGGCAATTCGGAGACGCGGATTATTTAAATAGTAGACGTTTGACAGATGAGTACGTTAATAGCAAAAAGCGCGGGTCATTCAAACGAATAGAAAAGTCGTGGAGGGTAGCTATGATAAATGATAAACTTATATAAATGATTCTAAATAAATTATCATAAATTATAATTATCATGAAAATTACGAAAATTAAATTTAAACTAAAAGGCTATATCTGTTGTTAACATTCGTATCCTTATCACCTGTTCAACAGTATTGTTATCGGAAAATATTTTCAATTATTTTGTACGGTAGGTCGCGAATACTTATACTAAAAGTAACATAAAATATGTAGTGCGCCGAGTGTCTTGCATATTAAGTGATTATTATTGTATAACAAGTCTTACATAATTTGACGATAAACTATTGCAAAATGATCGTAATCGCAATTGTGGCACCACATTTTCTGTCATGGCAATCAACGTATTGAGATCGTTCAAACCGTATCTTGAAATTTTGTAAGAACAACGAGCAAAAAGAAGAAAGTTATGAAAAATAAGAGGTCAAAATTAGAATTAAGTCGAATAATTAACTTAATTCCTGTTGTATATATATTTACAGTACATTCACACGCTTTTAAAAGTGAAGTTATAATTAAATAGGTTAAATAACATTTCAATTGTAAATCTATGCAAATATTGTAAATTCACATGCGTCGCCGACTACCTACGCCCATTCTTCCTCGAAAGAAGGGCTTCTCAGTTTAATAAAAGAAAAATTACCGTCGTAAAAATTTGGATGAATAAATATGAACACTCACTAAATTATTATTTAATTAAAAATAATTCTAGCAAGTTTTACTATTATACAAAAAACTTATCTAGCAGAGCTTTATTCAAATACATGTGCTAAAGAAGTTGACTCGAGATATCAAATTTACGGTCACTGCCATCGAGATATTATTAATCCCGCATTAAGTAACCACGTTACACATACGATTCTCCATACGAGACTACGAAATTTCATAACAATCGATGATTGATTCTTATTACCTTATCTCTCCATATCTCGCGCAAGAGATACTATAATCGATCACGCCATTTCAAGAATTTTTTCTTGCATCATCTTCGTTGCGAGCATTATGCTTAATTCATATTTTATGTTCTGTGATGTTATTATGTTACTAATAATATTAATGAGATTAATAATAATCCCTATCCCTAGATTTTTGGAGGTTCCTAGACATCCAGGTATCTCTGGATTCCTACATATCTCCAGATGTCTCGACCCCTATAAATTACAACCGCATATCAATTTATCTAGTTATATCATGAACTCGGTACGTGGTCAATGGCAAACGACCTCATACTTAACCACTGGCACGCTACATATAATTATCGAATTTCTATTTAAAGATCGCTGAAAGTATTTCAGATGGAAAGTGGGAAGAAATTTCTATTGTTGTACAACAATTTATATCGCTATCATAATTAAATAAATTCTTTATTTAAGATACGGATCGCGATAACTTTTTCGTGCGTGGCAGATATTAACTTTCCACGGACTTTACCCTTGCCAGAAAATCGTAATTATCACCGCATCTACACAAAAATGAAGATCGATCTGTTGAATATTCGATAAACGATTCTTTGACTCGGTGCGTTATATTTTCTCCGTGATAACCGAAAAGAAACTGTGTGATTCTAGTAACACGAGGTGGATGTCACAACGCTTTAAAAAATATTAAAAACTAAGGGTATCGGTTTGATAACCTTTGTATTTGCGAAAACTATTTTCTTGTCATGGATATGATCTCGAGTATCATTTAACGTTTGAACCTAACATTTCTCTACTTTTCTATTTTCAAAACTTTATACAAGTGCAATGAATTGCGTTGTAAATACGATAGTGCGTTGCACTGTTAATTCATAACGGTGCAATACATTGTGTAATCAATTCATTAAACTTTGACGCGTTGTGCTGTCTATGCGTTGTAAATTGCACCGAACTGTCGATACGTTGTAATTCATTGCGCTGTCAATGCGTCGTTATTCGGTACGTTGAACTGTCGATGCGTTGTAATTCGGTTGTGCTGTCAGCGCGTCGTAATTTGAGGAGCTGCGCTGTCTATGCGTTGTAATTAGGTGCGCTGCGCTGTCGATGCATTGCGTTGTGAATTCATAGCAATTCTATGCGTAGCACTGTCGATGCGTTGTAATTCAGTCGTTGCACTGTCGATGCGTTGTGTTGTCTATGCATAGCAATTCGGTGCGCTGCGCTGTCGATACATTGCGTTATGATTTCATAGCAATTCGATGCGTAGCACTGTCGATGCGTTGTGTTGTCTATGCATAGCAATTCGGTGCGCTGCGCTGTTTATACATTGTAATTCGGTGGGTTGCGCTGTCAATGCGTTATATTGCCTATGCATTGCAATTCGGTGCGATGCGCTGTCTATAGATTGTGATTCAATGGGTTGCGCTGTCGATGTGTTGTAATTACGCGAGTTGCGCTGTCAGTGCGTTATACTGTAAATGCGTCATAATTCTATATGTTGCGCTGTAAATGCGCTGTAACTCAATGTGTTGCGCTGTCCTTGCGCCACGTTGCGTTCATGGCTTCAATTCGATGTGCTGTCGGTACATCGTAATTCGATGTTATAATTCAACTCGTTGCACTGTTAATGCGTCACGCTGTGAATTCGTAACAAGAGTTGCGTTGTCATTGTGCCATAATTTGATACGTCGAGCTTCACAGCAATTCGATGTGTTGCGTTGTCAACGCGTAATTAAGTGGATTATGTAAATGTAACTTATCTGCAAAGGGTTGTTAATTGATCGCATGACAGCGTTAACTGTTGACGACGCAACACATGTCATCCAACATATTGCTAAACATGTGGAACTTGAACTTGTCACGTTATAACGTATAGCGATACAACATGTAGGGTTTAAACGCGTGACCGTGCATCATGTAATCGTACTGTGTCAATATACCCGTCGAGTATTCAACAAAGAATCAGCGGTCGTATTTATCAGCCGTCAAACAACGATACAAACACGTGATTTAGTAACGATCTTCAGATATATATATAAATGTTCGTAAAAAAGACGATTTGAAGATAACTCCGTGACAGTATAATTATATGAGAATGAAATTAAAAGTAAATATTAAATGAAGTTCAAGCATGATAAGTGCAAAGTGCATTTCGTAAAAGACGTTCGTGAAATTTCGTGTAACAAAAAGAGAAAAGAGATATTGCTCGGACGAGTGTACTTCATTAATATTACGGTATAGGAATCGATAATAAAGTATTCTGCATAAGCCAGAAGTTGGATCGTATGTTTCTTTGATTAACAGTTTAATGAACCCGTAATCGCACGTACCGGAGACTATCATGTATCTGAGTTATTACTTTGGTAGTAACCGATATGTTTAATTTTAATAATAATCTTGAAAAAAAAAAACGAGTCGAATCGACAAAACAGTGGAGCATCGCCCAATCTATAATTAGCATCACATATTCTGGTTATTTGCACTCAAGTCAGCTTCATTTTTCTGTGTCGCCTAACTCGACATTTACATTTTATTTTTTCTATTTCTTTGACACAAATACACCTGGATTTTTTTCGATTCTAATAGTATCCCATAAGATGTTTAATACATTAATTGCTATCGGAAGATTTCGCTCGCTCTTTAGCAAGTTTAATATGTTTTCGCGTCCTCGCGCGAAATACGGATTTAAGTCATTTCCAGTTATTTTACATAAATTTGATTAATCTACATACAAGTTTGACCAGTTCATTTCTTCTTAACCGCTCTTGCTACGCGAGAATATTATCAAGAATAGTATCCAATTTTATCAACATTTTTCAGCGAGTTAATTGAACTTTCGATTCGGTTCAAAAATGTCAGTGTCCGACAAAACTTCCCTTTTCTGACATGAAAACGGTCCACAGGAAAAGGATAACAAAAACAGTATTATTTCTCACACTTTGGATGAAAAATCACGTTCAGTCGTAAGCTTCAGACGTAAAAACATTGTACTGTTTTATCCCATTTTTTTCATGACGTCACGCGTCAACATCATCCCATAACCGCATATCTTTTATGTGCCAAGGTTTATAACAAATAAATATAACATTTGGATGGTAATGAATTTTACAATTTTCTACACAATTCAACCTTTGAACATTCGTTTCCCAAAGGTTAAACAAGGAATTTGCATGTCAGTACACAGCATATCCGGTTGAGGTGTATAAATATTACTGTTTCTTCACATAGGCAGTTTATTGCGCATTTCGAGATGAATTTAATCTTTCAAAAGTGATAATTAAAAGGAAAAAAATTGCCTTATTTAAGATAATAACGATTCAATGTATCAGTGATGGCAAAAGAATACATAGTGATCAATTTTTTTTTAGTCATTCAATTTGCAAATTAATTTATTAATGCTGTACCGAGAAAGAAAAAATGAATAGTTGGTTTTCTAAACATTTCCATGCTGAATACTTATTTCAGTATATTAGGATACGCTGATTACGTATACGCATATACGTCATGAGAGGAGCTATAGGTCAATATTAAACAATCATCCTTCTACGAAGAACATGAAAGGAAAATAAAACATTAGAATTCAAAAGCCGTAGAAAAACATTTCATAAATCATATGTATCATAAAACCGATCATAAATAATAAGCCGATAATACAAATTTTTGTTGGTGTAATTAATAATAAAAAAGAGCCTTAAAATACCTTCTAATGAATAAGTAGCAAAGTCCGTAAGCCTCAATGAATATTTACATTTAATAGACATAACTATAACGTCTAAATATCCGCAGATCGGTAAATGTCAATGGAGATAAGTTGAAAAGAATTATAAACGTGATTTTATTTTGGGTATTGGAAGTCGTGTGAATCGCGTTTGAAAAACGATTAAGTAACGCGATAATTACACACGCGTTGGTACAACTTTATCTTCGTTAATTTAAATAATATATTGGCTGCGATGACATATATTGTCGCGAGAGTATCGCGAGTAGAAATTTGGAAGCAAAAACTTTCAACTCGATAACAAAAAAACAACGAAATACGCTTGGACGCGCGTGACCTGTCCGATAAACTTTGTTGCTTACCACAAGGTGAAAATGCCGGCAGTAATGTGGGTTTTTGAATAATTCTCGAATATTCGAGCGACGGGGGTATCAGAAAATGATCGAATTATTATTGCGAACGTACATCTTGTTAGTGAAAGAATATGCCGTAAGGATTTCGCGGTTTGTTGACTACCTAACGGCTCGATGCATTCCCGCACAATATTTTATTTTTTCTTACGAGTAGATAAATTAATTTTTAAATATTCTGTGAACGAACAAAATTTAAATTAAATCGTTCAATTGACGATGGCGCGTTCCCTTGTTAATATTACTGACACCTAGCCGAAGCATATGGCGATTCGTTAGAATTTCCGGCTGCTACCAGAAATCGATGCGCGCGCAGGAACAGCTCATCATTTGACGGAGTAACGGATGAGGAGCTCTTATTTAGGTAGATGACCAAAGAAAACAAGATGAGGTATGAACCGTCTATTGTGAATGCAATTTAAACTCGCTTATTTCAGTCTATCGTCACCTTCTTTGCAGACAAGATTATTTCTTCCGATTAAATTCAACCCGAGTTTAAAAAAACGACTGCGTTTCAAGTTCTCTGATGTTCGATAAAATAACGAAACGAATTAATAGAAAGGTAAAAAATGTATGAAAATTCCAAGTCGTATGATATGTTAATTTCGGGAAAAAAACATTAAATACGAATTAGAAAACATTATTCGGATCTTATGTTGTACACATAAAAAGTTTCAAATTTGAAATTCAATGGATCGTGATTATACATAATATGCTTCTATGTGTATACAAAGTGTATTAATTTGCATTTTTCTTTCAGATTATTTCGTAACGCGTTTCATGGAAAGTTCAACAATCTGAAATATGTTACATATAACTTTTACCGAATACTTTCTAAGGTATTGTGTTTACAAAACTGATGGCAAAAAATTAGCAGGAACCGGAAGTATTGATGGAGGTCTAGTTCGCGCCTGAAGTGACACGTGTAAAACATAACCTCTTGAAAAGACACGGAGGGTCTGCAACCGGAACAGTGACTCAAAAGTCGACCACCATCGGTACTTCCTGTTATGATCGGTTTTTCTAATGAATATTTATGCACATGATCTAATTAATCAGAAATACTTTTTTATAGATTACTCATATTAACGATAATATATTTTTTGTAAGATGTACTAGAGACTATGTGAGTACAATACGTGTCGTAAAAGTTTCGTGTAAACAAACCTCTAGTGCTTTTAATATTTAAAAGAATAACAAGACCAGCATAAATGAGTGCAACGCCGTATACGTGTATGACTATGTCTATATTCTCTTTTACGTCAAATGTATAAAATTGAAACGTCATAAATAGATAATACGACTAGAAAACCGGTTACAGTTATAAAATAACAAAAAGTAAGTTAATTAACTCATACATTAAAGCACACATTAAGTAACCTTGTTTTAATGTGCATACATGTTATGCACATTAATACTTTGCACATTAATACATTTAATACTTTGTAAAGACAAAGTATTAAACTTGTAAAAAAATGGCAAATAAATTTTTTTTTAGATAAAACAAAAATTGGTTTCAATTTCCTTGCGACTCTTCAGTCTACATAGCAGTTAACTGAAAGGTCAAGTTGAAGGAACGTAAATTCTAATTATATATCTCGATTTCACCAGTTCACATAACTATTTTTATTCTAATTAAATTGAGGTATTTTAAAGTTTTTTATACGATCTGTTTTCTAACGCTATCTTTACGATCAATATCGTGGATAGAACCCGATAAACACGATCGTTAAGTTTAACATTCAATGTACGCTATGAATAATGTACGTATGTATAATTATTATAGATTTGTAATGTATCATTTACATTGGGTTACAGTTCAATACTTTAATTAAGTATGCATAAGAAATTTGACAGTGTGTAATTTACGACATTGATTGAAGAATTCTACACGAACTTGCAAACTTCGTTAAGAAACTGTTATATAAACAAAATTATGTTAAGATAATATTACAATAATTTTATATTGAAAAAATATTAAAAATTGTATTAAAAAAATAGTAAAAACTATATTAAAAAAATAGTAAAAACTATATTAAAAAAATATTAAAAATTATATCAAAAAAATATTAAAAATTATATTAAAAAAATACTAAAAATAATATTATATTAAGAATTACTAACGCTTAAATGGCTATAGATAAAAGTATTAAGAGATTAGTGAATTAAGGAAAATGACTAATGAAAATTCACGCGTGCTATAAAGAAAACAATTTCTAAAGCATTTTAATTAAAACAGTTAGAAGACAATGGGTAATAGTAAGTTCAATTGAACTATCTTTTGACACACAGTATAAATACTTATAAATGAATTGACTCGAGGTAAAAATTTCAAATTTTACACTATTGTAAAGGTCACGTACTGCGAACTTTTGATTCATGAATTTAAATAGAATTTTGAGAACATACAAAATGATTCACGGTAAAAATGATAGAATAATCTAATTGTAGTTTAACTGCATTTCAAGTGAATAAAAATTAACCTTAAAGTCGGAGGACAATATTTCGCGTGGACTTCACATATAAGAAATGTGACCATAAAAATTTAATTTATTTATTAACAAAATTTCCTCGTAAAAAATTTTTAACTAACTTTGTTAATGCAGATTTATAGTACTTAACGGGACATCAAACTTCTATTACAAACATTTTTCTGTATGTGTTATGCTTTAAGAATTAATCGCAGAAATGTGTAATTTTAACCTTAGCGTTTTCACACCCTTAAAGGGCGACTGAGCCCGAACGAATGCCGCTGTTATAGCGTCAAATTACTTTATGAATTCATAAAGTATTCAAATCGGTGTCTGTTGTCAATTAATAATTAAAATATTCCTATTGAGAGACATATTTCGTTCGAAACTATATTACCTTCGCTCTGGCATATAGCAACGATGATATGCAATTATATTTTCAAGAAATCATCTAGGTATCACGCACGTGATCGCATGGTGAACCGTAGCATTAAACGAAGACTGATAATTAACTTCACGTTCGTTTTTAAGATTTTCACAGTCGCTGAACACTAAACTTATTAATTCGCTAGAATGAATAAATCACGGTTTCGTAGAATTTATTCGTAATACTCTGTAGAGAACATTAAACCTCTTATATCGATGTAATTCAATGTGTAAAAAGATGGTGAAATAAATTTTAAAGAAATTATTATCTGCTCAGGTGACCGGTGACTATAAAAATTGGATAGATCCTTAAATTTAGCCTAGACTAAATGCGGCAGTGAACACGTGCGAAAATAAACACAAACGCAATTATAAGAAAATGTGTAAGATAAAAAGAAATCGTGAGATAAGATAAAATATTTAATAAAACGATTACAGTTATTGTCAGAAATTTTAATATGGTATAAGTAGAAATCGTCGCGTACAAAATAACGAATACTTTCAATGAAAGTTGAAATCAGAAAATTATGTGAAAATCACCTGACAAATGCTAAACTATATAATACCGGACAGGTATTAACTTTCACGAACGATTTCGATTCGCCAAATCGAAAATCAAGAATGAAAGTTACCTATACGATCGAAAACGAAGTAATGACATAAAATTCACAATAATGCACGGCGTTATAGGATAAAGAGAAAAAATATCATATAAACGATAAAAATTAAGGATACATACCTTAAAGTGGGCCGAGTTAGCAATGGTTTGAGAGCGAGTTGATGGGGGAAGAGGACAGAAGTTGGATCACAGAGGATCGTTGATACAATTTGTTTGTGCACACGGAAAGATAAAGACTCGCACTTATAAGTGGACAGTCCTGACTTAAGTGGGCATATTCGTTGAATATAATAAAACAAGGTTGACTTTCAGTCCTAGTAGTTTTCACACACGCCGCCGGCCCAGCAAGATGCAAATGGTAGAACACCGCAAGGCGCCATCTTTAGTCGAATAGTGCGCAAACTATAGCGGCTGCCAAAAGTAGAGACAATATAATGGTTCAAGAAGTTCCTAAATAAATAAACTCGGCACGAATGTAAAAATATATAGATAGAGCATGAAGATCCCTGATTGGTCTAGTCTTTATTAATTTAACCAATCTAATGCAAAGGAAACCGCACGAAATTTTAAATAAACCCTAGAATATTATTATAATACATAAATTGTGAGCTTATTACGTGAATATTCAAAACTGATTGACGTATACATGGATAACTAACTTATATTTAAAAAGACAAACATAATTTAGCTTTATTAGCATTAACATGGATTATGTCTAATTTACAAAAATCAATAAATAATAAAACTGTACCGAATAAATACTTACATACGAAAGCAAGCTGGTTCATTTTGTAATAAAAAATGAACAATAATTTGTTCGAGAATAATTAGTTTAAAAATGTTGAAGGTATTAAGAGGCATTAATATTACATGTTTTTCAAAATCGATATTTGCGCGCGTTTTTTCAGGACACAGTACTATTGGCGCCATCTGAAGACGAATTGCAGTATTAACCAAATGAAAAATTACGTTTTTTCCTTAAAAATAACGATCTTTGCGCTCCTTTAGGGATATTACAAAGATCTCTAATTGTAAAGGAATTAAAATAATACTGTTATAATTCCTCCATAGTATTAGGAACAAAATTAATACAAATTTCTTTTTTGTATATCAAAGCGTTTAGCCATCTAGCGGTGGAAGGCGAAAACTAAAATTCAATTTGAAATTGATGGTGGGGAATTTCTTTTTGGCCGTCATTTTCCCTAGGAAAGGTTGATTTACATTTGAATGCACATGTAAACAAAATTTTATTTCTTTTCAGAAATAAGTAGATAACAAAATATTTATTATTTTATTTATACCGATAAAAATAGATACTATTATTAATTCGTATTCAGAGAATTTTTATTGATATGTAATATATATTATGAATAAAATCTGATATGTTTATATATTAACCTAACATTGTGTATATGTATCACGTGGTTCTTAACCTCATGTGTAATTTAAAAGATGTAATAACAACTCGAATTTGATAAACAATTTGTTTAACTTTTTATATGATAATATACCTCTGTTTTATGCATAAGAATTTGTTTATTTAGTTCTTAATTAAAAGACACAATGAAGCGTTTGACTGAAGAACAAACAAAGCTTGTCTTGGAAAAATTAACAAAATAGTAAGTAATGAGTAACTGCTACTTTTCAGTATGATTAGAACTGACCAAATATATAACATTTAATTTTTAGTATTGGGGGAAATGTGAAATTGTTGATTGACCGTCCAGATGGAATTTATTGTTTTCGCTTAAGAAAAGACAGGGTATATTATGTTTCTGAGAAGATTCTGCCATTGGCAAGTATGGTAAATCCAGATCATCTAATAAGCTTTGGAACATGTTTTGGAAAATTTACAAAATCAGGAAAATTCAGATTGCATATTACGGCATTGTATCATCTAGCACCATATGCACAAGTACTTTAACTTTTTATTATGCTTCTTTTAATAAGTTGTACATAAACCTAATGTCTGTGGATTTTCCTTCCTAGTTTAAAATATGGCTGAAGCCATCTGCTGAACAGCAGTTTCTATATGGGCATCATGTTTCTAAAGGTGGCTTAAGTAGAATTACAGAAAATACACCTCAGTATCAAGGAGTAGTTATATTTTCTACAAACAACATACCACTGGTAATTAACGAATTCAATTGGAATATAAGTTTCCCATAATTACCAATAATTATTATTTTAGGGTTTTGGTGTCACAGCAAAAAGTACAATGGATTGTAAATATGCAGATCCAACAGCAACAGTGTGTTTTCATCAAGCTGACATAGGAGAATATATTCGGTCAGAAGACTCCTTAATTTAATAAACTTATGAAGACACCTTTAATGTATTTTAACAAAAAATATCATTAATAAATTATTATTACTTTGATAGATATATATTGAAGTTTCTTATTATACAGAAGATTTTATAAATTTACAAATTTGAATAATGAATAAAGTTATGTTGTTATTTTTTATTTTACAACCATCGTACAATATGATAATTCTTTTTTCCAACCCTAAGAAGTGATATATTGTTACTTAATATATGTACACCGTGTACAATGATTTCTTCGGTATTTGTAATTTTTTGATAATTAATATAAAAACCACCAGCTTCTATAATTCTCCTTGCATCATTATTGGTTTTAAAGCAGTTAGCTTTCATAGCTAACTCATAAACACTGAGACCTGGTTCAGAGAGAAGCTCTACCACAGTAGCACCTTCCAGTGTCTGAACTAAATCATTTGCATTCATTCTTTGCAATGATTCAATTGAATTATCATAAAGAACAGCACTTGCTCTTTTTGCTGCCACTAGTCCTTCTTCTACGATAAGGCAGTTACACTTAACAGTAGTTCTTCTATTTATAAATTACTGAATCTACCTATAAATAATTGTTTACTTACCTCCATGTACTAATAATGTAACTTTCTCTGCAAGAAGTTTTTGTGCTGTTCTATGTCCTGGCTGCTTAAAATGTTCCTGTACAATTTCTTTAATATCCTTTGTAGGCAAAAATGTCAAAAAATAAAGGAATTTTTCTACATCAGCATCTGTAGTTCTAATAAAATATTGATACAACTGAAAACTGGAAGATTTTGATGGAGAAAGCCAAACAACATTGCCAGTTGATTTTCCTAACTTCTCACCACCTTCAGCTGTGATTAGAGGTAGTGTCATTCCATAAACTTGTTTTTTAGTGTACCTGGTTACTAGATCATATCCAGATACTATGTTACCCATTTGATCTTGACCCCCAATTTGAAAATTACAATTATATGTGCGATGTAAATGTAGCCAATCATATGCTTGAAAAATTGGATAAGTAAATTCTGTGAAGCTCATTCCACTTTCAGATTGTAATCTGGATTGTACAGAAGCACGGCCTAGCATTGTACCCATTCTAAAATATTTCCCAACTTCCTTAATGAAAGAGAGAATATTTTGACTTTTGTACCATTCTATGTTGTTAAGTATTCTTATAGGAATCAATTTCTTTCGACCCTTATTAAAATACTGTTCATGATTTCTAATAATATTTATAATATCCCTTTTAATACCCTCTATATTTTGCTCAAGTACAACTTGTTCTATTTCAACACGTTCAGATTTTCTGTAGCTTGGATCTCCAATTAAACCTGTTGCTCCTCCTAATAAAATGATTACTTCATGTTTGCAGCGTTGCCAATGTAAAAGATTAATAAGAATTAACAAATTTCCTACATGCAAACTCTCTGCGGTTGGATCAAATCCAGCATAAATGCATTGTGGTGAACTCTTCATTAACTGCTTTATTTGAGATCTACAAATTTATTTTGTGTCAAATAGTCAATTTAATGTACAATGACTACTGATAAAGAATATGTTTGACATGTTCCTGACACTGTTCAAGTATAAACAGTAATACTTACTCATAAATATCAGGAAAAATATCTGCATATATTTGTCTATGTTCAATGTCTAGTATATGTTTTGTATTATGATAACACCGGTTGTTGAAAAACTTACTAAACAAACGTAACCTCAACAAGTTATTCATTTTTAATTACTGTTCTATTTATTTAGACAGGATATAAATAAATTGTAATATTATTCATCCAACCAATATTGGAGCATTTACTTTTAGTGCTATTTTATGTAAATCTTTTCTAATTGATGAAATGTTTACTCTAAAGAACATAACCTTAAATTAAGGTAACCTTAAATTAATCTTTTGTTATGAGTCGATAGATGGCTACACTGAGAATATGATTTTTAAGTAAGATAAAACAGATTTCGGGGAACTTCGACACAATCCCTATATCATCGACGAGATACAGTATAATGTGCGAACTGTTCCGAACACATAATCTGCATTTTCGGACCCACGAAGTATATTGAAGACAACGTAAAATCAATATTAATAAATATATAGCATATTAATCAATAAAATAAATATTAATTTAATTTTTTTACGAAAATGAAACGACTGGCGCCATCTCTCCGGCGAACAGGGTGAACTACACAGTTTTGAAACTGTAGTTTCATTAATTCCCACACACTGCCGCTAGACGGCGATACGTGACGGTTTTCTCGCAGTTTCACCCAGATTTCTTATTATACGTTTATTAAATTAGATTTTTAATTTTTTTTACTTCGGGTATTATTAATATATATACAAGTATTTACTTTGATTAAAAATAGTTAAATTGACATTATGAGTGAAAAGCATATTTCAAGAATATATGTTCATAAAGCAATCGATAATATAGGGAACATACTTGATTCGAATAGATGTCAATAGATGATAGTACCTAACAATAGGTAACAGTAAATTACAGTAGATAATTAGAGATCATCGAGACATGCATTAGTAAATATATGTCTAAAAATTTAGTGATATCTGACATTCTCTGAGTTTGTCAATATTATCCCCAACAATTATCGTTACTTAGAAAAATTGCCGAAATCAAGAGGTCTTTCTCATCACGGTTTCAGTAGCAGAGTAAATATCCTCTTTTTGTTGATTTTATAGTTACTGTCTTGCGAGAGAAAAGAAGCCGGCCTCCTAGATTGCTCAAGTCGTAAAATAGGGCATACCTTTAGCAAAAAGCCATTACATAATGCACTAGTGAAAGAAATAAAATTATAATTGCAAGTTGAATCGGTTTCTTGATGTTTCAGGAAGAGTTTAATAGAAGAATGTTGAAACTACAGCAATCAGTTGGATACGAGAGAATGTTTCTGTTCAGTCAATTAATTGTATCAAAGATTCAATTGATGGGCGACTGAAGAATTATTTTTCAATCAAATTTGATTAGGATAATTAAGTATAACCTTTCAAAAGGTAAAAGAATAACTATTATATTGAAAGTTCCAAGTTGTCAAATTCGCAAGTTTAGGTTAAATTTTTTTCAGATTTATAATTTTAAGAGAATGTAAGGAAAGATTCTCTTAAAATTACAGACAGATGATAGGATACAGCTCCTCGGCCAATTAAAGTTACTTTAAAGGAAAATAAGCCTAATTCCAGAGGGAAGAGAAGAACGCATCGTAGCATGACAAAAATGGCGGGAAACTGCGCGTCCATATTAAGGCAATCACCATGTGTTTTTTATACTCATTCCTGTATTATTAGAAACACGTATTCCTGGCGTAAAAAGTTGTTGCACGTTCGCTGTTAAACGAATCTCACTAACAAGCTATTGCGAAATGTACGAAACAAATTTATTTTACGTTTCAAATAATTATAGAGAGAGGCTTAAATGTGGTCCTTATTGGTTTTAATAAAACATACATTTTTTTGCAGTTATGCTATTTTAAAATGGACGCAAAAGGCACTATGTCCATAATTAATTAGCGTGATCATAAATTTTTCTCTGTATGAGCGGCAAATATACGAAAATAAATGGAGACTGCCAGGTAGCTGAAGGCCGCTTAAAACGATTATATTAGAAATGAAAGTTTAATTATTTGATCAATGAGATCATCAGATGACCTTCTATTACATGATTGCATGATTTGACGAAAATGTTTGACTAACATTCGAGGGCTCGTGAAACTGTGTAAATGTCTTAGGATTTAGGAGATGAGTAATTTGATATAAAATTATTTGAGTAATTTGATATAAAAAATATTAGAATTACATAAAATTAAGATACTAGTGAAAGCAACGTTGCTTTATAATACAAACTGTTACTCTGCAACTTTTGAACAAGATTAGGCTCTTTTATTTATTTTACTAAAGAGATTGTTTCATCAATGTCAGAATCGTTTTGACGGGGATATCTGAAAGGTAACTACAATAATACGAGGATCACAATTTTTGAAGCCTTTTGACCTAAATCCTTTGAATTTTTTCGTTCCGAGTCACTCGAATGTTTCGAAGGACGCCTAAATGATTGACGTATAATTACAAAATAGAAGATCGTTACTGGATGTCGAATTTCAGTTTCCGAAGAGTATTAGTACACCGTATTATGTCACGATTACATAAAAGTGTCCTGCGTCGTTTATCTATTGAAAAGTACTTCTCGTTCTTCAGTTTTTTTTTGCCCCGTGGAATGCAATTTTACCAAGTTTAGTTCTATTTAATTGAACTTAATTATCCGTATCTTAGCTGGCATAATAGAGTCCTCAAGTAGTGAGCATAAATGGAAATATATTTTTTGCAAGTACTACTTTATTGTCTTATTGTCTCAGGTGCTAGACCCTTAATGCTCAACACGTGACACTATTTCCGGTTCTTAGGGAGTTCCACTGCTGATGTAATGGTTGCAGGTGTTGTTAAGCTGTCCAAGGAGGAAAAATTTATTTTAATACTAAAACAAACTGGTCAGAATGCATTGATTTTCATCAAGATTACTGTGTGTACTTTATTAAGTTTATTTTTCAACTTCATCTTTAATTTCAGATATGCAAGATATTTATTGGAAATCTAGAATATGGCCTCATAGATGTCTACATATAAGGGTGACAGATTGAAGAATGTGAGAAATCTAAGGATTTTATTGATGTCAGCAAAAATATGGTTTAATCGGCGAAGATTGACAGTAACTAAGGAGTATTTATTTTCATCGTTAGAGAGGTGTCTTTCACATGCGGGGATTGCTCTATCCATTAAAGGACAAATAGATCCTTGCGTACTGCTTCGAGCAACTGCAGATTGCGTGATCGTTGTAAGTCGAGGAGAGTGATTCTGGGTCGGGGAACGACATAATTAATTTTCACGCACATCCATAACTCCACAGGCTTCACTAGGATTATATATCACGAAATGCTTCAGAACAAAATGAGTCACACCATTTTACTCTTCATTTTGAAAATGCTACCTGATGAAAAACTCTCAAAGTAAAATTCAAAATTGCTTCTAATTGCCACTTTTTCTACTGAAGTGTACCATCGCCAGTGCAACCTACTTTGCACTGTCATGTATCAGAAATACCATATACGGCATCGCTATTTCTACTATGCTAGACAACGAATCGATGCAACAGACGACACCCGGCTGAATTTCGATTTGTTGAAAATTCCCTTTCTAACGCACTGTCGCTTTTTACTCTGTTTAGGATTCTACTCCATGTTCCCATGGCCGTTCCGCATTTCGATCGGACGAAAGAATCCGCGAACCTTTCTACCTCCGAGCGGTTCGTTCTTCTGGTGGGACGTCCGGCGTTGAGTGATACACACACACCTATACGCTCATACATGGTGTCCTAGATTTTATCAATAAAACTTTGTCAGATATTATACTCTACGTACAGCGGTCCTGGTACAGAGTAATTTTTTAAAGATATACTTTCTTTTAATGGAGAGACTTAAATTATTTATTGTGGTAGTAAAGATTGTATGCACAGTTTATTAAATATGTTATCAGTAGCATAATCTGACCCATGTTTTAACAGCTTGTTTATTACAGATGTGAAACAAAGATGGTAAAATGTGGAGCAGCCTATACGTTCAGATACAAACAAGTGAGATAGACAAAGATGGCAAAATGTGGAGCACCCTATACGTTTAGATACAAACGACACTTCTCCTTTTCCCATTCACCAGACTTACGAGGTTGGTTACGTGCTCCTTGGTGGCATCGCGACCCATCCTGAAGCCGCGATTAAATCGTCCACTCTTCCTTGTGATTCTCTGCTTCCAGCGGTTCTCATGCAACTATGAACACCATTAGCGATACCGTACATTAGAGTCTCATTAAACTATTTGGATCATTAAGTTTTTATAAATGTCTATTGTGCACCTTGATGGCACCAAAGAATTCGCTTTCAATCTTCTGTTCCCAACTTCTTTATTTTTAAATCAAATACCTTAAATTCTTGGACGTAGTCGAAATTCTCAAATCTTTTAACTTCTATATTGTTGAATTTAAAAATTCTTCAAATCTGCAAATTCAAAAATGCGTCAAGTTCCAAATTTTCAATTTTTTCAACATCCAAACTCCCAGAATCCCTCAAACCCATCTCCAAATTGTAGAAGCACCCCAAATTCCAAGATCCACAGCCAGTCAATATTAATTGCCGGAGAAAATGTAAGTTTGATGAGCATGAATCATGCAAGTGAACTTTCATCCCAACGTAAGTACATCCAGGAAACATCTCTCATTACCGGTTGCAAACAACTATTTTCTAAACCTTCAAAAGGTCAATAACCAAGGTTTTTAAGTTCAATGAAACTTGCAGGACAAATTTGCAGTCTGACAGAGTTAATGAAACCGAAACAGAAGCTGATGAAGAACGTCAGGATCCATGATTTGATAATCGCTTAGATTTGACGGCGAAAGAAGAATTGAAAAAAGAAAGTAGGTACGCGTACTCACGAAAAAATGATTTAGGTCAAATTCATTTTCGAGGTTCCCTTTCTCTGTTCGAGGACGAGACTTCCTCGCAGGAAGTGGAAGACTTACGGTTTCGTAAGGCTAAGATGCATGCGATACCCTTCTCTTTGCGAACCGACAGGACCGTTAGTGTCATTGAATCATGTATTTTACGCGTCATCGATCAACGCGATCACGATTTTCACCGTTTAACATCGACTTGCTAATGCAAACACGTTTTTGTTAAACTTCCTTGCACAATGATTTATCGAGTAATTAGCAGGTTTGCTTATTCCTTTCGATTTCGTGAGACTCGCGTTATATGGCCATGGACAGAGTAAGAATGCGTAGGAGCACTTTGGTATTGAACTTACAAATTTACTTTGGCGATTGATTTATTTGTACAAATTTATTTATTTATTTATTTATTGCATTAGTACGAGTCGTGGCAATATAACGCGATGTGATACAAGTAATATATACAAGTAATGTATGAAAGTATAATGCATCGTGCTGATATATGTTTTAGATACTATGAATGATGATACAGTGATGCTACACGTGACGATATATCATAATGCTGCACATGGCGATATAGCTCGCCGAAGTTACAATATATTACACTATAATACATGGAAATAATGGCGATATAGCAAACAGAAATAACAATGCGTGACAATACAATGCGTGAAAGTAACAGGGCGTGGCGATACAGCACGTACAAATAACAGTGCATAGAAATAATAATGCATGGCAATATAACGCGTGGATATAACAATACGTGACAATACGACGCGTGGAAATAACAGTACGTAGAAATAACAATGTATGACAATACAATGCGTTAAAATAGCAGCGTGTGGCTACACAGCACGTGGAAATAACAGTGCATAGAAACAATAATGCGTGGCAATATAACGCGTGAATATAACAATACGTGACAATACGACGCGTGGAAATAACAGTACGTAGAAATAACAATGTATGACAATACAATGCGTTAAAATAGCAGCGCGTGGCGATGCAGCACGTAGAAATAACAGTGCATGGAAATAGCAATACATGGCAATACAACGCATGGAAATGACAGTGCATAGAAATAACAATGTATGACACAATGCGTTAAAGTAACAGTGGGTGGCAATACAGCACGTAGAAACAGTGCGTGGAAATAATATATGACAATGCAACGCGTGGAAATGACAGTATTTGACAATGTAACGCACAGAAAAAGCGGTGAACGGCGATATAATGCACAGGAATATGTAGCTATACAATGTAATGTGATTCTAAAGTAATCTGATACTCACACATCGCCTAAGATTTCATTTAATAATAAAATTGACCGTTGCATCAAGAACTATAATTAACCTGATGCGCCCTGGTAATCCTATGATTAACCTAATCATAGGACTAGGTCCTGTGACCTAACCTAAGTCATCATTACAGTAGAACCTAACCTAATTCACTCTAATCATACTAGAATTTACCTTACTCTAACATACACCTACTCTGTTGACATTTCTGAATAATCTAATAATTTTATTATTCACGGGCAATAGTATTATCCACGTGAACATCACCAAAATCGTCTTCCCAGTTGACCATCCCAACAGAAAAGCAACGCGTTATGTAACTAGATACATAAATTGGTGTCCCTAGTCCGAGAAATCGATGCGAACAGGTATCGAATGTTTTAGAAAGTTATCAAATCCCTAACTTCCTTTGTCAAAAAGGATATCCTGGTCCTATAGAATCATCAGGATCCACGGAGGATCTCGTGTCCGGTGTTCACGGACGATTGCTCCTGTGGAGGATAGGGGGTATCTAGTCGAAGTTTATGGCACTAAACGAATAAGAAGGAAAGAAAAAGATTGCAAACGGTATCGGTGACAGTGGAGAAAGAGAGAAAGAGATTCGTCAGACGGTCTCATCAGCATAGGTGATGGGTCGAGATGCGAGTGGGGCCAGGGCTGGTATAAAAGGGGCACCGTGGCATCTGTGGAGCATCAGTCCTCTAATCCAAGGAACAGCAGCAACCATGAGGGCATTCATGGTGAGTCGAACTTTCGAGCTTCTCACTGACCCCTTTCTTCCTTGCGGGGGACCCTGCTTGTCCCCTGCGACCTCCCGCCATTTTTATCCTTTTTCTTCTTTCACTATTCTCCAGTGATTTGAGTGTCTATACGGAAATTTTTCATAGAATTTTAACAAATAGTGAATTTTTCTTCTGGGAGCTTTTAAAAGACTAGGGTTAATAATCATTATTATTCTAAAATAATGGTTTTGTAGGAAAATATTTTATTTTGGAACTGTGGATACTTTTCACTCAAAATTTATTCTACTGTTTTGAAATTATTATCTTATATTAAAATAGTAAATCTGTAGTTAATAGACTTGTGTAAGCCTACATTGTGCTCGGTGATGATTATAAGGTTATTGCTACATTTTTTCTAGTTTCCTTTCTCCATCTTGAAAAGCAATGTCACGATTTTGTACACTCTTCCTTTCTCACTTTCTTCAAGGGGTTTTAAAATATTTTATACTAATTAACTCGGCTTCTAAATTTCAAAACTCATTGCAAGTTCATCCGGGATTCATAAACACTACAAACATAAGGAAACAATTTTGAAATAGCCAGAAGTATAATTATTAATCCGCTTGCGTTTAACTTGGAATTGTATCGCGTATACTGAGACGACCGTCCACTGATTCAGGACAAAAAAGAAATTTCGAAAAGTCACACAGCAAATCGTCGGTAATTGTTCCTTCGAGAAAGTATCCGTGTGAGAAGATGACATAGAAAGAAAGAGAAAAGGAGAATTCGTGGGGAGGCGTCGAAAGGGAGAGGATACGGAGAAAGTAGGGAGAGTAGAGGGGTCGATGTCGACCCAGAACGCGACATAGATGCAATTGTATTCGATTCCGATTCTTCGATCAAGAATAGCAATTATGAACTTGCTAGAAAAACTTTCCAATCCCATGTAATTCCATTATTCCGTTCAGCACGAAACTCTTCCGCTTTCGTTTCTTACTGTGGGGCGATATAACGCGAGGTCACGCGGTTAAATACGAATAGTGATACAACGCGAAATTGTACAAACCGTAGTGATATAACGCGAGATCGTGGTGCTACCCGAAATTATACAACGTGCGGTAATATTTCGCGGGACTATGACGTAATACTGTAATACGATACACTGAAGACTATACAACGCAAAATTATACTGTGTGAGACTATAACAGGAGACTATACAAGAAGATGTACAAATTTATATATAAGAATGCAAATTTAGTCAGCATATGACTATATGACTGTATGACTGTATGACTGTATGACTACATGACTACATGACAACATGACTATATGACTATATGACTATATGACTATATGACTATATGACTACATGACTATATGACTACATGACTTTATGACTACATGACTTTATGACTACATGACTATATGACTATATGACTATATGACTTTATGACTACATGACTATATGACTATATGACTACATGACTACATGACTATATGACTGTATGACTGTATGACTGTATGACTGTATAACTGTATAACTGTATGACTATATGACTACATAACTATATGATTACATTGCTATATGAATATATGACTGTATGACTGTATTACTGTATAACTGTATGACTACATGACTACATAACTATATGATTACATTGCTATATGAATATATGACTATATGACTGTATGACTGTATTACTGTATAACTGTATAACTGTATAACTGTATTACTGTATTACTGTATCACTATATGACTATATGACTACATAACTATATGATTACATTGCTATATGACTGTATTACTGTATTACTGTATGACTATATAACTATATGACTATGTGACTATGTCACCATATTAACGACTGTGCGACTATACAACGCGAGACTACAACACGAAGCTATAAAACACGAGTCCATGTATCCATCCTTATTGCATTCCCAAATCTCAAAATTTCAAAATGCCCCATCTAATATTAGTTACCGCCTAGCAAAGAAAAGCCTCAGACCAAAAGCTCAGCCACCCTAATCACCTACCCTTCCACTAATCGTTTACAGATCGTGGTTCTCGCCGCATCGGCGATGGCGCGACCGGAAGCAGGCTACTCTTACTCCCAACCCAGCTCTAGCTACGGAGCACCCGGAGGTGGTGGATCCACCGGGTTCGGAGGTGGACTCGGCGGAGGTCTCGGAGGTGGACTCGGTGGAGGTCTCGGAGGTGGCGGCGGTGGAGGCGGTTTCGGAGGTGGTTTCGGAGGCG